CAACCACCCACCCAACCACCCACCCAACCACCCTGTCCAAGTGTCAATACTGATGGATTGATACTGGATGAGCCGGTGGATTGCGTGCTGTGATTTACCCTCAAAATGGTCCGCTAGCACCTTTGCATCACGGATGCAATGGCTCAGTGAGCTATGTGCATCTGATGTGTGACATGAAAGGCGTTGAGCCAAAATGATGTCGCGTGTCCGAAAACAAACACAGGGGCGGATTCGGGCGGGGGTTCCTTTGGCAACATCACGTCACTCAACAAGTGATGCCATTGAAGACGGTGCGAGAAACAAGCAAGAACAACCAAGTTCATCAACCGCTCTCTTTCTTTCTCTATTTCTTTATCTCTTTCTTTATCTCTCTCTTTTCTCTGCAAAACAAATCTCCCACGCCATCTTTAACATACGCTTGTGCCTCGCCAAAACTCCGCAAAAATGAGTCGGGGAAATGCTGAGCCATCGCACACATGCGTCGAACGAAAGGCCATTGCATCTTTGTTTGGCAGCCCTGAAGCCCGGGAAGCGGACGTAGAAGTCAACTGCTTCGTAGCCATATGGTGTGAAAAAGGGTCAAGCTGCAACATGTTGCGCCACGGCGGGACCTCCGGCAGAATTCTTCCATTCCAGCAAATTCGGGCCGTTCCTGCACGGAAGCAAGAACTCACCTTGAAATTCAGATTTCTCAGCCCTTCCCTGTAATCAAACCCTAGTTCTCTTGGTCAGAAGCTGATACTAAAAAAACATAAATATAAAAAGAAAGAGAATGAGACAAAAGCCGCGCACAGCTTCCTCTCAAGAAATCCAGCAAATTCAGGGGGAGGGGGGCGTAGGGCTAGGGGACCTGGGCCTGAGAGGCTTGGCTTGAGGCCGGAACCGGACGGGCTCACCCAACCACCCACCCAACCACCCCAACCAACCACTCACCCAACCACCCACCCAACCACCCACCCAACCACCCACCCAACCGCCCACCCAACCACCCACCCAACCACCCACCCAACCACCCACCCAACCACCCACCCAACCACCCACCAAACCACCCACCCACCCAACCACCCCACCCAACCACCCACCCAACCACCCCAACCCCCACCCAACCACCCACCAAACCACCCACCCACCCAACCACCCCACCCAACCACCCACCCAACCACCCCAACCCCCACCCAACCACCCACCAAACCACCCACCCACCCACCCACCCAACCACCCACCCAACCACCCACCCAACCACCCACCCAACCACCCACCCAACCACCCACCCCCCCCAACACACTCACCACCCACCCGCCACCCAACCACCCACCCAACCAACCACCCACCACCCACCCACCCAACCCCCACCCAACCACCCACCCAACCACCCCACCCACACCAACCACCCACCCAACCACCCAACCACCCAAACCACCCAACCACCCACCCAAACACCCACCCAACCACCCACCCAACCCCCCCCCCCCCCCCACCCCCACAGGGGGGTTGGGGGGTGGAGCGGCTGGAACATATATAGATACAGTATTTGTAGTATGCGTGTAGGATGGATAGAAGGTGGTTGTACGCCCCTCCTGGTCCTGGAAGGATACTTACAATGCAATAATGCACGAATTAAAAGTGACCTCCAAATTGAACTATGACATTTTTAGATCTGAAAGGGTGTTGCAACGGACCTGGGAGATTCCGAATCCTCCAGAAAAAACAAAAAACAAAAGACAAAACACAAAGGCAAACGGGGAGCTTTCATTTTCAGGTCTTGTCAACCGCCCCCTTCCCCCCCAAAAAGAAAGAAAGAAAGTGGATGGGTTGTCTGGGGGGGGGGGCCGTTAGTACAAACTTAGACCTGCCCTGAAAAAGGAAGCCCCCCCCCCAATGCTCGGTGATTAAAAGGGTGGAAACAACCTGAGTGGATTCATCAACACCAAGCCAAGTGCAGCATCTCTGCTTTCCTTCAAGGTATTGGGAATCAATGTAGCGGCCGGACTTCTTCGCGCGCTGGTTTTGGTTTTGGCGTTTCGTCAAGGGGTTAGCCATTGGCAAACGGGCTTTGCTGCGGCCATTGGCTTTCCTCGTTTAGTCAGAGGATCTCAATGCTACCCCTCCCCCGAACCCTTCAATGGATGCCTTTTGCTGGACCCCGTCATAACCGCCTTGACGGGTCCAAATGGGGCTTCCATATCGACCAGCCCTCAGCAACCTCTCGCTGAGCCCAGGGCAGTACTAACTCCTGCTGAAGAGAAGCCCTGCCAAAGGGCCGCCATCTGACATGTTCATTACTGCCTCATTTCCCATCGAGTGGATTGGCCAAAGTAACATGTTATTTTGTTCATTAGCAAAACGGGTTGCCCCAAAAGTAAAGCCCATGAACTCAGGAAGCGTTTGCTTTCGGGAATTCTTATGGAAGGACGTTTGCCGGAAGATTGTGGTTCAGAGATCCATAGAAGTCCAAGCTCCTTGATATAATCATCAGATTCTAAGCCATTTGGCATGTTTACTTTGGACATAGAGGGAGCGCTGCCAGGTTCGACCACCATAAAACAGGCACACATCCAGCTGTGGAAGAATCAAGACCGTTTTCCCTAACAGGAGCTCTCGATCAGGTGGCAGCAAGCTGCGAAGGCGTCGGTCACCTTCTCTTGGTCAGCACCGGCATCCAACTAGCACTACACAACTGTCTGCCGCGCACTCTGCAGCAAGATGCAATGCTGTCAACACGTTGTTGGTCGCCTACTCTTTGTCACCACCAGCATCCAACAAGCACTGCACAACTCTCTGATGGCCTTGCTGGGCAGCAAGATCCGATGATGTGGCACCGCTCTTGGTCACCTTTTCTTTGTCAGCACCGGCACCAAGCAAGCACTGCACAATTGCCTGACGACCATTGACTGCAGCGACGTGCAATGGTGTCAAGCCCTCGTCGGTCGCCTTCTCTGTGTCAGCACCGGCAAGAAGCAAGCCCTCCGCAACTCCTCGGTTGCTTTCTGCTCCCCTGCTAAAATTTGATTTTTTACTGGTTTAATACGGAAAACCCATTAGTTGGCAAAAAGTGAAAGTCCTAACATCCAAGCAAAATGCACCAAAGAATCCCTGATGACCCTGACGTGCAGCAAGATACAATGCTGTTAGGCCCTTGTTGGTCGCCCCATCTTTGTCAGCACCGGCCTTCAGCAAGCACTGGACAACCGTCTGATAGCCGTGCTGCGCAGCAATATGCAATGGTCTGCCGCCATTGCTGGTCGGCTTCTCTATGTTAGCACCGGCATCCAGCAAGTCCTGCACGACTGTGTGATGACCGCGCTGTGCAGCAAGATGCAATGGTGTGGCGCTCTTGTTGCTTGCCTTTTCTTTGTCAGCACCGGAACCAAGCAAGCACTGCACAATTGCCTGACGGTCATAGATTGCAGCGACGTGCAATGGTGTCAAGCCCTCGTCAGTCGCCTTCTCTTTGTCGGTCGCCTTCTCTTTGTCAGCACCCGCACGAAGCAAGCTCTCCACAACTTCTTGCTGGCCCTGCCGTGCAGCCACATGCAATGCAGTGTTGCCATTGTTGGTCGCCTTCTCTATGTTAGCACCGGCATCCAGCAAGTCCTGCACCACTGTCTGATAGCCATTCTGTGCAGCAAAATGCAATGGTGTGCTGCCCTTGTCGGTTGCCTTTTCTTTGTCAGCACCGGCACCAAGTAAGCACTGCACAACCGCCTGATGGTCATTGTTTGCAGCGATATGCAGTGGCGTCAAGCCCTCGTTGGTCGCTTCGTCTTTGTCAGCACCGGCATCCAACAAGCACTGCACAACTGTGGGACGGTCATTGATTGCCGCAACATGCAATGGGTTCAAGCCCTCGTTGGTTGCCTTCTTTTTGTCGGCACCGGAATCCAACAAGCACTGCACAACTGACTGATGGCCACGCTGTGCAGCAAGATGCAGTGGTGTGCTGCCCTTGTCGGTCGTCATTTCTTTGTCAGCACCGGCATCAAGCAAGAACTGCACAACTGCCTGACGGCCATTGATTGCAGCTATGTGCAATGGTGTCAATCCCTCGTTTGTCTTGTTCTCTTTTTCAGCGCCGGCATCCAAAAGGCACTTCACAACTTCCAGATTGGCATACCCAGAAGCAGCATGCAAAGGTGTCAAATGGTTACTTTTCTCAGAACCATTGGGATCATGAGGCATCTCCAACAGCTCTAGCACATGTTGTACATGACCCCTTTCCGATGCTTGCACCAAGTCAACGGAATTTACCAAACCATCTGCTTCACCTGTGGCAACATATTGCCGAACAATCGCCGTGAGGCACTCACCATTCTCCCACGGACTCTCTGGCCCCAGCATGCCCGTGCCACTGGCCAGTGCCAGTCGCCGGAAATTCGGCAAACCCAATCCTTGAAGCCAATGATTATGCGAAAAACAAGAGGTCAGTCTACGTTAAAGTGTCTGAAAATAGGGGACCCGACAAATCCTTTCAAGCAGCCCCAAACAGGAGCATCAACAAAAAGACGCCCCTTCCCCTTTCTGCCACTGCTTCATCTTCAATGAACATCCAGCCGGCAAAAAACAAACAAACAAACAGGTACCAGGGGGCAGCTAAGAATCTTTCGGCCAGGCGTCCGCGCAACGCATCGAAGAACCATTTCCCATCTTCATGTCCGCGCAACTCGTCCCGCCACATGGAATACTCGGCCGTCGTCATCACGTCCGTGCCATCCAGCAGGCGAACGCACGCCATGAGTCAGTGAATTGGGCACGCTTGCGCTCGAGCTAAATGTGCCGTATACACGGCGTGTAGGCGGGTGAGCTTGTATCATTTCTGAATTCAAGAAAACCAACCGCTCAACGCTCAGTTTGAACCCAAGTAAGCAGGATTCAAGCTCCAGGTTTCTCTCCAAACATCACTCCATCAAAGCTCGTTTGGGCTTTTTAAAAGGTAATGTGTTTTGTGTGGTTTTAAATTTCTAACAGGGAATGTGAGTCTTGACAAAACTTTGTCTTCCGACTGATTTTTCTTAGTTACCCAGAGCCTGAGAGTTCCCAAACAAAAACAGTAGTAAAATGTTAACCTTTTGAAACCTTAAATGAGAAACACGAAGCGTCGGAAGGTCGATTGGCTTTGCGCGAGTCAGGTAGGCAGTGGATGGGGGCGTCCTTTGCGAATATGCTTTTGGGGCGGGGGGACCAAAGCGTATACCGCCTCCTGACGAATTTATTTGCGTCATTGAGAAGGCCTCTGCCACCCTCAAAACTCGCGCCGCCTGTTTTTGGGGACTTTATTACAGTAACATATCGTAATTTCAATACTAGTTGTTTATATTTCTGCAGCTGGTGGTGATCCTGTATTATATCAACATGTTAGATGTGTTTTAATAGTTGGTTATGTTGATGCTTTAAGGTTTTTTTTTTTTTTTTTTTTAAAAAAAAAAAAAAAATAAAAAAATAAAAACAAATTTATTACTTTGATTTGTAGTTTTAAATACGTTATGTTTTTACACCAGGGTATAATTAGTGCTGCGCAGCTGCTCTGAGCAAAAACCAGGGTTCCCGGGAGCTGGCGTCCTATGAAACTCGCGCGGCGGGCCTCGCAAAATGCGAGTCAGCCACTCCATCTTCCGCCAAGCTTCCGAGAAAGTAATCCTCTCCCCCTAATAATAAAACGCGCCCCCCCCTCCCCCCAAATTTAAAAGACATGCCAGCAAAACAATTATTATTAGGGGTCCCCTGGCTGTTTTGGAGGTACCTCTCCTTCTGGGGGAACGCATTTCTCTCTGGTTGAAGGGACCTGCGAAACACAGCTTTGGCTTTTGAGAAGCCTACTCACTGGCCAGAGCAGCAAACGTGTTCTTGATGGGTTGAATTGGGCAACCAACAAGTTCAAGCAATCTAAAGCTCCTATTGCGCCAGGTCTCCTGAGGACAGGAATTGAACTCCGCAAGCTTTTCTCCGCAAAGAAAGCACCATGAAGTTTTGCAAATACATACCATGGACTGCTCTAAGAAATGCCATACCTTAAGAACACCGGCTTTTGCTCCCGCAAAGAGATCTTCGATTCTGGCTCATAGCGAAATCTCAGTGGACATCCATGAAAAAAAGAGAACTGGCGCGCTTTTTCTCCTGGGGGCTGGGGGGAGGGAGGGAGGGGGAGGGAGCCCAGATAAGCCTTAAATGAGGCCTTAAGGGCTGAATAAGGGCCTGCCCCTCCCTCCCCCCAGCCCCCAAGATTTTGATGTTACAGGTTCCCCGCTCCAAGCAAGTTGCAAAGGGCAATTGGCACAGGGGCAGGCCAATCCCGAGCCTCACCCCCAGCTCACTGATCAGGATAACCCTGGGGTCGGGATTTTGACTGTTGGGGGGGTATCAAGGTCATAGAAATCAACATGTGACTTTGATGGCAAAATCATGCAGACAAAAATCCCCCTCCCCCCCATCCAGCAGGCCACTGGCTCGCAACACGTCCAACACATGTGTCCTTGTAGAATAGATGGGTTTGCCTGGTACATAGGGCATAAAACCTGTCTAAACCAGCGGAACCCATCTTTTGTTCAGCAAACTAACCGATTAAACGGACATGTGTTTTTGAGTCTACACACACACACATATATATATATATAAGCACAGTGTTTTGTTCAGTCAGTTTATGAAGAAAGAAGGAAAGGTAGTTCATGGGGGGGGTTACAAGTATATATTTATATAAATACATATATATATATATATGTATCTATATATGTTAAATGGTTGTACACCTGGTGTAGAGGCCAGAACCCTCCCCCCGCGTTCGGCAACCAATTGGCCTCACCACGTCCAACTTGGAACCCGCCGCTCTGGGGCCCCAGGCGATGCCAACTTGGTGCTAATCCGCGGCCTCTGGCGCAGAGACAGCTTCGCCGAGCCTCAAAACAGAGCAGAAAGTTGGACGCTGACCAAATTTTGCTGGTGCGATAGTACTGTGGATGGACGAAATCCTCTTGGGCACCACCTAAGAAGCCATTGAGAGGTGATTCCCCTGTAAATGCCAACAAACAATGTTTTCCCATGGCTTCAATCCGGTGCAAAATTTCGTCCATCCACAGTAGGTCCTCCAGTAAAGAGGTTAGAATAAGAGTGCCCTTGTTTCTGTAGTCTATTTTAGTAGGGGAACCCTCCCCCAAAAAGGGTAAACGGGCACTACTGGGGGACCTAGGTAGCGAATGAGGGAATGAGGGGAAAAGGGATTGAAGAATGGTGCGATATATAGGTAGAAGCTTAATGGTGCGATAGGTAGGGAATGAGGGAATGAACCTGGGGATTTCTGAATAAAGAAAACGCTAGGTTGGATGTTTTATAAGGGGTCATTCCATTTCTCATTCCCTGAGCACCAGCAAGTAATATTAGCTGAACATACTGTGCACTGTGGATGGTTGCGAAATCCATTTTGCGCCACGAAATGAACATTTGGTTGATTTCATCGTTTGTTGGACATTTACAAGGGGAAGCGGCATTCCAGCATTCTTAGGTGGTGCGAAATGGATCTCGGCCATCCACAGTATGCCTCCCCCACGTCACCCCCCAAAAAAGTGGACCGTATCAGAATGATCAGGTGGCTCCCACTTTCTAGGTCCGAGTTTGGTCCCATTGAACCCCTTGAAGCCCAAAGGTACACCGAAAAATCATATCCTCGTGTGTGACATTTCGAGAATAATTTCCCTTTTGGCATGGTTGACGGGAAAAGTAAAACCACCCAATTGTTTGGAGCCCCCATTTTGAGTTTGAGTCACACCCTTCTGCTTCATATGTCCACCTGGAGACGGGACCTGGAGACGGGAGACGGGAGAAGGGAAAAAGGGGCACGGGACCTGGAGTCATCCAGGTCAGTTCATGAACCACCCGCAGGTGGGCCCTCAAACCCAGTGACTCACTTCTTGAGTGGACTGGCAACCAAAAACACGTATCCCGGACCTTGTTGTCTGCTGACCAAAACACTCTCATGTCAGCAAATGGAAGCCAGGGCAAGTGGGTTTGCCAAAAGTCCCCAAACTGTTTGAAAGCCACGAATTAGAATGGCCCAAGCCCAAAAACTGACGAAAGTCCATGAACTCAGGGAGTGAGTTACACAAATGGACAGCCCGAGCGAAGGGAATCCACCGGGTGGAAGCCACCGGGCTAAGTGACACTCAGCTGCCGGCACGAGGCAACCACCGCCAGAGCACCATGCAGGCCTCGATTCCGTGGCCAAATCCGCGTGTCTCTGTGTCTCTGTCTGCGCGCGGCTGTGCGTGTGAGTTGTTGAAATTACCATTTGGTTGGTGGGGGGTGGGGGGGCTCTAGGGGGAAAAGGAGAAGCAAGCTCCTTTTGTTTCCATTTTGGGGAGGGGGGGCCCTAGTTTGACCCACACCCATATTGATCCCAACGTCGATTCCCTCAAGGTTTCCTTAGGGGAACAACCCTCTTTCCAAAACAAGATGTTCCCAAAACTTAAGCTGCAATGCACAGAGCCTTTGAAACCTCAGTTGCCCATCGAGAAAAAACAGATCCCCCATGAATGGAAAGGTTCAGAGGGCCTTTTCAAGGGTAAGGGGGCCCGAAAATGTCTTAACTCCAAGATACCACTACCTCATGACTATATCTCAGAAAGAAAACGGTGTGTATACCGTATACCCTATGTTGGAAATTGTTTTTTTCTGGCCGATCCCCCGAGACTTCTGGTGGATGTGGTTTGGCGTGGACCATCACTTTAGATTCTCTTCACCACGGCCTTTTCAAGTCTTGTCATTCCAGTAGGCATCTATCATAAGTATTTCTGAATCGCTGCCATCTCCAAAGTACACAGCTGTGCATGCCACAATCATAACTGAGATCACCTGCGTCACTGCCACCACCAGCAAAGTCGTCTTCACCTTCAAAGCCAATGCAACTCCCAGCTTGTACGGGTGTGCGTGTGTGCGTGTGTGCGGGCGGGCGAGGGTTGGTGGGTGTGGGTGTGGGTGTGGGTGTTTGTTTGTGTGTGTTGTTTGGGCGGGTGTCCAAAAACTCAACACAAAGGACAACAAACTATTCTTTCTTTTTTTTGGGTGGGGCCTGCCCCATTTTGACACACACTCATATGGATCCCAGCACCGAATGCCTTAAGGTTTCTTTCGGGGAACAGCTCTATTGTTTCAAAAGCAAGATGTTCAGGAGAGTAAGCTCATGTTCATTTGCCTGAAGGGACTAAACCAATAATTGAGCAGTGCAATGGCTATTCAGCACCCAAACCCAAGCTGCAATGCACAGTGATTGAAACCTACGTTGCAGCCGAGCACCCTGTTGTGAGTGTTGACCGTTGGGTCCCGAACCCGAACCAAACAACATAGAATTGAACATTGCAGCATAGCTGTTCAGCACCCAAAACCCATGGGTCCCGAACACAACCGGGAAGCGGGTTTTGCAAAATCGAGAAAACACAGATCCACCCCATGAGTAGAAAAGGTTGCGAGGGCCTTCCCAAGGGTAAGGGGGCCCGAAAATGTATGTAAAGACATCACTACCCGACTAGACCCTCAGAAAGGAAAAGTCTTTGAAAAAGGGTGTGCATGCCGTCCCTTTGTGCGGCATTCTGCCCGATCCCGCGGAACGGGATGCGGTTTGGAGTCTAGGTCTTTTAGTAGAGAGCTTGGAATCAGTTGGTACCCTTTCTTTTCTTGTGTATTTTGCTAGCAGAACCCAACCCCCAAAAAGAAACGCTGAAAGAAACGGCACTACTGGGGGAGCTAGTGGACCGCGCTCCTTTTTTCGATCCGGATCTAAGGCTGTGGCAGGAGACGCCCTTTGCGTGGCCCAAGGCCTCCAATTGCATCGGAAAGCCACCCGGAAGTGAACCTGGGCCTGTCTTTTTGTTGAGGGTACCCTCCCTCCCACTAACATGGCACCGATGGGGAGGTACCTGGTAGATGAAATTCTTGAAGGGACCCCCTGTCAGGTGCCATGTTAGTGGGAGGCAGGGTAACCCCCTTTGGATGGTACCTTGGTTGACGTTGCAAGGGGAGCAATAATTTAAATTTTAGCAGTTAAGTGGGGATTTCCCAGTAAACCGCAACAAGCAAAAATGTAAAAGGTTTCCCAAGACAACCATGGTACCCCCCTTCTTTGGATGCAAAGGGAAACCAAAAGGAACACCAAGATGTGGGAGCAAGTGAATAGGGGTCTGGAAGGGGTCTGGAAGAATCAAACCACTGTGGGCTGTTTTTTAGGGTGCCCTTTCCCTTAATGTTGAGGGAAGCCAAAACAGAAACTACTGATGTGCGGGGAGGTTTGACACATACCCAAATTCACTAGGGTTGGTGGTTGGTGCAATGGGACATGTGATAAGTAAACCGTGCCATGAAAAGGGGATTCCATCAGGGACAGTGGCCCTAGACCCCCGTTGTCCACAACCACGGTGGAAGTGAGGGAGCTGCGGCCCGTTGAAGGGCTATGCCGTGTACATTTCGCCGGTTGGGTTCCATCACAAGAACAGATACTCAGAGCTGATCTGGTTTTTGCCCCCGGGCGCTCTTTCCAGCTATCAACAATGCGCCGGTGGGGTTCCACAAAGAGATACGCAGAGTTGATCATGGACCATGGAAGTGGGTTCCAGAAGCTTCCCCAAAAGAAGGCCGTCTGCCAGAAAACATGTATATTTTGAGGGTCCCCACAAATGTACATTAATAGGGACCCTCAAAATCACACCAAATGTGAAAATCCTTCCTGTCAGCTTCCTTGCAACAGCTCAATCGGCGAGTACTTCTGGCCATACGATTTTACCAAGTTCTCAGGTGCCAGAAACTGAAGGTTCACCGCTTGGGGCCACAAAATGGACCAAAACTGCAAAGCCAAAAGGCCGAAAGGTCGATTCGCTTTGGTTGCAAGGTTGCAAAGTCATTGAACTGAGCAAGTGAGATGATCCTAGTACTCCCGAACGATCCAAAGTATGGGCGGAGCACGGCGGCACGCATCACGGGACTGGCGCCACAAGTTGGTTTGAGCCGTGGGAAACAAACAAAACACAAATCGACAGGTGCCCAATGATTTCTTCCTCAGTAGGTGAAACAGGAGAGTAAGTACAAGCGGCAAAGTTTAGCTGTATGTCCTGTTAAACTCGGGGCTTCATGCCCAATTTCAATTGCGAAACCTGTGCGCGAACATCCTGCGACCCAAGGCTTTGTTGCCGGAGATTTTGCGGGCCAGTCGAAGACTTTGCGTACACTCATGAACAAGGTTCAAGCGCTTGTGCTGCAGGGATAATTGAGACTAGTCAAATAAGTCGAAATCAATATCTGACTCCGATTCTTCATTGGACTCATCATCCCAAGGAAAGTCGCAGCCGGCAAAGGCACCTTTGCCAATACGAGTCACGGAGTCAGGGATGGTCACACTCGCTAACGAGCTGCAATGTTCAAAGGCATACTTCCCGATCTTGGTCACTGAACTAGGAATGGTTGTGCTTGGCAATGAGCTGCAACCTCGGAAGGCACGCTTTCCAATCTCGGTCACTGTGTCGGGAATGCGCACGCTTGTCAATAAGCTGCAATTTCCGAAGGTACCACTTTCAATCTTTGTGACGGTGGGAATAGTCACGCTTGTCAATGAGCTACAATCTTCAAAGGCACTAAACCCAATGTAAATTACAGAATTGGGAATGGTCACACGTTCCAGTGAGCTGCATCCTTTGAAGGCCAATCATTCAATCCGCATCACGGAGTCCGGGATGGCCACGCTCTTCAAGGAGCTGCAGTCCGCAAAGGCCGTGTTTTTGATCACAGTCACGGAGTCTGGGATGACGACGCTGGCCAAAAACCTGCAGTCGAGGAACGCACAAGGGGCAACTTCTGTTGCATCTGTAATTTCCACTACGCGCAAATCTTCAATATCTCGGCCGAATGACCGGCTTCGCACGTGGCCACTTCACCGGCTTGATGAGGCTGAGGAAAGCCAACACTGCGCCTGGAATTGCCTCCGACACCATCTCCTCGTTGTTCGATAGGGGCGTCTCTCCGACAACCACCTCCACCGCGCTCATGTTGCGCTGTCAGCCATCTCCACAGGGCAGCCACTTGTGCAGCTGCCTCTTGAACTCGCGGACAGTCATGTCTGCCTCCAACTCGAACGCTTCGTCTTTCCCGGACGGCACGCAGTGCACTGTAATTACTCTTGCCATTGCCAACAGTCCGTCTAGGTAGCCAGGTAGACGGAGTAGCACCCGTTCAAAAAAAAATCGTTGACCTTCAACATGTCTGGTCTTCTGTTTGTTTTCCTTTACAAGCTGAACAGGGTATCCGGGCTCAACAAAACACATGCCCTACAGAAAGCTGTTGCTGCATTGCAAGCTCCGGCGAGAACTTAGAGGCTTCGCTCGCTCGATACGCTTGATCCGAACGCGGTGGCATATTCTTTCTACCCGCCGTTCTTTACCGAAAAGGAATGCGGTAAAAACTGGAGAGGGTGCAAACAGAAATCACGAGTCCAATAGAAATGGTTGCTTCCTTCTGGGTTGCCTTTGAAACACCAACCAAACGGGGGTTCACGATTTGGAACGCCCTCCAATGCGGCCCATTGTGAAAAGCAACGATGCAAGTTAGCTGGTTCATGGTGAAGGGAGACGGGGAGGAAAATAACGATGGCAAAACAAAGCTGGATTGATGTCCTGGGACTCTCCTAAGGGGTTCAATTTCCGGTTTGAATTGCGGAATGCCTGCTCGGTTCAAACATCCTGCAACCTCAAAAGGCCCCTCAGCACCAAAGCGTTGCCTGCGGGCCAGTGGAAGAAGCAAATGAAAGCTATTGCCCTGCAGCATTGCCATTGTTGTGGGGCTACTAAGCAAATACTCAGTTGCCCAAAGGACCCAGAAATAAAAGGTTAACCTTTTGGGGCCATGACTGAAAATGGACAAAAAAGGGGGGGGGGGGAAATTGTCAAAAGGTCGTCTTTTGGGCAAGTGAGAATAAGTCCTTCGACTCCGACTCTTCATTGGAGTCATGTATTCCAAAAAAAAGATGGTCACACTCGCCAATAAGCCAGGCACCGATTTCGGACCGATCTCGGAAAACCGGTTGAACAGCGAGGAAAGCAAAGCTTTAAAACCACAAGTCAACCCAAACCAAGCATGAGAAAGCTGAAACATATCCCTCCAGTGAATTCCGAACAAACCTGAAGGATTGTTGACTAAACACCTTCCCTTCTGCAGCCTGCAAAAAGATCTCAAAGAGCAACACCATTTGCTTAAGTGCCTTCCAACATGACAATACAATCTGTCCAGTATACCCTGCCCCTGCCCCTGCCCCTCCCACTAACATGGCACCAGACAGGGGGGTCCCTACAAGAAGAACATTGCCTTCCAGGTACCCTACCACAATTGCTATGTTAGCGGAAGGGAGGGTATATTCATTTCAGCAAGTGGTAGAAGAAGGTTTGGACTCCCTGCAAATCGGGGTTTCTCGAAGCTGGGCACCAGGCCGAACATCAGCTTCTGACAAGCAGACCAAAAAAAAAACAAAAACACATTGGATCCCAAAAGGTCGACTCCTTTTGGCCCAGCAAAACATGGAAACATGAGCTTCCAAGTCCCATTGCATGCGTGGCAGTTGAGAAAGCCGCCTGAATTCGTGCAGCGGATGGTTGTTTGCTCTCAGGATTTGGTTCATTTCAACGGGGGCACAGCTGCAACCGCAAACCAAGCCCCTCTGTGAGGTCAATATGTTGTTGCCGGATTCCATACAGCAGAACCCCTCCTGCACGCCAAGGTAGGCTGAAACCAAAGAACGCTTCGCCGGGAATCACCTCTCACCACCCTCTCACCACTGGATTTAACTGTTGGGGTAAACATGGAACATCATGGGACCCCGCCCGATTCATCTACCTACTTCTTCGTGCTTTGCGCAACCTTTTGAGGCTCTGACTACGGACAAAATAATTAACACGGAACGCTCAAAGGTGAGAAGGTCAACTCGCGTTGATTCCGTGGGAGGGGCCAAAAACAAATCAATGCCGGGGCAGGGGCGCGGATGGAATCAGGAAGCTATACCTCCATTTGCTTAAGTCCCCTGGAAAAAAAGGAAAATATGTCCAGTAGCGAAATCGACTCCCTTTAAAATCAACAGGGAAAATCTTAAAACAAAATATTCAATTCACCAAATGGCCGTGGGTCAAAAAAGGGTACCCAAAACAGAACCCTGGTAAATGGAACCAAGGACTACACCCTGTGGTCCATATCCTGGTGGTTTAATTTTGACCCACACCCAAATGAAAGCTATACGACCCGACAAGCCATGCGCAGGGTGTGATTCTGGGTACCCTTCTCACCTTGAAGGCCAAGAAGGCCACCAGAGCTTTTGGGTTTTAACATGTCCGTGACACAACTTGGCTGGAAGGGGACCCCAGCATATATATATATAGGTGAATTATAATAATTCACCAACCTGAAATAAGGTGGTGGGAGGGATATTCCCCACATAAACCACCATTTGGTGTGAGGTCGTGTGAGGTCGCTATAATTCACCCAGATATATATTTTTATATATATCTTGTTTGCCTGGTTGGTGGAAAACAAAGGGACCCCAAAAAACACCGAAACACATCAACCAGGGGGGCAAGTTCTGGGGAAGAACTGTGGGTCACTTGGGTGTTCGGATAGTGAGCGGATGGAAGTCCTGGAGTTAGCTCGCAAGGTCCGAAGTTCACAGGCTCTGGTCATCGACGACCCGCAAGAAATACGAAACCATGTTGGAAAGAACGTAAACCGCCGGCGTGTGCAACCATGCTTTTCGGGCAAAGGCGGAAGACCAACCAAACCGGGCATATGGGGTCCCAGGTCTGGGATACAAACTTGGTTGCAAGGGGGCAACCTTGACCGCAGTTGCCTCGGGTATCCCCTCCCACCAGCGATTCCATGGAAGTGCACAAACCCCTGTAGAAAGACGACTTTCCTCTTGGTTAGTTGGCCCTTTTGCACAAACCCATGTTAGTTGGTGTGGCCCAAACAAATCTTGGTTGACGTTGGAAGGGGAGCAAAAAACTGAACTTTAGCGGTTAAGTGGGGATTTCCCTCTAAACCACAAGCAAAAATGGCTCAAATGTTTCCCAACAACAACCATGGAAGGGCCCAGCGGCGCTCAGCACGCGGTCCAGCAGGTCCAGGTCGCAGCATGCGCCCGCCGTCCCCGCCGCCTTGAGCCCCAGCTCAAGTGGTGCGAATGCAGGGAAAAAGACATGGAATGAGCTCAAAAGTTGGGCGATTTTTTGGAGCCTTCTGAGGAGCTTTATAAGGCGGAAACGAAAAAAAAAAGCATTTGTAGAAGGGCCGAATTCTTGGAGCCTTATGAGGACCGACTAAACTGCTGTAATGACCCCTCACCAAGCTTCCATTTGGTTAAGGCCCCATGGAACAATAAAAAATATGTCCAGTAGTGATGAATTCCTGACCAACATCTGAAAATAATAATAATACTATATTCTTAAGCAAATGGAGGTAAAGGAAAACATAGGGCATGGTTTTCGGCATATCCCCGTTCTTTCCAGGCATCCTTCTTTCTAACAAACCACCTAAAACCCTATTTTTTTGAAAATAATGGTGAATCAACCCCTAGAATGGTTGATAAGGGTCAAGCCATTTCTCCTTCCCTGCATCCATAGCTCACCAAGCAAGAGAAGGCGCGGACATGGAAACAGCCGCACCAGTGGTTTTGATGACTTGGGAGCGTCAAATCTCACGAACTCATGGCTTCCATGAGAGAAACGGCTCCTTCCCGCAGAAAAGCCACGTGTGGGGCTGTGGCTTGTTGAGGCTACCCTCCTTTTCTTGGTTTAAACAGGCTCCCTATATTTCCCCTCAAAACATCACCCCCAACAAGGGAACTCACCTTTCATGGACCAAAAAGGTGATGTTTAAAACCACCAAAAATGCAAATATAGGAATCGACCCCTGTTTTAAAGAAAGGCTAAAAGGAAAGCCGTGCAAAGCTTTGGCCCGTCCAAGTCCTTGAGAAAAACCTCCCAAGTTTCCCCGAAAAAAGAAACCCGCCCCAGGCGGGAACCTGCCCCAGCAGCGCTTCCCCGGAAGTGCCTGGCAGGCGCGAAAGGAAAAGGAGCGGTCCCCGACCCCTCAAATATGGCTTTGGCTCAAATGAATGTACAATGGCACATTGGCAAATGGGACCAAAGACTAAAACCTGCGTAACCCTAGGTCTTTGTTGTTTTAGCCACACACATATCAGCCCAAGGCTCCTAGCTTCGGCTTTGAATGGAAGACCCGACCCCTGCATTGGAGCGGGTCTCAAAACCTGGCTGTCTGAGGGCCCTAAGTGAATCCGGAGCCTCTGGGAGGAGAGATTGCCGTCCAACCCGTTTGCAACCCGCTAAGAATGAACAGAACCAACCAACAACTTGGCTGGAAGAAGGGGACCCCAGCAAATATATATATATATTTATTTATTTATTGATTTATTTACCTGGTTAGTGGAAAACAAAGGGAACCCCAAAAACGCAAAATATCAAAAGGGGAACTAATTCTGGGGAAGCTAACAAATGATAACAACTGCGAAGGATGAATGAGCCTCCCAAGCCACTATAGTAGGTAACCAGGTCCTGGTTTTTTAACTCTGGGTTTTCATTCTGAATTGCCCTGGTTACCTACTGCTGGAAATGATCCATCCACCAGCACCCCCCAACTGCTGTGCCCCATGCCCAAAATCCCAAAAATTGTGGCCCGGCTCCCCCGATGTAATCTTCAAATTGGTGCTGCTGGCTTGATGACCCAACAAGCAGAACCGACTTGTTGAGAGCACATTCCAAGAACAGTGAAGTCATGAAATAACTTGAAATTCAAAGCTTTGGAATCAAATCCTCCGGTTTCGGTCAAAACCATTTACTTAAGTCTCCTGAAGCAAACAATTCCGGTACTCCCTTTAAACCCAGCAGGGGATTTGTTTATTATATTGTTGATTCTTTACCGCAATAAAGCTCGCAAGCAACTTGGCTGCTGTTGACCCCTCTGCAAAAAGTTTAACTTTTTGGGGGGTTTAGTACGGAAAACCCAACTGGTGTTCAACCAAAAAGTTAAAGCCTAAAGATCCGTTGCGACCAAAGGCCGGCCGGCTTTCACCCAGGGCTCCCTGCAGTTGCAAAGGCTGGCCAGCACCAGGCCCCAGTCCAATACCGCAGACCTCACTCGGCTACAAAAGCGAAATAAACGCCCGCGCAAGATTAACATGGCAAACCTCGGGTGAAATCCTGAGGTTTAAGGAACGCCCAAAAGTGAGCTGGACACCATTGCAAGAGGGACACCGCGTGCATCACTGAGCTCATTCGTCTGAAAACTCTACCTCAGTTGCAAACTGGATTTACCTTTTGGGACGAATCCCGACATGGGGAAACCCAAGGGTCATTTCAGGTTGATTTGCTTTGGACAAGTGACCAGTTCCAATCCCAGATCCCGAAACCAGACACCACACTCCTTGAGTGCATTGGCCAACAACTTCGCCACAGAAATGACAAACCTGGTGTTGGCTTCCTGGAAGAACAGCGCGGCTCTATTTTAGTGTCCCCCCCTTGGGCCCTGGAAATGCATAAAAGGTGGGCCACTGAGAATGGGAACCCCAAATGGGGAACCCATTTTGGCTTTGGTTGGCAGTGAACCGGCTTTGGGGAGTCTTTTAAAGGAAGCCAAAGCGGGCATGGCTTATAGGGGTCATTCCAACTCATTCCCTGCCTATCGAACCAAGTCTTTGGATGGTTTCAAAGGCGAAACCAAGAGGAACACCACCAATTTGGGGGAAGATTGCCTCAAAAAAGACACACTCATCTCAGTTGTTCAGTGACCCTGGAAAAAAAGGGAGCCACCAAAAAAAGTTGGAAAAATAATTGATGCCACTGGACAACTGAGTCATACTTCTGTGTGAAATTTCCGACTTTTGTTTCCCAATTTTTTACCAACCCCCAAAAAGGGGCACCCTCTAAACAACCCCCAAAAGGGGCACCCAAACAAGACACACCCATACTGTGGATGGTTGCGAAATCCTCAATTCGGCACCACCGTTCAGAAACCCTGGAATGGGATGATTCCCCAACGTAAATATGCTTGAACCATGGTGATTCATTTGTTTAATGGTGCGAATTGGATGTCGCAACCATCCACAGTATGAAACCAGCAAGGACACCTGGTCCCACCGAAAAAACAATCAACAGGGATCCTTACATTCTACACCTGAACATTGCAACTTGTAAATGGTGGTTTCCATTTCTTTATTTTGTTGAAAAAGCAACATGTTTCAACTGGTTGCAAAATGGAGATCTTTTAAGGAGCCCTGTTCAATACGTGTAGCTCCACTCTCTGTGGCTGCAGCTCCAATCGCGCCGGCTCCCGTGGGCAAACATCTGCGGCCTGGGCAAAAACCGCACGGGCGGCTCCCAAAAATGAAGCTGCCTGGGGTTGCTGAGCACAAATTGCGGTTTTGGCTGGTGAAACGTACCAGTTGTTGTTTTTGCTTTTGTGGCTTTCAATTGAATCATCATTGTGCATAGTTCACATGGACCAAGAGCACATGACTCTGGCACCCCAAATGTGGCCAGTTTAGCCTTCAAAAGCGAATATGCTTCGAAACACCGAAAAGGAACAGGGCTCAGAATTTGCTGGCATACGGCTTGCCTGGCATCTGCTGGGTAAGGAATGCCAAATCCAGCAAAGTCAGAGGATTCTACAGGGAATTCAGTTTTGGTTAGTTTCCTGTACATTTGCTCCCCGGATTTGGCTGGGGAAGAGTGGGCTAACCACGATGGAGCACCACTTGAGAATTCTTCAGACCACACAACTCAAATTCAACCAAATGATACCAACTGCATCACGCATGCAATTGACTTACCACAGGGGAAAACACAACACATCATGTGAGCAGGGCCCTCTACAATCATGGCTAGTCAGGTTGAAATGTCTACAAGGACCAGCATAAGACCCAAGACTAGGTACTAAAACCTAGGAAACCAAAAGGTAGGCTTTGGGCAACTGAGAACGTCCGTGGCCTTCGGACTGGACCGCTCCACTCAAACGCCCCAGAACGCAGATTCATCATGCATCGCTCAGTGCGAGAAATAACATTTCGCCAGTTCAAGATTGATCCAGCCACGGGTCACTGGATGTATCCCCTTCAAAAGTTGCAATATGTCAGTGGGTTTCCCCTTCAAGCAAAAAGCATGGTTTCCATTCAAACGATCCTCATTTTTGGAAGTCATACAACCGTTACGCCCAGTTGGCCACCTTGATTCCAGACTCGCAACTCTCCCAATCGAATCTCGAAAAGAACCGCGAAAATGGTACAAAAGGGCTTTGTGATGTTTTCACGAGTCTAAGCTGTCTTACCCTGGGGTGTGCGGCCAAGAAGAGTTAGGAAGTGGCTAACCAACTAATAACCTAGGTAATCTACTTACAACCGGGCGAACTCCACGGAGACTACGTAGGTGATCCAGGTTACTAACAGCTGCACTTGGCCGAACGCCCAAGCGAGTTGTCGATTTCCGAGGCCCCCGGGCGGAGCACAGCGGAGCATATGCTCCCGCAGGGTCGGCGAGGACGGGAGCAGAAGGAGCGGCCGAAAGAATCCGCGGCTCGATGCGGATGCGCACCTCTGAGCAGACCCTCTAGGGGTTGATTCCTTTTCCATTATTTTCAGCCATCGTTCTTTTCAAAAACCGATCGCCATTTCCCCAGGGTTTTTGGTGGTTTTCTAGTAAGAAGGATTTCTGGAAAGAATGGGGAAGTTACCCCTAGAGACCCGTCCTTTTGGCCCTCACTTGAGTAAATTAACCCAAAATTTCCAAACTGCTGGCGCTAAAATGGTCTTCAAACTCACTTCCTGAGTGGATGGTCCCACAAAGTCCAAACTTAAACTTGTTGCTTTCCACTTAAATGGTCTTCCCCCCATAAATAAAATAGGCCATGAACTCAGGAAGTGAGTAGTAGCATAGAGTCCAAACACTGGGGAAGTGAGGCACCATTCAGGACGCGTTAGGCATAGAGGAAACCCGCACATAGAGGAAACCCGTACTTGGGAGGTCTCTAAGAGAAACCTATGGATGTACAAATGGCCATGTCCGATGGTTCATGGAGCCGACAATTGATTCATATCAAGGGGTTCACATTTGGAGTCATACATATTCATGGATGGAACGCGCCCGGCCCCAGCAAAAAACATGAACACGCCTCCACTACCCAAGGATAACTGGGGCACCCCACCATACTTCCCAAGTGGTCCTACCCCCAAGTTGCGTGTTCAGCCCACAGTGATTTTACCATAAGTGGTTCGCATCTGGAGTTAGTTCCCTTAGCACCATGGGTGAAGCATGCTTAAGTGAGTCATGGTGCATACCCATCGTGGTTTTCCATTGGGTTTTGGTGAGCGGCCCTCATTCGCTAGTGGTGAGACAGCAAGTGCAATGCCGTGTCCGTGATACTTACTTGCCACAAGGGTCAGAAATAACAGGAAAACAACTCTTGGAACCTTGACTCACAGTAGACCAACTCTGCAACACTTGAGTGTTTGTCCAAGTGAGTAAGTGGCTTCGACACCTGGGCTATAGCCCACGTATAATGGGGTCAGTAATTTGTGGCTTGTATCCCATCATGAGCTCGTGATAAACCTCCGATGCTCACAGATTTATCTGAAATCCGGTTGCCCAGGTTCCCAATACTCAAGGGAAACAACGTGGGGACATCCTTCGCCTCAAAGCAAAAGTGGGGAGCAATTGTTGCACCAACTGCATGTTCTGTCTTTAGGACACTTTTTCGGCAAAATCACCTACCGATTTTGTGAAACGCATGGTCTATCCAGTGACTAGACTCTTCCCCTCTGAAAGTGATGATTCCCCAACATCCAGTTGCACACCCCCCTAATAAACTGGGGTTGAAGAATCACTGAGTAAGTTGGGACTACGCCTGGTGATGATTCACCCACCTAGGAGACTTCTAACCATGGTTACCCACCAAGTACTCTGCCCCTTTAAGTAGGGAATGTGGGAAAAAGCCAGGGGTTCCCTTAAAGTAAACCATAGGGAATGGCTTATAAGGGTCATTCCATTTCTCACCGCCTGCTGAGAACCAGCAAGTAGTTGGTGGTTTGAATTTGTCGTTTGGGAATTGCCCCCTTGTCCTCATAGAGGGCAAATTGGAAACCACCTAAGCAAAGGACAAATCAAACTGGAAACTGGACTGTTCACGATGAAGTGTTGGCCAATCCTAGTCCACAATCCCTATTGGAATGCCGCTAGAAAGGGAACCAAATCCTTGCGGTAACAAGATGAGGGTCCTCCAACTGCACTTTCAGGGCCCTAAAGGGGGCAAATTGAGACTGATTTTGCAAAAAAAGAACACACAAAAAAACAAGACCAACCCCAAACCAACCCCAAACCAACCCAAGGAGACTCCTAAAACCAACCCAAACCCAGGCCACCAACTCCGGTGGCAAAACCAGCGCGCGCCGTTCCAACGGAACGAGGCGCGGCGTAGGCGCGCAGCGCGAGGCCTTGCGCCAGCACCGCCTCCCTGGCGCCCAAGCGCGCCAGGCGCGGCCCGTAGGCCCAGCACACGCCTCGCGGGAAACGAGACGCTAGGTTAGCCATCACTCGGTTGCTTTCTGCTCCCCTGCTAAAAGTGTAACTTTGAGTGGTTTAATGGAAAACCCATTAGTTGGCAAAAAGTTAAAGTCCTAACATCCAAGCAAAATGCACCAAAGGGCAGGTTTCGAGGCTTCCTTCAAACGATCAAACGATCGATGCTCCTCGCCTTTTTTTGGGCTAGGTCCTCCAGTAGAGAGGTTAGAATATGGGTACCCGATTTGTTCCTGTAGATTATTTTAGTGGTTGAACCCTCTCCACCAAAAAGGGGTGAGAAAGGGGGGGACCTAGGAGGTTTGTCTGAGGCCGAAATTCGGAGGGATGCCACGGCTGGATGGTGTAGGCCAGAAACCCAAGAATGATGGGTTGGAATGTCCTTGTTTATGGGTAGTTTCAAGGTTCAGGTAGATGTGGTTTCAACACACATTGTTTTTCTTCTATGATGTAATTAGATTGTTCCTCCAGACCAACACAAACATGTCACTCCACATGGGAAGGAAACAAAAGGTCAAGTTGGCATGTTCAGGTAGTGTTGGTGGTATCGAGGCTGTATACCACTCAAATAACGAGTACATACATACCTTCTGGAAATGCCGCTGATGGTGGAGCGGTGAAGAATTTTTAATCGGGTCTTAGTGGGTTTTCGCATGTTAACCCTTGATATGTTAGCCGATTGCAGCACCCCGCTAGAAATAAGCAAACCAAAAACAACAAGTCGATCTAAAGAAGCTAGGTGGGCAGTCCCGTCTGAGTAGGGAAACATGTGTGATGAAGTGGGCCGATTTTAAGTTCAGTTTCACGCAAGAAGCCGACCCTGCCAGTGGACACCAGTCCTCTAAGTGGGAAATAATAAGTTTTCGCGGGCGTCACTTGTTTTCGTCAGAAGTATCAATGACGCTCCTCCGGATCGATCCGAAGACATCAATTGAAGGGGTAGGAGGAGACAACAAATGAGGCCCGCCATACTTGCATGTTCAGCCCACTTGGGAAGTGGGCCAACTATTAAATTTCAGTGTATATATATATATACATATGTATATATATATATATATATACAGGGCAGATTTAGTACTCCAACACATTCATCCAAAGCGAACATTCGTGTCGAACCTTCTTTATAATATTTCAGGCTCTCGTTATAGAACGTGTGCTTTCCTGCTTGCACGGCTCGGAAGCCCTTATTTACCACTAACACGGTCCGGCTAAAATCTGAGTTCCGGAGCTCGGGGGGTGAGAAGTAAATCCTCCGTCGTCCAACATGAATATATATATATATACATATATTTGTCTAATACAAAAAATAATCAACATTTGTAATAATAATAATAACATTCATAATAATAAAACTTTGAAAAAAGAAAACGGCCACGGCCCCTCGCCCATCCCCCGCCCGTCGCCTCGGGCGCCGTTCTCCGGTTCTAGCGGCGGCTCGTCGAAGGGCACGAGGCCCCGCCAGCCGCTGGTGGCGAAACCGAAGCAATCGCCTCTCACGCGAGGCGCAACGTGGTGCAGGACTTCGTCCATCCACAGCAAGTAGGGAATAGTTGGAACGACCACAACCATCCAACTGGTGGTTTCCTTACTGTTTCCTTTAGGAGGACTCTGGATTCATTCAAAACCCGCAATGTCATTCCAACTCATTCCCTGCTGGAGAACCAGCAACTCGATTCCAAGGCGTCCTGGAGATCTGCCGAAAACCGCTGAACCATGTGCCCAAGGGAACCATTCATACAAACAAATGGGACCCTGATATCCAGAATCTTTACAGGTACCGGCTTTTGGGAGCCCCACTTTGCGGGATCGCCCGCAGGCGCTAACCAAATCCCCTCTTGGATGGTCAACCCGCTTTGGGTTTTGGTGTGGATACAACCGGGGAAAGAAAGAAGAAAGGTTAGTTCCCCAAAACCATGGTTAGCAAATGTTTGTACATGTGGTGTAGGGTATGTCCATGCTTTCCGGAAAGGGGATCCACTGGAACTGACCAAGCTGCAACTGCAACTGTTTTTTCCATGCGCGCAACGACAGAGCTGAGGAAAGGTAACATGAGGCCACAACGGCCGCTAAAAACTCACCTACCTAAGACGAAAAGGTGCGCCCTGGAAAGCAACTATACAGCGAAGGCATGAACCAGCAAGCCGATGACTCAGCTGAGCCACCTGTTCTCCACCAGCTTGCGCCCCTGGGAGATCACCAAGCCAATCAGGAAAACGGCAAAGGTCATGCAAACAGCCGTGGCATTCAAGACCTTGCGGTTGTAGTACTCGGTGGAGTCAGGGTCAATGTTCTGACCACCTTCAGAGCCCTCACTCCATGTGGCAAATGCAGGCAGGGAGTTTGCCATTGCAAGTCCAGTGGACATGACTGCCGTCTCCAGCACGCGCAACTGCTGCGCGCCCACCGCTCGTGCCGGAGTAGGCACGAAAGTGCTGGCTGACTTCAACAGCAGCATGACGGCTGCAGCGCACAGGGTCAAAGGCAGCAGGGTCGCACGGGCCATTGCGACTTCCTAGCAAGACCACGCTACCGAGCACTAAGCAGTCCTGGGCCAAAGCTGCAAGCCGCATTGAGGCCCAAATGTCCGATGCAACTTTTGAACTGAAAGCAACCAGGCTGTTACAAACCAACTGGCAAACAAGTCCTCCCTTTCAAAACAATTCTGCCCCTTTCCTTCCTAACAGGACATTTGGACAGCGCGGTGCAATCCGGTCGGCCTGCGCGCCGATTTCTCCGAAAAAACTGCAACTCAGGCTCAGGTGGCACGGATCCTGACTCCTAAGTACATGCCAGCTCTTTGCCAACTAGCGAACCTGAAGTGAAGAAACTCCCAGCGGCTCAGCTGAGCCACCTGTTCTCCACCAGCTTGCGCCCCTGGGAGATCACCAAGCCAATCAGGAAAACGGCAAAGGTCATGCAAACAGCCGTGGCATTCAAGACCTTGCGGTTGTAGTACTCGGTGGAGTCAGGGTCAATGTTCTGACCACCTTCAGAGCCCTCACTCCATGTGGCAAATGCAGGCAGGGAGTTTGCCATTGCAAGTCCAGTGGACATGACTGCCGTCTCCAGCACGCGCAACTGCTGCGCGCCCACCGCTCGTGCCGGAGTAGGCACGAAAGTGCTGGCTGACTTCAACAGCAGCATGACGGCTGCAGCGCACAGGGTCAAAGGCAGCAGGGTCGCACGGGCCATTGCGACTTCCTAGCAAGACCACGCTACTGAGCACTAAGCAGTCCTGGGCCAAAGCTGCAAGCCGCATCACGGCCCGAGCGTAGGAGACAACGGCAGATCTCTTCAACTGCCCTTGCCGACCCAACGGGTTGAGGCACCGCTTAGCCCAAACAACAGTTGGGATGCGCTCGCTTTTCCACTACAGTAATTGTTGCACGAGTTTTGCGCGTTTAGTGCACGTTACACTCCTTGTGGCGCTCTTCAAGAGGGGCATCCAACCAATCGAATTCCCAGGTACCCCGCCCCCCCCATGCAAAAGAGACTGAGACGCCACCTCACCAGCTGGGATGAGTGAGAAAATATTGGGACAAACCACCAGGTGGTTGGTTTCAGATCAAAAACTTGCTTTCTGAGTGGATGGGCCCAAAACAGTACCCCAACTTTTTGTTTTCCACTAAAATGGTCCAAACCCAAAAAGTGACAACGGTCCGAGTTCCGGAACTCAGGAAGTGAGACAAAGCCACTGGGTTAATATTGGGACAAAGCACCTAAATGGTGGTGTAGAGGGAATTTTATCCACCAGGTGGTTGGTTTCAGGTCAAAACAACCACTAGAAGACGCCGTTGCATAACTTTGCTGGCGCTCAGCAGGTATAAGACATGGAATGACTCCACAAAAAAGAGCTCAATCCTCTTGTGGTTTCCTTTGAGGGGATTACCCAGAGGGTCCTCCCCGAGAACCAGCACGGAACCTCCCGGTCCCTCGGTCCCTGGGGCCTGCTGCCAGGACCAGCGGTGGGACCAGCTGCGCGGAGAAAACTGTGCCGACATCGGCCGTCGAGAGCCTCGGAGTATGGGGTCAGTAAAACCAATACAAAGTTTGTTCCCCAACACTCCAATGGTCCAAACTCTACAAGCGACTAAAATCAACATGAACTCAGGGAGTGAGTGGAGGGCTAAGAAATAGAAGTTGCCCTTATTGAAAAAGGGGGATTCCCCGAAACACACCACCCTCCAAGGGAAACTCACCTTGAAGATGTTCAAAACAAGCAAAGACCAATTGCTTAAAGGAGCTGGAAATACAAGTTGATCACCTTTGGGGGCTACTAAAAATGGACCAACATGAGAAAACCAAAGGTGAAAAGGTGGATTCGCTTTGGGTACGTGAGGGAAAGGATGCTCCCCTGCAGATTAACATGGAAATCAAAAGGGGATCCCCTAAAAGGAGATTCCTTGAACCATTGTGGCTTCTTGGCATCCATGTCTTCACAACGCGTGGTATGGTAGCAGTACCTGGTAGCAGCAAACGGTGCTTTTGGAAGCCCCGAACCTAACAATGAACAGAAAAACTAAACACTATAACGCTTGATCCAAGAAAAGTGACACTAGGTCCTCCAGTAGAGACGATAGAATAAGGGTACCCGTTCTTCTGTTGCCTAGTAGGGGAACCCTCCCCCCAAAAAAGGGAGAGAAGGGCACTACTGGGGGACCTAGGTGAAGATAGTCGGAGTGTCTTGCTTTGGCCTCTGCGTCCCTCCCGCCTTGTAGGCTGTTGGTCCCGCAAGTGCCACGGACCAGCTTTCGAGCGGCGCTTGCTGCGCTGCTCATGCCGCCACACCTGGAGATTGTTTTTCCCTTGTCGTTCGTCGGGTGGCAGAAAATTGATGTAGAACCATACATGGGGGTTGATCGAAAGGTCCTTTGCATGGGATGACCATTGGTTGGAAAACCACTACAAAAATTATATTTTGCCACATGGGAGCAGTTACCCATGGTCATTTGGGGGCAAATTATATTCATCACTCCCCATCTCTCACTTGCACAAGGGAGCTGGAGATAAAAGGGGAAATAGAAAAAACAGGTCGAGTTGCTTTGGGGCAAGTGAGCCGAACTGTGGATGGACACCAGCCTATCTGCGCGAGCTTGGAGGGGCATGAAGCCGGGCCGTCAACTTGAAGACAGCAATCACCCGCGAAGCGAGCGCGCCAGGTGGTTGCTTCTCCCAACATGGGGATTAGTCCACTAGGTCCTGTAGAGAGGTTAGAATAAGCGTACCCTTTCTTTCTTTTTTCTGTAGTCTTTTTTTAGCAGGGGAACCCTCCCAACCAAAAAAGGAACGGTAAAAGGGGCACCTAGCTGGGGGACCTAGGCTAGAAGTTGCTCGAGAAAAGGCCAAAACAAAAACAAAAAACAGAAGGGCAACTACTGGACCTAGTCCATCCCAACTGTAGGTGTGGGGGGTGAAGGACCCGGGTAGTGAAGATGTGGGAGGAAAAAAGGCTTGCTGGCGCGTAGGGAATGTGGGAATGTGGGAATGAACCCAGGATTTGGGGTGGGTCAAAATCCAAATCGGTTAGCCCCCAGTTTTCACATCCGATTCAATCCAAGCACTAAAATAGGAAACCTAAAATGGGGGGTGATTTCACCTACCAAAATGGGATCCCCAAACGGTTCTGACCACAGCCATCTCTCCCCGCCTGCAGCCACAGTATGGGGTCCGATGGTGTCTCCAGCACCGCCCGGGGGTCCAAGAAGAGCTCGGCGAGCCGAACCTCGCCTGCGACGAATTTCTGACTCCTCCAAAGATTGTTTTTAGACAAAAGGGTCCTTTTAGCGCGCGAAATGGATAAAACCCCACTAAAACACTAAAAAGCTAGAAAGATCTAAAAGCTATGGAACCGGATGGCTGGGAGCCAAGATTTCTGGAGAACATCCCAAGACCTTGCTGAAAGGATTCCCAACACCGGGCTGTCCGTTGTTTGACCCCCGGCTAAAAGTGAAGAACTTTTGCAGGGTAAAGAAAAAATCACCACTAAACCCTGAACAGGGATCCTTACATTACTCGGTTGCTTTCTGCTCCCCTGCTAAAAGTTTATTTTTTAGTGGTTTAGTGGAAAACCCATTAGTTGGCAAAAAGTGAAAGTCCTAACAGCCAAGCAAAGTGCACCAAAGTGAACACTGCAACTTGTAAATGGTGGGTTCCATTTCTGTATTTTGGTGAAAAAGGCCATGTTTCAAATGGGTAAAATGTACGTATCCTTTAAGGAGCCCTGCTGAAACAGGGAAGAAGCTGAGGGGACAGCCGGCCCCCCATTTCTTGCCACCCTGCCTGTCATTTTGGCTTATGGCCACTGACAGGCTCCCCTACATTCCTCCTACACCACCCTCCAGCAAGCAACACTCACTTTAAGCCAGAAAGGTCCTTTGGGCCCAAAACTAAGCGGTGTTCAACCCATACAAATGGAAATCCGACATCCTGGACCTTCGTCCTCCTGAAAAAAAAACAGGTTCCGCCTTTGACTGGATATTCGGGAAATCGTAGCACTTTTTGCCGCAATAACCTCAAACTCCTAAAACTCCTAAAAACATACTATTGCAATGCTCGCGGCCTTTGACAGAGTAAAGGAAGGTTTGCAGGGGCAAACGACTAAATGAAGCCCGCAAGTTTGTCAAAACATGCAACGGCATTCCAAAGTTGTGCGGTGCAGAAAAAGCGTACCCATTTTGACCGCAAAACACCCGCAAATTTCCGCAAAAATCCGCAAAATCAGAAAAAGTCGTAGTTTTGATGATCAAGGCATCGCATGGTGTTCACTGGCACGTTGGCAAGTGCTGCGAGGTGTATTTACTTTGTATGACCAATGCGCGACTGGAAACGACGCAATTCGTATGTGTTTTTGCCCAAATTGTAGCTAAACCACTGGAATTCGGTAAATCGTAGGGGTCTCCTAAAACACCCAGAAATTTCCCGTAGTTTGAAGGTCCAGGATGGGGAAAGCAAAAAGGTCGATTGATCCGGAGTCGATTCGCTCTGGGCAAGTGAGCTAAAGCACCTACGGGTTCCATTACAGGAGTTCCATTTAAGGTTCCGGTAGGATTTGTTTTCGTAGTGTGCATGCGGCTTGAGTTTTGTCACTAGCTGGAAACTAAGCAAAACCAATGAGCCGCTCACGGCTTGCCCTGCTCCTTAAAGGGGTCATTCAACAATAACCCGCCTTTCAAGAACATCATCTGGTTCTTTTTATAGTGTGGCCCAGGATGGCCCAGGTGCATTCTTTCGGGGATCTTGGTGATCACTACTTGCGACTCACTCCAATCATGGAAGGGACACCCCCTTGCCAACAGGAGTCTTCCTGTAAGAAACGGAGACTTGACTTTTTGGGCTAGACGTCTGGTCGAGTTTCCGACTCAAGCGGGAAAAAAAGCGACGGACCTAGCTCTTGGACCTATAGGCGGATTGCCCAGGTCAGAGAGACCGTCAGCCCCTACTCCCCTCTTTCGGGGGCCATGAAGGTGGGATCCCGACAATCGGTCACAAGGTCGGCTCGCTTTGGGGGGCCAGCGAGGATCTCTGGAAGGATCTTTCGGACTCCTTACGCTTTGCAGATGTCTCCTTCTTGCCGAGGATTCATAGACAGTTCGTTACCATGGGACGGATTCTACTTAGATCCGGAGTCAGAGGATAAACAGTTCGTTACCAACGGATTCTACGATCCGGAGTCAAGATGACGCACATTCCGGGCAAAAGTGTGGGAAAGGGAATTGTGTGGGGACGGGTTGAGTGCCAAGGGGCACAGCCGACTATGACTTCTCGCACCTAATGCGGCTCGAGGGCCTTCTGGAGCGTCGAAAGGATTGTTTGGGTTCCCACTTTTCAAGATATGTCAAGTTTGCAGTCCAATAAGCAAGGAAAGTCACCTAATGATATCTCATGTAATGCAAGGGGCTACAAATCATTTCTCACGTTATTTCTCCGTAGCTATTTATAATCAGACTCAGTTTGGTTTTAAGGTACGCCCACCCACCCACCCACCCACCCACCCACCCACCCACCCACCCACACCCACCCACCCACCCACCCACCCACCCACCCACCCACCCACCCACCCACCCACCCACCCACCCACACCCACCCCCACCCACTGACCTGACGCTTGAAGCCCTGCCCCCGATCTTCCACCGTTTCGGGTCCCGGCCGTCGGCAACAGCACAGAGTTGGAAGTCGATGACTGTGAGGTAAGGCACCTCGTGAGAGGAAGCAGCACCTGCAACTTGCGCAATAAATCCAATCCTGAACTGGCTGTTGCTTGTTTTGGGGGACGCCAACATGGTGGTGTTCCTTTTGGTGTTGTTTTTTTCACGTTCCCTAAAAAAGGGGTATGCCCACTAAGTAAAGGACCCTCAACATGATAGGTAAGCTCGTCTTCCCCCCAGGTGAAGGCAGCCATGCCAAAGCAACCAATTGGGAGCCCCTTCTGGGGAACCGACTGATTAGCTTGTGCATCCTGATTTAGCGACGGAATCCAAGGACATGTTCTGAAGGAAGCCCCTAAGAGAGTCAAAGAGTCGGCGCAGGATTCAGAATGATCATTGAAGGGTTTCTTAGACTTAGACATGATAGAAGGATTCTGAGAACCTCGCTAAAAAAATAGAGTGGCCCGACTTTGTCTCACCATCTCCCGATACTGGGGGCTGGCCTGGAAAATTTGGGCACTGACCCCAACACGATGGCGGCTCTCTCTTCTCAAATGCCCCCGTGGAAAAAAAGGATCGGCATCCTTTTTTGCTTGTTTGACTTTAAAGGGGAACTTCCAAAAACAAAAGGAAAACAGGGCATCACTGGGCAACCAAGTCCCCAATGAACCGCCCCCGCCCGAAACAGCGGTCGAAAACGCCCAGCAGCGGTGTCCACGCTCGGCAGGATGGTGGGCGAAGGGCCCAGCCAAAGTCCTTCCCGGCTGCATTGAGCTTCGAAAGGGACTTGTCAGGTACCCTGTATATATGGGAGACCCTCCCAACAGCTGTTCTTTTGGTTTGGTTTGCAAAAAGGGCACACGCAAAAACACAACCATATGGGCCCTGTCCAGGAATCATAGAAGGCGACAGGATCCCTTTTGAAGATGATGGCAGTTTCAAAAGCCTCCTGTCCACTTCCGTTGACTGTGCAAATGTTACTATAACTAAGATCCCCTAGCAAAGGACCTTTTATCATGGCTTTCGCTCGCTGTACCCCGAAATCCATGAGCTTGCTATACAATAGGCAGATTGATTGTTGATGTCTCGCCAGCTTATCCACGAGTCTGAGACGCGCAAATGCAACATGCGTGCGAAGTGTGTCCTTTTTTGAGGGAACCTCCAACATTGTGGATTTCATGTGTTATTCCTTTGAAAGCACAACAAAACGGTCCCCCCCCCAAAAAAAAAAAAACAAAAAAAAATATGCCATCACAGGGTCCAACCGCGCTCGAAAGTCCGCTCCAATTGCCAACAGAAGCTGGTTGCAAAATAGACTCGAAGCCGAGTACCCTCCAACCGGTACCCAGAATTACCCCCCTCAAAGACCGCTTTCAAGGAAAAGGTCCAACCTTCGGTAGGTTTGCTGGAAAAGCCTGTTGGTGTTGTGTTTTTTGGTTGGGTTGGGGACCTTTTGGTTGGTTTCAAAGGGGGACCAAAAGGAAAAGCACCATTTTGGAGGGTGCACTCAAAAAAGACACACCATTTGCAAAAGGCAAATTACAGGGCCAACACCCAGCAACACGCTCGTGCCGAAAGTCCTCGAGCCCCCGGCAACATCGCCCAAAGCATCGCAGCCATCGGAAAGGCCGGCAGAGTGCAGTTTCGGCTGCTGATTGACTTTGGTCGGAAGGGGGCATCCTTTGTTGTCAAGGTTTTTTTGGTTGATTTGGGGGCCCGATTGGAGGTTCGGGGGTGGCTTCTGCTTGAATTTGATCAAGAACCAGGGTTCAAGTCCCTAACCACCACTTCAAACCAACCTAAGGATAACCAACTTGTTTCTTTTGGTGTGGTCACCCACTCTCCCGCTAACATGGCATCTGACAGGCAATCATGCTACTTAAACAAACATGGGGCAAGGAACAAACCGGAAGCTGAAAATTCCGGTGCGAACATCCGACCCGTCGGAACAAGTTGGTAGAAGTTTTACAACCCCGGTAAAGGGAAACAAGGGTCTGAGGGTTGTTTCCCCGTTCTTTTCACCCATAGTTCTCTTAGAGACCACCCATCCTCCCATACTTCTGGTCCATAGCCAAGACATTTGAAGACCCCAAATATGCCGCAGCCCATCCTTGAGGCGCGCGAGTCAAAGATCTCAAGAGCATGTGCACTCATACTGTGGATGGACAAAATCCTGCACCACCCAAGAAACCTTGGAATGATTATTCTCCTGTAAATACCAACAAATTATCGTTTGTCATGGTTTCCAAGTGGTGCGAAATGGATTTCGTCCATCCACAGTTGCTTTTAAAACTTTCCCCTTCCACCACAGTTGCTTTTAAAACTTTCCCCTTCCACCACACCTTGCCTGGTTTCCAACTAAGGGCCTTCACAAGGCCTTGTCAGGCGCCTTTGGTTTGGGCTCGGTGCTTTGGAGCTAAGCGGCAGCGTCCCATTAAAAAAATGGCCGAAGCACGAACCACGGGTTCTTGCAGGTCCACTGAGCGACGTCCTGAAATCTTACAGCCCAAAGTGTGGTTTCAAGGATGCTTTCTGCTTTCAGGGACCCAGTTACACCAAGCCAGCAATTCAAAGCTCGGCTGCTTTCTGCTCCCCTACTAAAATATTAACTTCCAGTGGTTTGATACCGAAAACCCATTAGTTGGCAAAAGTTCAAGTGCCAACATCCCTTGGCAAAATGCAACAAAGAAACACAATGAAGGCCTGCGGCTAGGAGTCTGCAAAGGTTCTGACCTCCTGCGCAGCCCCAATTCCGCCCTACCCGACTGTCCCGTGACGCTCGCGCTGACATTAACTCACTTGCCCAAAGGACCTGCAAATAAATGATTAACCTTTTGGGGTCATGACTAAAAATAGACCAAACTCGGAAAACTAAAAAGTCGAAAAGTCGGCGTTGGGCAAGTGAGTTAAACATGGTAGACTTTACTTGGGGGTTCCATCAAAGTACAGGATCCACTCTTAAATTGGGGCCTTGCCCCCGCCCCATTCGTCTACTATGGGTTTCTTCCATTTGCTTCAGTCCCGTGGAACGACACAAACCAGTGGTGACAGATTCCGTTTCAAACCCACGAGGGATTTATGAATGTTCGCTTTCAGCAAATGCAACTAGATCCTCCAGTAGAGAAGTTAGACTAAGGGTCCCACCTTTCTTCTGCAGTCGATTTTGGTAGGGGAACCCTCCCCCCAAAAAAAGAAATGGTGAGAAACTCACTTCCCAAGTTGACTGGCCAAAAAAAGTCTGAACTTTTTATTTGCCACTAAAATGGTCTTTCCAAAAAGCTTAAAGTCCACTGAAAGGGCACCTAGCTGGGGGACCGAGTTTCTTCATCACGGGCGTCCCTTCACGCCGTCCGCTGCCGGCCCGTGGGCGTTTTTTCGGCCTCCGCCGCATTCAGCCGCTGCATTCCGGACTTGAAATGCTCCAAGGTCCTAGGATCGCCCGGTGATTCTGACACCAGTCGGGAATATAACCTTCGGGTAGGTGGTCAAAATAGGGAAGCCGGTGTTCTCCCTTTTGGCTTCCCAAACCCAGGTGAAAAGGCTACCTTCTTCAAACAAAACATGCTTTTCCTCACCCCTGGGGGCAAAAATATGCCCCTCCATACCAACGAAAGTTTTTTGGGATCAAGCAGAACCTGTTGGGAGACCCCGGGTTCTAACTCCGTGCGGGGAAGCCTTTGGTTTCCTTCCACAGGGAGAGATCACCGGACTTGCAGCAGCCATAGATCAAAAGACACGACCCCGGTTCTTCCCCATGTAACTCGCCCAAACTGGACGCTCTGCTGAAAGTTGTGTTGTTTGCTTTGCTGGTCTAGGTCCTTTAGTAGAGAGGTTAGAATAAGGGTACCCCTTTTTTCTGCAGTCTAGTTTAGTAGGGGAACCCTCCCCCGAAAAAAGAAACGGTGAGAAAGGGCACTACTGGCATGGAACGTGAAGAAGCACCCTAAGGTAAAAAGTTACCAAGGTAGGCGAAGTCTGGCCAGAATGCAACTTGAACCGCATCGGCCAATTGAGGCATCGCACCTGCTAGATACGACTCCGTTCCCTTCTAACCTCACCCCACCAAAAGGAAACTTGTTTACCTTTTGTTTTCCAACTGTTAAAGCCAAGATTGTTTTCAGTAGATGGTGGTAGCCTTCCAAACCCCCCCCCATCCTTCCATGGCCAATGGCAAAAGGATAAACATGGCCCATGTGGTGTGTCGTCTTCGAAGGTACCTGTTGTTTGCTGCTTTTGAAGGGCATTTTGGGTTCCACCATCATGTATGTCTTTAACAGCCAGCCCAGTCACCGAAACCCGTGGCGGAAAAAAAACGCGCTGCGGCCCAGTATGACATTCTCAAGGTCACCCCCTAAGTGGTACGTTTGAAGGGAGACCACCGATTTCAGTTTCTGACTACCCCCAGAAACCGACTCAAGATCATTTTTCCAGAGACGCGAGGCGCCCAATCTTTCCTGCAGTCCAAGAGTCGCCTCCCAATGCCTAAGGCTCAGGATCGAGCTCCCCACACACATTGGGTCTATCCTTCTCGCATGTCGACCCACAAAGTTAAATTTGTACTTTTACCTTTGGCTTCCCTCCCTTTTCAAGGAGCCACCCAGAAAGAATTTCCCTGCCGGAATGGTTCCTGAACCCCCAAAGCAAGCAGCCATCTTTCCGGTTCAATCAGGTACCCTCACGCCACAGCGGGTTGGTGAATGCATAATCTCAATATGAGGGTGCAGGGGTCTTTTTTAGAGTTGGTACCTTTTCTGGGGGCTGCAAGGGAAACCGAAAGGAAACCCACTTCTTCTTTTGGCGGGCGTCGCTGGTTGATTTTGATTGGAGGGTGTCCCCGTCGAATGTGGGGATTCGGACCACTTTTGGCGAGTACACCCCCTATTAATGGGACAGGCTTCTTAATCCGGGCTCGACATTTTGAACATGTTCTTCAATGGGGCCTAATTCAATGCATAGCCTGTAAACAACACTCAGATCAGGCAACACAAGGTTCCCCAAGTGCACAGCCGCAAATCATTGCTTCAACAAAGGATACCCGCCGAAAATCATTGCTGCAGCCAAGGGTCATCGTTTTCACATGGCTTCCAAAAGGTGATGCTACAAACGCCCGAAGGGATCAGGCCAGGGTTCGCAACTTTGATCACCAGAGGGTCTTGAAAATGCATTGAAACCTCCGCCCCCCCAAAAGGTCGAAAGGGTACCACGGTCGAGGAAAGGAAAATATGCCACTGAAGTTAAAGGACAAGGGCACCCAAAAGGCTCCCGGATCATTTTGCACTACCCAGTGGATCCCAGGCAAGCCACTATAGTAGATAGTAGGTAACCAGCAGTTTCCCTCTTGGTGTTGACAGGGTGGTTCCCTTGGTTACCTGCCATACAGGTAAATGGATCGACAGGGTTAGACTTTCCAAGATGGGTTCCCTCCAAACAAAGGAGACATTCACCCTCGGTTGCTTTCTGCTCCCCTGCTAAAAGTCTAACTTTTAGTGGTTTAATACGGACAACCAATTTGCTGGCGAAAAGTTAAAGTCCTAACATCCCTTGCAACATGCACCAAAGGGTAAATGGATCCACTAAGTTAGTCTTTCCAAGGGCTTCCCTCCAAACAAAGGAGACTAGGTCTTTGAGTGGAGAGGTTAGAATAAGTTGGTACCAACTTTTTCTGTAGTCTATTTTACTGGGGGAACCCTCCCAACCAAAAAAAAATGGTTAAAATGGGCACCAATTGGTGGGGGAAGGAGACCTCCAAACGGCAGGTCCAGCCGTCACCTCCGAGGAACTGCGCCATCAGCTGGCGGTACAGGTAGGTCTTCTCCCAGGGCCAGTTCAACAACCTCGAGGAATTCAACCCGACCCGGCCCACCAAATCGACGTAAAAGTAGACTTATGGCTGTGGGTCAAAAATCGGGTAACCCTAAAATGGGTTGCCCTGGTAAATGGAAACATGGACTAAAACCTGCGGTCCTCTGGTGGTTTAATTTTGACCCATACCCTTATGAGGATCTTTACATGGAGCCTTACACGGAGCCTTATAAGGAGCTTTATAAGGCGGCCAAAAAATGAGCATTTGTAAAAGGGCCGAATTCTTGGAGCCTTATGAGGACCGACAAACTGCTGTAATGACCCCTCACCAAGCTTCCATTTGGTTAAGGCGCCAGGGAAAAAATGAAATATGCTTCCAGCAGTGACGATTTCCCTTTAAAACCAACAAGGGAAAATAACAAGACATTATTAAATTAAATGGAGGCAAATCGACTGGCCGAAACGACCCCTCTGCGAAAAGTGAGTTTCACTGCTTGTGGGTCCAATTTAGTTGTTTTGACCCACTTCAAAGGAACATGGCGAACCCCAAATTGGCAAGTAGGGCCTTCCAAAAACTTGGGGTCAGCACCCTCTGCAAAACGTTTATGTGTTGGTGGGGTCCAAACAGTTACAGTCTATAGATCCAACCCAATAGCAATCAAAAAGAGAGACACTTTGTTCGGCAGGCGCGGTTTTGGGTTACCTCTCGGCCGTTCGGCTGCAAATGTCAAAGCAGTCCTCTAGGGTTCCCTGAAAGGTTTTCCGAGTGTTCACTGCATTTCCCCAAATCGAAAGTTGCAATTGACTGGGAGTTTCCCTTGAAAACATTCGTCACTTTTGGAGGATGGAAACCATGACAGTGTGCAAATAACCACCAGGCAACGATATGGCTGTGAGTCAAAACTTGGGGTAGGTGAATTCACCACCCATTTTAGAACCTATTTTCGTGGTTGGATTGGGATGTTCACTGGGGGTAGGACACACACACACACGCAAAAGCTGCAAAATATCAAGCCACTGGTTCCTCACGAAGCAGGACTTGCACCCTTCACTTGATCCACTTTGCTCACATGGCAATGAGGTCTTGTGGCTCCAGCTGGCCAAGTGGATGCGTCCAAAGCACGTTTGGATTTTGACCCATGGCCAAACTCACGATGTAACTACACATGGACGATTGCCTCGAATCAGGCGCTTGGCCGTGACCTTCCGGGTCTTCGGAAGGAAAATAGAAATTCCCTGCGAGAAAGCCACCAGTGGCATGGTTTATCGAGGATCTGGACCCCCGTCCTCGAGCCTTCCCAAAAAAGTGCCTTCTCATTGTTTTCAGAAGCGCGCTTTTCTGGGCTTAGAGAGGAGCCGGCAAAATCCAGAGGACGCAGGTCCAGAGTCCCGAGTTTATGGCAAGGTCCTCCAGTAGAGAGGTTAGAATAAGGGTACCTTGCTTTTCGGTAGTCTATTTTACTAGGGGAACCCTCCCGCAAAAAAGAAACGGTGAAAGGGTACTACTGAGGGACCTATAGGGGTCATTCCGTTTCTCATTCTCATTCCCCGATCGCCAGTTTTTCCCGAAGGCCGTGCAAGGCGCTTCTCTTCAAGGTCCTCCGGCGTGTCCCAGTACTGGATGCCTGAGACGTCCATTTGCCGAATGAAGTCACCTGGAAAAATGAGAATATATATTCCGGTGTCCAGCAGTGATAGACTCCCATAGGCCAACAAGGCACACGTCCATTTACTTCTTGAAGTCGCCTGGGCGCGTTCAAAACATATAATCCCAGCCGTGACAGATTCCCATTAAAAGCAACAAGAACACATAACGCATATTCTGAAGCAAATGGAAGAGAATACTCGCGCGCGGGGATTCAAAGCTAGTCTGCTTCAACCATTTCGGAACCTTTCTGGCCTCCCTGAAGTGTGCGGCCCAAGTGATTGGCAATTTTAGCGAGCCTCATTCAGGCGTGCCAAGGCCATTTCTCTCGCAGGGCGCTTGTATGTTCTCGTGAACCATGCTCCTTTGCACGAGGTGAGCAGGCTTTTCCTTCCGACTTGAAGGTCTGAACCTCCCCCTACCCCCCCGTCTGGCCAAGCCCAACAAAAAAGCACCTGCCACCCACCCAACAAATCAACAAAGCAACAAAACAACAAGAACACAACGCTTCATTCATATCCTGAATCTATTTCCATTATGTCGCCATTACTACCCTTCCCATCAAATCCCCAAGAAGAGGCGAGAGAGCAAACCCCACCAGGCTGCGTCCCCAGAAGCGTCTCCCAATGGGAAAGCCAAGGCGCCAGGGGCTGTGTAGTACCACATCTTCTGCAGCCAGTGGAGGGCGGTCTTCGGGTGGAACCAAAAGCACACCTCCCGCTTTTCCAGCCATTCAAAATGTGCTGCTCCGATGGGTAGGGAAGAACCCAGTCCGGGTGTAGGGAATGAACCGGCTTTGGGGGTTCCCTGAAAGGCAACCACAGGAGATACCTTTTCTTGGGGCCATCTCAATTCAGCAAGCAAACGCCCAAGCAAGGGCAACTAATCAAGAGTCACCTCGGAAAAAGACACGCATGAGGTGTGCGTTGGACCATTCTCCGAAAAACTCTGAGGGGGGTTGAATGATGCTTTTGGCCTCCCCGTATGGTGGGATCCGACCCTGGGAATTTCCGAATGGCCTGAGGTCAACTTCGCGGCTTGGCATCGGCAAATGCTGCTTCGGGGTCTCAGGGAGCCGGGCTTCAATCCTCGTGAAACAACTCAAACATAGCCATATCCCAAGTTTCTGTTCAGAAGACTAACCCTAATTGCCCCAGAAAAGACCCATGGTTCTGACGCCACCGGCCCTACCTCTGACTTGAGACGACTTGAAGCCGCAAGCTGTGGGCGCTTTGAGTGACGCACGGCTCCCGAAACATTTATTCGTGTTGTTTTTCTTCTGGTGCGATTCCATCTAGAAACAGAGGAAATTCGAAAACCTTCTCTCACTTCCTGAGCGAACTCGCTCTGAGTAAACTCGCCAGAACAAGTTCAGGCCTCTTGTTTACCACTGCCTTGGTTGACGTTGGGTTTGGGGAGCACACATTCTCAAGTTTTAGCAGTCAAGTGGTTGGATCTCAACCGCTAAACCACCATAAGCGACAAGGGGGAAGGCGGTTTCCCAACCACACGCACGCTACGATTCTCTCCAGTCCTCGGGCCTCCCTGTCCATAGGGATCTGGCCCCGAGAAGGTCCACTTCTCGTGCAGGAGCTCAAAAAGTGAGGCGCTGTGAGTCAAAAATCGGGAGGCACCCAAAATGGGTTGCCCTGGTAACTTGGGTGCTGTAGATTCCCCAGCTGAAAGTTGAACTTTTTGCGAGTCCAAAGGAAACATGAGGGGAATCCAGAAAGTTAAAGTCTAAAGACCCAACCCAGCAGCAGTAGAGGTAAATGGACACATGGACTAAAGCCTGCGCTCCCCTGGTGGTTTAATCTTGACCCACACCCTTGTGCATTCATTTGTCGTCTCCTGGGAAAAATGACAACTGATTTCCAGTACCCTGCCACCAACTAACATGGAACCTGACAGGGTGCCCCCAAAAGAGGAAGCTTTTCCTTCTGGTACCATCCCACAGGTGCCTTCTGTTTGAGGAAGGGAGGGTAGTGGTAGATTCCCTCATTTCCCTCTAAAAGCCAGCGGGACACGCGAAAACCTCAAGCAAATGGAAAGGCTATGGTAGTGGAAGGGAGGGTAGTGGTACCTCGAAAACCTAAAAATCAAATGGAATCCCAGGCTCTCTCTTCTTTTTTCACCTCCCGGCCTGTGGGGCTTCACCCCTTCGATGCAAAACCTCCTCGCAAAGGCCCCGCCAGCGCTGCCTAAGCCCCGCGGGCTGTGTTTGAAGCCTGGGCCATGACCAAAAAACAACGGGGCATGACCATAGGTGGCCTTTTGGAAAAATAGATGGCCCTGGTAAATGGAATAAACCCCATCTGAACCAGGGCCCTCTATTTTTATAGCAAACCAACCACAAAGGACACCTATGGGCATGACCTAAGCTGGGCTTCACCTTTTGGAAAAACACCGGGCCATGACCAAACACGGGCCAGACATAGGAGATCACCTTTTGGGGGCCACATGGCGAAGAGAAAAACGTCAGATCCCGTCGATACACCTGGGTACCGAGGCAAGCTCTCGAAGGCGCACTTTCCAGGTGCCCCCCATGCCTTCAATTCGGGAGCCTCCATTTGCTTCAGTCCCCTGGGAAGAAACAACACATTTCCAGTGATAGATTCCCAAACCAACAGAGAAAACAACATAGATACATACATACATATATATATATATATGTATATATATATATATAAATATACCCTTTCAGCAACTGGAAGGTTGGCTTTGGGAAAGCAAGCCCAAGACGAAGACCCGGGCTTCTTCAACCCCTTCGATTTCTTAGTTGCTGTAACGGCCCATCGGCAATCCAACCTGTTTCAACCGACAAGTTCAAAGTCCAAAGATCCGTTACCAAAGATCCGGCTCCCTTTTGGATCCTTGGCAAATACCCTTGACTATATCCACAGGAGACACATGAATGTGAAGCAGGAAACTCACTTCTGAACAAGTCCCTGGGCTTTTTGTTGCCTGAGGTGCTCTGCCATGCTCTCCGCTCAGTTCGAAGTTTAGACACTTGGGAAGTTAGCATATAGTGAGAAAAATAGAAAAGTGCGGGCCCTGTCCAAGGATTTCGTTCCCCACAATGCTTTGGAATCTCAAGAGGAGACAGGGGTCCTTCCGCGAGAAGCGTTTCTATTTCCTACCGCGACAAAGAAACACAGAAACTGCGATAAGAAACAAGCAATCTAACAGCGATTAAAAAAAAAAAACAAAAAAAACAACAATAATACGATAATACGTTAAAAAAGGGAAATGGAGAGGAAATGAATCAGAAATGAAATGAACGGATTTTCTTCATGTCCCGTCATTTCTCCTTCATTTCCCCTTCATTTCCTCCTCCATTTAATGGTCCATTTCCCCTTCATTTCTCCTTCATTCCCCTTCATTTCTCCGTCATTTCCCTTCATTTCTCCGTCATTTCTCCGTCATTTCTCCTTCATTTCTTACAAAAGCTTCTTACAAGGCTCCTTACAAGGCAGATCTTTGCAAGGCTCCGTTCCTTACAAGGATTCCTACAAGGATCCTTGTAAGGCTCCTTTCCAGGATACTTGCAGGGCTCCTTTCAAGGCTCCTGACAAGGCCTTACAAGGATCCTTGTAAGTAGAAGGATCCTTGGAAGACTCTTATAAGGCTCAGGATGTGTACAAGGCCTTTCAAGGATCCTTGCAAGGCTCCTTACAAGGATCCTTCATTTCTCCTTCATTTCTCCTTCATGTCTCTTTCATTTCCCCTGCACTTCTCCTTCACTTCATTTCTCCTGCAGTTCCCCTCATGTCTACTTCATTTCCCTTTCATTTCTCCTTCATTTTATCTTCATTTCTCCTTCATCCTCATTTCTCCTTCATGTCCCTTTTCTTTTCTCCTTCATTTCCAATTTCTCCTTCATTTCCCCTTCATTTCTCCTTCATTTCCCCTTCATGCCCCCTTCATTTCTCCTTCATGTCCCCTTGATGTATCCTTCTATGCTATTATCGCGTTTTCTCCGTTTTCCTATCGATGTTATTTCTTGGTGCTTCTCTTGATTTTCCCTTCATCCTCCCTTCATCCTGCGTCACACGTTTTCTTGTCGTTGTTTTTCTCTTTTGTCGTGGTTAGACCCCCTTACTATCCCGAGATACTATCCCAAGAGGGCTGATGAGCGCCAAGTTGGGCAAAGCTGTGCCATGGTCCCTGGGTAACATGGGAAATCAGCCTCGGTTCAAGATTGGCTGCTCCAAACCCTCCAGCCCCCTAAGGTCCTGAAACCTGCCTGCTTCTTTGTTCTGAGTTGGTTCATTGAACCGGGAATCCATCGAAAAAAAGGAAACACCACGTTCGGCGTTCCTTCCATTCCGCCGTTCCTTTCATTTCGCACTTCCTCAATGGACTGACAAACAACGTCTTTCTTTATTTGACAAAACCAAAAAAGCTTAAAAGCCAGAACCTCGACAAGTGAGGTTTTCATTTCCAGTAGACACGGTCTGAGACTCCAAACTCAGACGTGCCGCAGCATCTCGCTGGTGACGTTGCCACTGGAGTCCGCCTCGGAGCTGGCGCTGCACGCAAAAAGGGTCCCCAAAAGGCGACTCTAGAAAATGATGCTTCCCCTGTAAACGCCATTGTTTCTTTGGTTTCAACCATGGACACCATGGACACCAAGGAAACAATGGTTTCATTCCCACGGTTTCTTAGGTGCTGCGTAATGGATCCCGCAACCATGCACAGATTGTCTTTCCCTAATGCAACCCCGGTGGGCCGCGCGCGTTACGATCCCGCCTCGTAGATGCCGGTTCGCAGCTCCTCCAAGATCTCCTGCCAGGCAGGGAGGAGGCTTTGGCGACCTGCAGGAGTTGGTTTTTCGGCTTGGCCTGGGCCTTGCCGGGGAGGCCATCACCAATCCCCCGACACTGCACAAGCTTCAGCTGATGCTCGTCAGGATGTGGATGTGCTCTTGAGACCCACTGATACACAAAGCATGAGTACTCTGTTTCATGCAGGAAGGCTTTGGCGATTAGAAGCACTCGTGCTTCCGCAGTTGCAGCTCCATTGTTTACAAGAAATCGGACATCGTCACACTCACGCGAATAAACAGGCTTCGACGTCTACACCTTGGCAGAACGCGGACTTGGAGGGGACCTCTCCACAATGAAGGCCTTCCGAGGTCAAATGTGGGCCAGAATGCGTGTGCGAACTATTGTTTACACCACAAGGCGAAATAACAGCTGGGTTGGGCCGACACCCTTCAAACATGTTCAATCTCACAAGTTCTGCAACCTCCAACCGCCTTAAACCAACGGAAAAGTACAAGGTTTACCTCAAAACATGTGTTGGGCTGTTTGGTCCATTCAAACCTTTACAACTTTTGCTTTGGGCTTTCAACAAACTTCGCGCTTCGCAGCCCACTCTTTCACATGAACAGAACCAAAGAACAAAAACGAACAACCCGAACACATGCCCACAATGAAGAAACTTCAACCCCCCACGCCACCGAAGAACCAGAAAAGAAAAACCGAGCCAAACTCTGCCCACAACAGTGAAGATCAAATCAACCCCCAAACCACCGAAGAACCAGAAAAAAAAAAACACAAAGCAACAAAAACAAAAAGAGGAAGACCAGAAAAAACAACAATAAACAAAAAACACACACACATGCCACCACTCCACCCCGCCGTAAACCTCCTCCTTGGTTTCCCCGGGCCCCGGGAGGTTCCATTTGCTTAAGGCCCCAAAAAGTAGAAAATATGTCCAGCAGTGGTGACTTCCTTTTAGAAACAACCAGGGGAAACATATAAATGAGGGTTGTCCAATATTCCTTGCTAGGGGAAACATATAAATGAGGGTTGTCCAATATTCCTTGCTAGGGGAAACATATAAATGAGGGTTGTCCAATATTCCTTGCTAGGGGAAACATATATCTATATATATATATATTTATGGTAGGACCCCCCTCCAACACCAAGGTTTTCCTGCTTAAACATGTAATATATGCTGAGACCCCCTCCCAATACCAAGGTTTTGGTTTGTTTGACTTGTGGGGCAAATGATGGATTCTTTGCAGGGCAGACGCAGAGGTGACTTCCAGCAATCAATTGCAAAGTTTATGAACTCATTGCTGTTGTTTTTGTGAATAGTACCACAGCGACGTAAAAGTTTCGTAGCATATACACGTGGTGGCCACGTTTGGCTCAAGTCACAAGTTCTCCATCCCAGACTATGCGTCGCTGCGAATCCCTTTTCCGAACTCTTGCACCAGCGTTGCAGGACAGCACAACCATTCCTGTTGGGACACAAAGCTGTTTCCCTTCGATTCTCAACAACAAACGCCTTACCCCAAAAAACTGGGTATCAGGAACCGAGGGGGGTAGTGTGCTCACACTTTCTGCCTCTAAAATAAGAGTGTTTTTTTGGCGTAGTTGGTGTGTAGAACGGTGGATGGCCACTAGTTGGAAAGCGTCATATCTACTCTGCGCTTCTCTTTTTCCACATGACTGAAAGCACTGCAACATACGGTGTTGTTGATGATTGGCTACCTTCTTTACGGTAGCAGGTGTTTCGTCTTTGGAGGATTGAAAGGCAAAAAAGCCAAAACGGATTATGTGTTCGGCTTCAAGCATGGTCTTGTTTGAAAATTTTGGTGTTTACACTGGTTTTGAGTACGCATGGCAAAGCAACACAATATGTTTTTTGCAGCTTGAGCCCCGTAAAATGCCAGTCAGGATCCTGAGGCCATCGGTAGGGGGTGGGGCTGATAACCGTACCAATCATTTGACCATACATGGCACACCAAGCAACACTCCCAAGTCAATGTCCAATTGATTCTCAAATGGTTGCTATACCAAGTAGGTTGACCCAACCTCATTTGAGCAAGTTTGGTGAAATCCTGCCTTCATGGTTGTGTGAACCAACCTTTCTGGGATTTGAACATTGGCCTACGCCCCTTGCCACCCGCTCTAAAACCTGCACAAGCTCAAAAAAAGAACCTGAAGAAGATGAAAGCTTTGAAACTTGCACAGGCCCAGAAAGAACAAAACAGAAAATCCGGACCCACCAGGCCCATAGTGCCAACAAAAGAATAATGACTAGCAATGCAAAACCTTGTCATTACTAGACTATGATTGACATTTCAATTGACATTTAATTAAAACCATGTTTGCAAGGGAGCTCATGTTCAAGCTCTAGTTTAAAATCTAAGTTCTGGTTGAACTGGTTTCGTCATGAAAACAAATACCCTTATTGTTTAAACCACATCTAATCCAAATAGAGTTGAGAATGAATTCTTATTTGAAATTATGCTCAGACGCCAATTGAATGATTGCCTTTAGCTCCGATTTGGAAAGGAATTCCTATTTAAATTCCAGCTGAATATAGAATTTCAGGTGAACTATGTCCTTACTAAATTCTTTGCAACATGTCAGTTCAATTTGAAGTAGTAACATCTTATTTGCAAGGGGATTCACATTTGATATTTCGGAGGTTCAGATCTTCAGATTCTAGATTTCAGGTGCTCCAAATTAGATCGCGCTCACCTGGATCGAAGATTTGAATATCCTTTACAACAAAACATCCATTTGCCACGCAGCAAGCCAACACAGGGTTTATAAACCCAACACTGGGTTTATAAACTTTAAGAGGCCAGTGTATAAATCTTTTCGGGGCGTTCAACTTGTTGCTTGCAAAGAATGGGGGGGGAGGGGGGCGGAGGGGGGGGGGGAGGGGGGTATAGACTGACTAACAATAATTCAGTGTTGGAGTTTATACATTTTCAAGTTTAGTTTATAAACTCTTGACTGTTGAAGGGACCGTGGGGGGAGGGGGCGGAGGGGGAGGGGGGTGGGGGGAGGGGTCGGGGGAGGGGGTGGGGGGGGAGGGGGGCGGCGTGGCAACTCTGAGAGGGGGGGGGTGGCGTGGCAACTTCGCCCCCAAGTTGCCACAGATCCCCCCCCTCCCCCGCCCACTCCCCCACCCAGCTCCCCGCCCACTCCCCCACCCCCCTCCCCCTCGCCCCCTCCCCCCCCATAAACTTGGAAATGTATAAACTCCAACACTGAATTATTGTGAGTCAGTCTATGCTCATTTGCAGTTCCCATCCTGATTGCAGGTGTCCTCGCCAAGATGTACATGCATCATCACAAATATGAAACACATGTTATCTATGCTGAGCTCCTCCTCCCCGACCAGGCTGGAGTTGAAGGAGTAACACAACGGCAGGTCCACCGGAGGCAGCGTGCCCCACAGCATGCTGAGCCTCGAGTCGTCGAGCTCGGGTGTCGGTTTCAGAGCCTCAAAACACAAGGCTTAGGCTTGAAAAGAAAAAAACGGTTGCAGGAGCAACATCTACGGGACAACAGCTAATTTGTGGCCATGTCCAATAGATTTGCCTGTAACCAAACCCTGTGAAAAAGGTCGGGGTCACCCTTCCTCCCACTAACGTGACACCTGGACGGTATCTGGAAGATCAGTTCCTTGGAGTTGCGCCCGAACGTGAACACCCAAAGAACCAGCACCAAAAACTAAACATGAGCTTCCCTCTGATTGGTGGTTTGGACTTGTGGTTTGGCTTAAGGAGGTAGGTTTCCCATTTACCCTCTGCAAGAACCAGGGGTTCTACACCCGCAAACCACCAATCCAAACCACCAACTAGGGGGTTACCCGAAAACCCATGAACCATGAACGGGAGGATTGAAAAAACACAAAACGCTGGGAAGCCTTAAAGGTTCGGTAAAAAAAACCTGAACAGCGGCTTGAAGAAACAAAAAACGCTCAGAAAGTCAATGGGCCAAGAACAAGTCATGCTCAAAAACCACAAAGAAACCATGGGTGTGTCTCTTTTGAGGGGACCCCTGTTTCCTTTTGGTTCCCCGTTGAAGCCACCAAAAAGGAACCTAGTCTGAGCCACCAGGTTGGCGTTGCTGCATGTTGTTGTGAATAATGTCCTCTTCACCATTTTGGTGTTCGATGGAACTAGCAGCCAAAATCAACCTTTCGACACGCCCCATGCTGGTGATATCAGTGATACTCACCGATATCGAGCAAGAATGTGTTGCCACTCTGCGCATGACCCCTTTAGCATGCATAGGCAGCTCAGAAGTCAAGATCACAACTCTCAGAGAAAACTAAAGGTGAAACTGAAGTATGCCTCAGGACTGAACGCCGAATTATCTCAAAATTGCATCTCAACCCAACCACGTGCCAGCAATGACACCTGCCGGCATCCTTCCATATTGCCATCCAAAGCCTCTTGAAGGCAGTCTGGCGCAGCATGACCTCGTATGAAATCTGCCGCGGTCAATCCCCGCGAGTTCCGTAGATGAAGATCTGCTCTCGCATTTATCAACGCTGCAGCACCTTCGTAATTCCCATTAAGTAAAGCGCTCAATAACGGCGTTGCACCTTTTGCGTGATAACATAGCCTGCCCAGCAGCGTGACATGTTGAAACCGGTGCTTCCAAGCCAACAGCGTGGTGATGACTCGTGCCATGGCTGTAGCCTTGAACCACTCAGGTCCCTGATCATTCACATCTGCCCTCATGTCAATCAGTCTGTGCACGATCTCAGCACCTCCACGACCCAGCATTGCTTGGTGAAGAGCTGAAGTGGCGTTACCGGCACCGGCGCTTCCTCGGATGAACAACTCATCCATGGCTTCCACGCCTCCAGAATTGGCAGCAATCTCGAAGACAGTGACGCCGAAGCCGTTTTGCTGAAGAGGGCTGCACCCAGCGTGACACAGAAGCTGGACAGCTTCGACATTGTTGGCTGCCGCTGCACATATGAGAGGCTGAAATACCATAGACTTGGTGGTGACTTCGGCTTTGCGCGAGATGAGAAGCCGTGCAGCTTCGTTGTGCTTGAAGAAGCAGCATATGGAAAGAGAGGTCGCGCCGGCTTCAAATCCAAGGGTTGTGTGCACTTTCTTGGCTCCTCGGTTGGGGTCTGCACGCAACTTCAGTAGTTCTTGAAGTAATGACGGATCTCCCTGCAGGGCAGCATAATGAAGAGGACACCATCCACAACTGTCACTCTCATGGATGCCTTGGAATCCGTTCTGATTCAAAACACTCATGACAGTGTCCAGCTCAATCTCTTGCTCAAAGCCTGGAGGCGACCAGAATATCTTGCAACCCAAGCCTCTGAGAATCACAGGTTGCCGGTTCAGCAAAGCACGGTATCCTGGAAATTCTTGGGCCATGAGGTGACGCAGCATCTTGCGCTTCAGCGCAAGCATCAGAGCTGGCACCAGTCTGGACCGATCCACTTCCACGGTGAAGAGGCCTTCACCGACGGGCTCAGATCCGATCAGCGCAGATGCCATTGCAGATTGTATAAGCTCAAGGTCTTTAGGGCTTCTCACCACGATCCAGGAAGGATCTTCCGCAAGCTCTCGGCAGGTTCTCTCAAAACGGCACCAACCACGAGCATGCCATGTCGATGGAGCAATGAGATCTGGTCTCTCCAGATGCCCCAAGATCGGTACGAGGGCAAAAAAAAAGGAGCACTCATGCACATATGCCGGTATGCTGTTGATGGCATCCGATAGCCTGGGGTAAGCACAAGGATCCTGAGGGCATGAAAGTAATCATACCAGAAAAACAATGACTCTGAGAAGAGCTTGGATGTAGGCAGCGGCTTGGCACGTGGATCCAAAACTTCCGATTCTTTATGGATTGGTATGAACTTCAGGTCGGTCATTGCATGCTTCAAAGCCTCTTGCAGGACCTTCATCTGCTTGCAGTCTGGGTCTGGGTGGCCAGGTGTAAGCCACTGGTGTGAAACAAACGCCGCCTTGCCCATGGTTGTGTTGAACTCGACCAAGGCATCTCTGGCCTTCAACGCTTCATGAGGTTCCAGCTTGGTCATCTCCAACAAAGTGCTCAAAGGGACGGTGTACATTGGGAAAAGCAGAGGTAGCTCACCTACATCCAGCTTCATTGATCTCGCGTATCGCGCCAGTGGCGTCACTAAACCCGGCGCCCTGCAGCATGCCATTCACTGTGTTTTACTCTGTGACTAGAGCTTCTGGCCACGCAAACAACCTGCATTTTGTTTACCTATACTTCCACAAGCTGAATTTTGCGGGATCAAGCGAAGCACCAAAAATCCTGGCTGTCCCTGTTTTGTCCGCAGTGAGCTTGCTATGAAAAAATATGCAGATCAACGTGCGATGCTTCCTATGTCAACCTCACTGGGCCGAAAAGATGTGAAAGCCAAAAACAATACCTGGACCCTCAAACTACCCAGAAAACGAATTTCACAAACCCTATTTTTGGGGCCATAACTATAACACATTTTACAGGAAATTGTTTGAGGGTCCAGGTCGAGTCGACATCTCGGTGCGCTGCATATAGAGTATCGTGATCTGACAAAAAAACAAACATGTTGACCGGTCTTCGATATTTTCCAAAGCCCACCGACCAGTGCACAAATCCAAGATCCGATACCCAAGGCCCCAACACCCACACTCCACTCTTGCATGCGGGTTCCTTGAGCAACACTGCTCGCACCATGAAACTCAGAGCCTTGCCATTCTGCAATTTCAGGGAAGGAACTGCTGATTTGTTGGTTGAGGACGGGCATGTGGCTGTCGTCAACACTGCAAGTATGAACGCAAACAATCAAGGTGCAATCTTCTCTACAACGCGAGTGCGCAACAAATGGAGCACCAACACTGGGACCATGAGAGTCAGCATGATGCGTGGGAGATTGCGAATGCCAAAACTGTAAATACCACATTAAGCATGGCTCATCAAAATTGTAGTCGTCATACTTCATTCCATATCCCAGACAACAGTCATGCTGCAAATGCAACAAACAGCCAAAGTTGCAAAGCTTGCGTACGCAGGCCGCATCAATGAATCCATTGCACTGCCCAGAAGCCTTGCTTTCTAAAAAAGAACAGTAACAAAAACATCATGACTCGGTTGCTTTCTGCTCCCCTGCTAAAAGTGAATATGTTTTAGTGGCTTAATACGAGTTGGCTTGCTTGAGGTTAAAGGGGAACCCTTCCGCCAAAAAAAAGGGAAAAGGGCACCACTGGGCAACAGAGTCATGAAGCTGCCCCGCGCCACGCTGATTGAAACCGTAACATCAGGGTGGTTGCATCGGCCGAAAAGCCGGGGTGTCTCTCTCTCTCTCTCTCTCTCTCTCTCTCTCCTAGGTCCTCGAGTAGTGAGGTTAGAATAAGGGTCCCAACTTTTTTCTTTAGTGAATTTTATTTCAAAAAACCCTCCCCCCAACAAAAGTTGGTCAAAGGGCGTCAATCGCTGGGGGACCTAGTCTCTCGGTCTCTCGGCCCCCGGCTTCAGCTGGAATCTCTTGGCCAAGCCATCGCTATTCTCCTGATAGTAGACCTGAAGCCCAAACGAGTCATCATCAAGACCCGGTGCTAAGATTCGGTCGGCCCAAACCATGTGAAGAATTGAGAAGGCGGAAATCCGCAGCTATTTGTGGCAAGGGGATCCGCAGCTATTTGTGGTTGGGTTTGTCCCTTACTAACCTTCATCTACCCGTGGTTTTGATTGTGGGTCAAATGGGTATGGGTCAAAACTACACCAGGATATGGACCGCAGCTTGACCTGTCCCTTCCATTTACCGGGGTGGGCAAGCCGTTGTAGGGGTGACCCGAACTTTGACAACACCAACCAACTCAACGCAGCCCGCGATTCTCGCGGCTCAGATTTTGGGACTCGGCTGCCCCAACTAACATGCGCCTCGCCCATGGGATGTTCGCGGAAGTTGCCCCCGTGCAATAGAAAGGCGATGGCCCGTTTGAGGCCACGAAAAAACGGCAATGGGCAACTACAAGGGCATTTCTGGTAAATTCGCGTTGAAGAAGTGAGTGGATTGATGTTGACCTCGGATCTAAGTAGAAAGCTTCCTATTGATAGGGTGGGGTGGGGGGACCCCTCCAATAGTGAAGGAATCCGGCCTGAAAGGGGGCTCTCTATTCATCCATCGGTCTTTTGTCTGGTTGCCATGAGAGGTTAGGGGGTGGTATCTCTCTCTCTCTCTCCCTCTCTCTCCCGCTCTCTCTCTCTCTCTCTCTCTCTCTCTCTCTCTCTCTCTCTCTCTCTTGGTCTCTCTCTTGGTCTCTCTCTCTCTCTCTCTCTCTTTCTCTCTTTTGTCAACGTGAAGCGACCATCCCACGCGGGGTTGAGCACCCTTGCCCTTGTTCTCACAGAGGGAACACGTCGCTTGTTTGCAGCAAGAAAACTCCCTTCTTTCAAACCGTTCGAGCCTTGAGCCGTGTTGGTGTTTATTTGCAGCCCCAACAAGCGTCACAGCGCACTTGTTTAACGGTCCATTTCAAGCGGTTTGGCGTCCCTTGGTTAGTCGGGTTACAACACCTTCCCAGAAAGCAACTCCCATTTGCCTAATGTCTGCCTCTGATAAATAACCCCCCCTATGAACTACTTCCCTCCTGGAAACAGTTTGCCAATCGTCTCCCAACTTGATTGTGCATTGCTAAGTACCGCTCAAAGACCTGGAACGTCTACTTTAGTACTGAGCAATACTACTTTTGAATTGGGAATGAGGATTCCGGATTCCGAAAGGAGCTTCGGTCCTTGTTGCCAATTGAATCTATTGTTGGAGCCTCCTGTTGAATTTGATTTTGCTTCCTTTTGAATGTGACTTGAGTGTTTAGTTTGTTTGGTATTCTTGTGGATTTCACTTTCCATTTGTTGTATTGCTGGAGCTTCCTTAAAAATGTCAATTGAAAACAAAAACGCTTTTTTTAGGGGGGGTTGTGAACCTGCTGACCAACAACATAGATTTATTTAGGGGCCGAGGTGGTTTAATCGTGTGGACATCAAGTGCCCTGGAAAAACAGTAGTGCCAGATTCCCGTAAAACTTGAAGCGGGAGGGCCTTGACAAGAGTTGATTTGATGGAAGTGTTGACGTATCTATATATATATATGTGTATATACACATGAACACGAGTTCAGATAGGTTGGCATGTTAAAGAAACAGAAGTCTCCATGTTCTCCGACACACAGCAAAAAAACAAGCGGCAGTGTTCGATCCGAGCCTTGAACCACGCGGACTTGGAGGGCAGAAAGAGGGGCACCCCGGCCCAGTACCAGTCCAGTGCCGTGAGCGACGCGTCCGCGTAGGGTAGAATCACCGCGGCCCGGTGCTGCCTCGCGCGCGGAGTCCCGCAGAAATGAAAGGTCAAACCCTTTGCGGTCTGCGGTCATGACAAAACATGGGCAAACGAGGAACCAAAAGGTCAAAAGGTCGATTCGCTTTGGGCAAGTGAGTCTGATTTGGCCCAAGGGGCTTCAAATCTCTAACTCTCGGGCAGGATTAGGTATCACGGCTTGATCGCCATGTCAAGCCCTCCCTGCAGCTTAACATGCAACCCAACCACACACGTACAATAGAGCAACTCTATAAACAGGCCATGAGTGCCTATTCTCGTGAAAGGTTGCTTCCGCGCAAGCTCGCGCTTTGCAGAAGCGGTTCTTTTCGTGGCCGTTGCATTCAAATTAGCCCTCTTGCTCAACGCTTTGAGTTTGGCTTTGGCCAACAACTTTGCCTCTAGAATCGCATTGCCTCCTCTGCAGATCAATCATGGCATGGGCGGGCCGTGCCTGCATATGCCTGCTTAACCGCCCTGGCCGACATAGTTTTGTCGAACCCGCTGTGCGGAAGCCAACGACTGAGCCCCTGGCCAACGTTCAACATCCGTAAGCGCAGGCGCTTCCCATGACAGAGCTCTTGCTTGGCTTGTTGCTGAGTTCAGGGTGCGCAAAGAATGATGCGCTTTGCGGTTTCCACTTTACAGAGAGTTCCCTCAAAAAATGGACACCCCCCCCATTTTTTCAGAGAAATCTACTTTAACCTGACACCTCTAGTTTAAAGCGCAGGAACTCAGGAGGCGGGGCACGTGCGTTTCTTTTGCTTCCAAGTTGCAGGATGGCCTCCTTGGGGTAGGCCTTGCCGTAGATCGAGCTCGGCGCAGCCAGAGCCACCTCGATTTGACGATTGATCACGAAATGGAAGTCATTCTCAGTTGCCCCAAAGGGACCCAGAAATCAAAAGCTGAGCATCTTTTGGGGCCATGACTAAATATGGACCAAAATGGGAAAATCAACAGGTCAAAAGGTCGATTCGCTTTGAACAACTGAGCATTTGCTGGACTCTTGGCTCAGTGTCTTGCTTCTGGCTTCCTTTGTTCAATTGGACTTTGTTGAGGGTTATGAAGATGTGTCTGGGCTCTTTATGAATTCTTTTGGCGGTGTGTTTCGGTGATGTCTTTGCGGATGTCCTCCAAGGGTGTCTTGGGGGATGTCTTTTGAAGATGTCTTTGGGGGATGTGTTTGAGGATGTCTTTGATGGCGTCTCTGGGAATGTCTTTGCGGTTGTCTTGGGCGATGACTTGGGGGGGAAGTCTACAGGGGGATGTCTTTGGCCGGTCTTCGGTGATATATTTGGGGATGTGTTTGTGGGTGCCTTCGGGAATTGTCAATGGGTGTGTCGTTGGCGGCATCTACGGGGTCGGCGTTGGAACATTTGTCTTTGGATCATGTTTTTGAACATAGGAACGTCTTGGGGATGTCTTGGGAGATGCTTTTCGAGGCCGACTTTGGGGTCGCTTGTGCGGATGTCGTCTTCAGATATGCTTGTGGACACGTCTTTGGGAATCTTCACAACCCTTGGTATAGGCTTGTGACAAACAGTTGTTTTTTTGCAGCCCCCGAACCTAAACATGAGCAGAACCAAACAACTAACAAACCAAACACATGGTGTTGTTTGCAGCCCCACTAAAAATGATCAGAACCCCCAAAACAAAACAAAAACAGCTTGAGCCAAGAACAGTGAAGAAATGCATCCTTGGTTCGTGCGGGTGCATGGGTTTTTGTTTATCATTGTTCTGCATCCGGGTCGGGGCCTCTAAATCAAACACATCTCCAGAAGGGATGATTCCAACCATTCTTCTCAGCCATCGTTCATTTCAACAACCAGCCATTTCCCCAGGGATTTGTGTGGTTTTCTAGAAAGAAGGATCCCTGGACAGAATGGTGAAGTTACCCCTAGAACATCCCTCTAAAGTGATGGACATGAACTTCCATTTGCAGTTGTTCGCTCCCTGAAAAACACACCATAGACATATTTCTGCGAGGGATAGGGTCCCTTTAAAACCAACATTGGAACATAAAAAACATATTCTTAAGGAAATAGAAGTGCATCACTCAGTAGAAATAACTCCCAAAGCAATCCCAATCTCCAAACGACCACAGCCAACAAATAAACAAACAAACAAACAAATTCCAGCATCCGCCTTCACAGTTGTAAAGTCTCCAATTTCCCTTCATATTGTCTTTCAAAGGGATGTTGGAACCAGACAAAAAAGAACGGCTGATCCCCGCTGAAGATCAAATGACCCCTTTGACTCACTTCCTGTGTGGACTAAAATGGCCTTCCCAAAAAGCTCAAAGTCCATGAATTCAGGGAGTGAGCCCCTTAAAACGGACCCTCACGCGGCCAACCCAATATGAACGTTTCAGCAAAGTGCGTAGGTGGCATGTACCTTCCCAAACATCAACAGCCAAGCACTTTAGCAGTTTAATGCTGGCCCCCAATTAAGTACCCTGTCCTACTAAAGTAGTGAAGGATTCCCAAATGGTTTAATCAACCAGGGATTTATTGATCTGGGGTTGACACCTGAGTGCTCCCCCCCTCCATGCAATGGTCCTTGTGCCCACATTCTGCCCTTGCCCTTGCAAGTCATAATAAATGCGTGGATGAGGCTACCCTTACGAAACGCCAGGGTCGCGATATGGAGTTCAGCTTCCCAAGTTGTGATTTACTTTGCGGGTCGCAATGAACACACTGCAAATGACCGTGGACCAAGGGAGTCCTCAACGTGCCTGTCAAAACGATATACCCTTCCAACTACTTACCCCTTAAAACTCCAAGCCCTGGGGAAGTTAATCTTTTACAGACATATAGCCCATGTTACCCAAAAAGTTGAAAAGCTGTGTTTTTAAGAGGTAAGACTAACATAACACCTGTGGGGAGGTTACCCGGAAGATGATGTTTGAAGGGACCCCTGTCAGTTGTCGTGTTGGGAGGGTGCCCAAGAGTTGGGCGGTGGGCGACTTTTGTGGAGTCCGGGGGCCCCGTGAGACGCACCTATCTTAAGGATTCCCCCGGTCAATCTGACGGACGCGACCCAAAGGAAACCACGCAGGCCTCCCGGAACCAGTTCTTCAGAGACAACACCGCCTCCACCTGCCGAAGCGAAAAACGTGAGAAGAAGCTGCCCAATGGCAACTGGGCTGCCCGTTTTCAGCTCCCCCGCTAAAAGTGACTAACTGTCTAACTTTTAGTGGGTTACATTCGGAAATCCAACCACTAAACACTAAAAGGCTAAAAAGCTGAGGAACCGGATGGCTGGGAGCCACCAAGGCAAGTGTTCGTTTGGGAAAACTGGGTGTGTTGGCGGCTAAGGTCCCCTTGTTCATTCCCCTGGGAGAACTATCCAAAGGTCCGCAAGCAAAGCAAGCAGAGCAAAGCAAGCAGAGCAAGCAAGCAAGCAAGCAAAGCAAGCAAGCAAGCAAGCAAGAAAGCAAATAACGAAAAATAAAATAAACATAAAAAAAGAAGCAAGCAAGCCAGCCAAAATTGCAAGCAATAAATACCGGCACACACACACACACACCGAGACAACCAGCCGCCTGCTCCTCCCGGAATTTCTTGAAGCCTTTCCAGCGCGAGTCCAGGGATACGTCCGGCCACAAGAGCACCGTGTCGCTCGGCTCGGCTGCACGAAAGTCCTCGGAGCGCCGTGCCGTGGGACGCTCGGCCGAGTGAGCGACGGGTACAACCGTTGGATCTGGGCTCAGATCCCATGGTTTACGTTGGAAGGGGAGTTAAAAAAACAAAAAAAATGCTGAAGGGGAGTTTAAAAAATATTTTTTGGCTGTGAAGTGGGGATTTCAACCACTAAACCACAAGAACCAAACATGCAAAATGTGTCCATGATCCCCTGGTCCACGACCCCGTTGCACCCGAAGGGTCACGGAGGTTTCTCAAGTGAGGTATTCAATAAGCTGTCGAGGGGTGGATTCCAATTCCATTCTTTTCAACCATGGCTTTTCAATAACCGGATCCGTTTCCCCGAGTGTCTGAAGGTTTTCTAGAAAGATTCGGATTCCTGGAAAGAATGGAAATATATGGAAATGGAAGGTACCCCTAGAACCGTTGGATGTGGGCTCAGATCCCCTGCCAAAAGGGACTAGCTTGTGGAGCAAATGGATACCTGCGCCGTATCATTCAAGGGGCAAGCAAAAGACTCACTGGGTGGATGGGCCAGTAGAAGTTCAAACTGTTTGCTTCCCACCAAAATGGTCTTTCCGAAAAGTTTGAAGCCCGGGAATTCAGTGAGTGAGTTCAGAGTCCCCCAAGTAAACAGCAGCCCGAAACCCATTGACCCTTGGTTCAACGCTTTCGGTTAAGGCTATATGGAGGCGGGGGGGTGTACATCATGGCGAGCTCGCCTTCTTATGAGGTTTGTTCAAAAGAGACCCGAGCCATATTCCCCTAGTTGCCAAGTTGTATGACCACCCTGGTCAGTCAGTAGTCAGTAGCCCTGGCAAATAGAACCAGGTGAGCCCGGGAAAAAAAGAAGCTCCATATCCCCAGCCAAAACAAGAAACACATGCACCCCCTCCCTTTCCACATTATTTCCCTCATGCCCGGTCAAACATATGGGGGAACGGACATCGGCCCATTTGAGGGTTTGTCCGACTATGTGCTTCTTCGCAGCTTTCCTTCAAATGCATAAAACAAAACCTGATTAGATGTCCCTTCAACAGCTGCAATTCTATTTGGCCAAGAACCCTAAGACAGAAACCAAATACCAGTGATTCCATTAACACCATCTAGGTCCTCCAGTAGAGAAAATACAATAAGGTACCAACCTTTTTTCTGTAGTCTATTTTGGTAGGGGCCCGAACCCTCCCAACCAAAAAAGGAAAAGCGGTTCACTTGGGGCACCAATTGCTGAGAGGAACAAATTGGCCCAGGCTCCCGGCCTGAAGGCCATCTCCGACCCCCGCCATGCGCCAGGAAATGGACGGCAAGCCCTCCACCAGCAAGGGAACCTCCACCCCCAGGATGTGCCTGGCATACCTGCACACAAACAAAAAATCGACGGCTGATATGCTGTTTCATTTTTTTCGATGTAGTCTCTCTCAATACAACCAGTTCGCGGTGGCGTGAGCCCGATTGGCAAACAAAAAGGTTCCAACTTGTGTGCGTGTGTGCCAACGAATTGGTTGTCCCAAGTCCAGAACTTAGGAAGTGACTTGGGGTCTAGGTTGCAATCTCACGACCCACGTTGGAAGCTGACTGCTGGGGGAGGGGAGGCCACAAAGCCACGTTCCTCCAAAAGAGACAAATACCAAAAGTGTACTCCTATAATCATAGCTAAATATGGCTGTAGAGTGCTGGAGTGCAACCCCATTCTAGTAGTTTAGCCCCTTGTAGGTCATTTACCGGGCCTTCTGGCAGTTCCCAGCGGGCGGATGTGGGAGGTCATTTGTTGGTTTCTGCTTCTTGGAACCATGGATCGCCTCCCCCTTGTCACTGTGGCAAAGGGGACACTGGGTGAGTCTTCTTTGAGCGGACTCCCCCCCCGCGAAATGGGAGGTTTCCTTCTGACCCCCCCTTTAAAGCCACAAACCAAAGGCAAAGAAAGCACGAACTCCAAAAACAACCGAGCCACCCGCTTGAATGTGACCCTTGAGATAGAAATCGACGCAGGTCTGGTGCAAAGGGGCGAATTATCCAGTGCGCCAAAAGGAGATTCGAATCTGCGGAAGCCGCTGCCGATGAAGTAGCATGTAGCCCAAACTGCCCAAACTGGACACCGATCAACTTTTTGACCTCCACATGGAAGAACAAAAGAAACATCATGCAGGGTATAGTTGTTCAAAAAGCAAAAGAACAATGGCTGATTCTCAAACTAGCCCAAACAAAGCGACACGTCGTATCTCTAAGCATGGAATCATACCCCAACGTCGCCTTCAAACTTTTGGCAAGTGAGCAAATGGATTAGGACATGTGGCATATATGTTTGCACTATGCAATGTATAGCAGGCAATATTACACTTTGTTGTTGGGGTTGCGGCTGAACTTTGCGGGGATTGCACAACTCACTTCCTGAGATGGGCCAAAACAAGTCTGAACTGTTTGTTCACCGCCAAAATGGTTTTCCCAAAAAGAAAGCAACCCAAAAAACTCAGGGAGTTGAACCCCGCAAAAAAGGTCCCAAGAATTTGACGACAGTCCGAAACGAAAACTCAGAGCATGACATTTCAATGGAGGGAGCGTTCCACATGCGAGGAGAAGGGTGCATTCAAACGGAGTGGGAACTCCAAAAAATGCCTCAATGCATATTGCGAGCTTCCCGTACTCTGGAGCTGTCCGAGTTGTGCAGGGCTGAGCAGACAACCAGGGACTTCCCATTCTTTCCAGGGATCCTTCTTTCCAGCAAACCAGAACCGGGAAACCAGCTGTTGTTGTTTTTGTTGCAAAGAACGAGGGTTGAAAAGAATGGAATTGGAATCAAGCCCTAGGCTAAAGCTCTCCGCACTTCTGAGAGAGTTGAGCCCAGGACTGGGAAGGCGAAGCTGAGTGGGGTTGCAGCCTGAGTCACCGGACCGGCCAAAGAGCACTGGATGGATGGACTTGGACATGCTTTCCGGCTGTCAAGGTTACGAGGAAGAGGAGCAAGAAGTAGAGATTGAGGTGGAAGAGGAGATGGCGCAGGCCCATAGAGAATGACCACTATGATATTCCCAGAGACGAAATGGTTCATGGAAAGGGGGATTCTCTTGTATCACAGGAGTGGGGATAAACCCCACAACCCTGAGATGGAAGTGGAATCAACCCCTAGAAATCCAGGAACTCCCAGCTTTCCAAGCCGCTCCTGCGTGAGCTGCGTGGTGGCCAGGACCAGCGGCCGCGCAGCCAGCAGCACCTTTTTCGCGAAGGAAGACACATGGCTTGGCTGGAAGAAGGGGACCCCAGCATTTTTGTTTTTAAAATGTATTTATTGTTTCCCTGGTTAGTGGAAAACAAAAAGAGAACCCTAAAAGGACAAGACAATAAACAGGGGAATTAATTCTAGGGAAGACATGAGAGGCGTCCAGGCGCTTCCATTTGCCAATACGGCCCCTGGAAAACTAATCAATCCTACACTAGGCTAATCCTATACTAGGCTGTCCTCAGATCCCCGGCTAAAAGTGAATAACTTTTAGTGGGTCAAATGGAAACCCCCCACTAAACACTAAAAGTCTAAAAATCTAAGGGGATGGCCGGGAGCAACCAAGAACATACACCATATTTGCAGTAGTGATAGATTCCCAGAAAAACCAACAGGGGGAATAAAATATAGTCTTAAACAAACATAAATATGTGTAACTTCATGATAGGTTCCCAGAACAAACAAACAGCAGGGGGGAATACAAGGTATTCTTAAGCAAATGAGAGCTTGCAAATTCAGACTAAGTGGTGCAGGATGTTGTTAACCCACAAGGGGGACGCTTGTTCTGCTGACGCTCCTTCAGAAAAAAATGGCTCAATTCTCATGAACTTTGAAGTTCAAATGTTCATCGTCGAACAAGGGGCATCACCTATAATTATACTCTAAGTATCTTCATAGGTGAACATCCGAGCAACAATGCGTTATCACCTTTTGGGCCTGGTAAACATGGAACCCAAAATGGCAATAGCAAGACCAACAGTAAAAGGGTCGACTTTAGGCCTTGCTGAGACTTCTACCCAAACTACCTCCGCTAACATGGAACCCGACATGGGGTGGTTCGGACAATGCTCCTTCAAATGGGACCATGTCTCTCGTGGGTTCCATGGCAACCATTTGGACACCGCTGGAAAACCGCCCCTCCCAGTTCTCTCTCTCCTTACCCCTTAAAACTCCAAGCCCTGGGGAAGTTAATCTTTTACAGACATATAGCCCATGTTACCCCAAAAGTTGAGAAAAGTTGTGTTTTTAAGAGGTAAGTCTCTCTCTCTCTCTCTCTCTGCGCGCGCAGCGCGCTGAGAGCTGCGCGCGCCTCCTGGCACTCCTCGAATTCCGCGGAGCACTCCGCGAGGCGCCTTCCGAGCGCGGGAAGCCGAGCGCGCAGCGAGCTGACGCCAGGGGGAAGAACTTGCGAGTGCCGAGTGCGAGGGATGCAGGGAATGAGAAACGGAATGGACCGAGTAAAAGCCACCGAGTTGGCTTCCTGAAAGGGAACTTTCAGGTTCATTCCCGCGTTCCCGACCTATCGCACCAGCAAGAAAAAGGAGATTCATCCACTAGGTCCTCCAGTAGAGAGGTTAGAATAAGGGTACCCTTTTTTTGTAGTCTATTTTAGTAGGGGAACCCTCCCACCAAAAAAGGGGTTAAAAAGGGCACCTAGCTGGGGGACCTAGTCAAAAAGTCACCTGCTTCCCCGGCAGCTTGCCAAGGGGCCACTCTCAAAGACTTCTTTCCCATCGGCTAAGGCCGTGCTTGGTCCTCACTTGCCCTTAGGGACCCAGAAATCAATCGGTGAGCATCTTTTGGGGCCATGACTAAAAATGGAAAATGGGAAAGCTCAAAGGTCAAAAGGTCGGCTTTGAACGACTGAGTCAAGGAACCCTCAAAAAATCAGCTGGTCCAGTCGAAAAGTGAGAGAACACTGCCATGGTTTCTCGGGGAATTCTCGAAATCAGCTGGTAAAGTCTCCCAAAACCCGCCATGGCTTGTGGTAAAACCGAGTTGAAGCCCAAATGTATCCAAGGCACCCCACTTGGCGTTGATACTCAAGGAAAAACGTGCCCCATCCAATATTGGGGCTACCATCCCAAGGGGATAGATCGGCATAGGTGCAGCTTCTCGAGCACGTGATTCAGCTAAAGTGGGAATGACCCGCATAGACGATCTATGAATTATTAATGACCGGCTTAACGTCAAGTGTTGCTTGTAGCACTTTGCGGAGAAAACGCTTTCCCTATCAATGTTGACCCCATATTCATCAACCCCAGTTTATGAATAGCGGGGGGCGTCCAGCTGGATTTAGACCGGAGGGACCACCCCTCTATTCATAATCTGGGGTTGATTGATCTGGCATCAACATTATGATTATAAAGTTTGATGCCACGGAATAAGGATGTCGTTAGAGTCCAAAAGAGGTCCACCCAAAGGAGCTGCCCTCTAGAACATATGGACTTCTCAGACTAGGATGTCCATCTGCACTGTTTCATCGCACCCGTGGCTGTACCTTTTAGCTCTCCTTTTGGCCTTCACGAAGCCCCTCACAAGTATCCACACCCTCTTAACACGTGGTGAACATACTACTACTACTACTACTACGACTACTACTACTACTACTACTACTACTACTGCGAATATTCCAACTACTACTCCTACTCCTCCTCCTCCTCCTCCTACTACTACTACTACTGCTGCTGCTACTGCTGCTACTACCACTACCACTACCGCTACCGCTACCGCTACTGCTATTGCTACTGCTGCTGCTACTACTGCACTTTGCTTCAAAGCGAGGCAAACTGCTCGGCAAGTGCAGCAAAGCTTTGCGCCTGTAGGTGGACGCCCACATGCAGTCACCTGGGCACGGATCCGAGCTAAGACTGGCTGGTGTGAAAACAAATGAAAACACATAAATATATGGGTGTTTGTTTGAAGGTAATTACCCGCTTTTGGTGGGGCTTTCAAGGGCAAGCAAAGGGAAACCAATTCGTCATTACTTTTCTTTGGGAGGGTCCCCTACAAAAAGACACGCCTATATTCCACCCTGTGATTACACAATGAGTAGATGACTCAAACTGACTGGTCAACAATATTCAGGTTCTGTATGGACCGAGTCCAGAACAGGCATAGTTGTCCTATTTGGGGAAATAGATGGCGCTGGTGGATGATTAAACCACCAGGTACACCAGGAATCGCCATCTATTTTTCTACCAAAACAACCAAAAAAGGACACCCATAAGAACAGGTGTTTTACGCGAAGCCACCCTCCGCGCGGTGGTCGAAGTAGAGGCCGCTCCCGTAGAAGAGCAGCGTCTTCCCGGCCGCCGCGAAGACAGAGCAGGCGAACTGCACGATGCCTCGGCGCCCCAAAGAAAGGCACTCGGGTGCGCTATGCTCCCCTGCTAAAAGTGTTCCCACCAACGAACATGGAAGTGCAAAAAGGCCCTTTCCAAGAAAAAAGTCGTCTTTCTACAGGGGTCTGTGCACGAACATACACACACAAACACCTATACTCGTTGCTTTCTGCTCCCCTGCTAAAAGTGAATAACTTTTAGTGGTTTAGTTCGGAAAACCAAAATTAGTTGGCAAAAAGTGATTCAGTCCTAACAGCCAAGCAAAAGGCACCAAAGTTTTACTGGGTGAAATGGAAACTACCACTAAACACTAGAAGGCTAAAAAGCTTCTAGGGATGTCCTCCCACCAACTAACATGGGTTTGTGCAAAAAGGCCAACTAACCAAGAGGAAAGTCGTCTTACAGGGGTCTGTGCACTTCCATGGAATCGCTGGTGGGAGGGTAGTGGGCTAAATCGAAACTACCACTAAACACTAAAAGGCTGAAAAGCTAAGGAACCGGATGTCTGGGAGTGAGAAAAGTAACAGGGGTTCCTTTTGAGACACACCAGGGGTTCCATCAAACAAATCAAAACCCGTCAGGTGCCTTTTGGCGGTTTGGATCCCGATCTGGATTTGAAGTCCTTTGGTTTTGTGGGGGGCAGACACGACAAAAGCCATCTCCGCTGCTTTGTGATCCCCTGCTAAAGTGAATAACTTTTAGTGGTTTAATACGGAAAGGAAAACCCCTTCGTTAGCAAAAAGTTAAAGTCCTAAGATTCAAGCAAAATGCCCCAAAGGGCAGTGGGGTTCGGGTTTTTTTCCGATGCGCTAGGGTTCCCAACCCCCCATTCAAAGGGGTTGGCAAGGGGATGACGACAACCCTTACGCAAACCATGGTTTCGTGCACCATTTTGAGACCATGAAAATCCACAATTTGTTGGTATTTACAGGAGAATCAGACCATCGCAGGGTTTCTCGGGTGGTGCGAAATGGATTTTGTCCTTCTCATGGCTGTTTGAACCCCAAAGGATGGGCTTTCTTCTCAGCTTCCCTCTGGTGGTTTGGAGCCCGGTGGTCTAGGGCTAGGGGGTGGTAAACCCCACTTAGCCTCTACAACAGCCAGTTGAACCACCCTAAAGCGCCTCCAAGCCACCAACTAAGGGGTGCCTGGCTCCAAGTAATGGTAACAAGTTAAGCCAACAGGACACCACAAAACAACCCCCTTGTTCAGGGGAATCTGATCTTCAAAACACATCCTCTTTGGTTGCCTTCCGAAAATGGCCTCAAGATAGTCCAAACCACCCAAATTCGCCGCAAAAAGAGAGGCACGAAGCCCGGAAACTGCGGAAGACCTTAGGAAAAAGGAACCCAACAAAGGGGGTTGAGATGCTTTCGTGCCATGTACGCCTGCAAAATCTCAACAAAGATCAATCCTCTGGTGGTTTCCTTTAAGGACTATTTCTGCTGGAGAACCGGCCAAACAAAGCTACCTCCAATTAAACCTAATCTGCCGAATTCCGCTAAATCGCAAACCCGAAAATGCAACATGCCTAGCGGGAAAGCCACTAAACACCATGTACCTGCTATGCTATGATGTGTTGCACATGTGTTTCGCAAATATTCACCTGTCAAAAAGCGCCTATGTATCTCGAAACTCTTCCCAAAATGAAGCTACAGCTGGTTGCCAAGTCTGGGTGCCAAATAGAGGCCTGGAACAAGTCCACGACCGTCGGTTCTGAAAAGTTAATAATGACACTACTCAAAGAGTTGGGTTACAGGACATTCAACAGGAAAACGGCTTATTTTGGGTGCTTTGGGCCCACTTCCTGCAGATTTTGCCGTATAACCAAACCCTTTGAACTAAATCAAGGCCCTCTGCATTTGCCCCTGAAACGAAGTTTTTGCCGTAAAACCAAACCCTTAACTAAATCAAGGCCCTCTGCATTTGCCCCTGAAACGAAGTTTTTGCCGTAAAACCAAACCCTTTGAACTAAATCAAGGCCCTATGCATTTGCCCCTGAAACGAAGTTTTTGCCGTAAAACCAAACCCTTTGAACTAAATCAAGGCCCTCTGCATTTGCCCCTGAAACGAAGTTTTTGCCGTAAAACCAAACCCTTTGAACTAAATCAAGGCCCTCTGCATTTGCCCCTGAAACGAAGCTTTTGCCGTAAAACCAAACCCTTTGAACTAAATCAAGGCCCTCTGCATTTGCCCCTGAAACGAAGTTTTTGCCGTAAAACCAAACCCTTTGAACTAAATCAAGGCCCTCTGCATTTGCCCCTGAAACGAAGTTTTTGCCGTAAAACCAAACCCTTTGAACTAAATCAAGGCCCTCTGCATTTGCCCCTGAAACGAAGTTTTTGCCGTAAAACCAAACCCTTTGAACTAAATCAAGGCCCTCTGCATTTGCCCCTGAAACGAAGTTTTTGCCGTAAAACCAAACCCTTTGAACTAAATCAAGGCCCTCTGCATTTGCCCCTGAAACGAAGTTTTTGCCGTAAAACCAAACCCTTTGAACTAAATCCGGGCCCTCTGCATTTGCCCCTGAAACGAAGTTTTTGCCGTAAAACCAAACCCTTTGAACTAAATCAAGGCCCTCTGCATTTGCCCCTGAAACCAGACCCCTCCAAAGGAAGCTGATCCAACACGAAGTCCCTCGCTGATCGCGGTGAGATGCTGCAGATGACGACGTCGGCCTTCCGGAAATCCTCGTTGGCCTGCCTCGGGTGAGGCGTTGTTTGCCGAAGGCTACAAGCTTCCTCCAGGCCAAGCACTTGGGGAGTGAGAAAACTCGGTTCTTTGTGCTCCCCTGCTGAAAGCTAACTTTTAGTGGTTTAATACGGAAAACCCGCTACTTGGCAAAAAGCTAGAGTCCTAACGTCCAAGCAAAATGCACCAAAGAAGTGGGAAACCCCAAAGCGGTGAAAGGTTCCTCCACCTTGGGCAACTGAGTTTCATACTGTTTCATACTCTGTGTCTTCACCGGCTGGAACAAATCCAAATGAAGCCAAGTAAGCGGACATATGCTCCAAATGGCTCCGCATCGCGAAGAAAGATGTGTGTCTGAAGTTCAAACCAACCGACAGTTCAAAGCGCTGGTTGTTCCATTGCGTGTGTTTTCCTTTTTGCTGCTCCCACTTTCTCCCTCTTCCAGTGCCATCCCGCAGGTCCCAACATAGGACTGCTCTTGACCCAGCAGCGGCAGACAAAGCCAGCACTGGCTGGCGAGCAATGTCGCCACATGGTTATATACCATTTGCTTCAACCATCGCTGCTTTCAAAATTCTTACCGTTTTCCCGGGATTCTGGAGGTTCTATAGATAGAAGGATCCCTGGAAAGAATGGGGAAGGTACCCCTAGAAAAGCACAGGATGAGGAAAGGTGCTGTGTCCGACATAGAAAACTGAGCGCGAATGATACTGCGCAGGTGAAAGGTGGAATGCCGGAGCCACTTGTTGAAATCTGCTTTTTGAGCTCTCCTCCCCGCTTTGGGTCTGTCGTCTTCTAGGGGACCCACAATTGTCGGTTTTCCACAGGTTTCCCTCACAGACCAAAAGGGGGTACCTGGACCCTCAACATTGACTTAACAATTAGGTGTTGCCCCAAAATCATGGGTGAAGTCCCGATTTATTTAAAAAGAGTAGTTTGAGGGTCCAGGCGCACACACCCATTTGAAGGAAGCAACCTTCTCCCCGTTCGCCGGGTCGCAATCTGCGGAGAACTTGGTTGGCCTGAGGCCGCTTGGGCCAACCAAAAGGTCCCGCTAGTTGAATCGCGGAAGGGGGGGGGGGGGTCTGAACCGCCATGAAAACAATGAATGAGGGTCTATGAATGAATGAAATGAATGAGGGTCTGAACCACCATGAATGAATGATTTAAAGGGAAATGAATGAAAACCATGAGGATCTATGCGGGTGCTCCGTATTTCGACACCCGCTGAGACAGGCACGTGGAATGAGAGGGGTACATGGCTGGCTTTTGTCGATATGATCTTCCCATTGAACCCGCCCCCCTCCCCCCCCCAAAACAAAGAAAAAGAACAAACAAGATGGTTGTCGGGACACCACAATATTTGAGTTTCTTTTGGTTTCAAACCAACCCCCCAAAAAGGGGGGACCCTTTGAAAGAGAACGCGTACACACACACACACACCCATAAAACATGTCCGATGGAACACCTCCATGGAAACATGAAAGTGCAATGACATAATATGTGGCTTTGTTCACCACATGTACGCCGTTCTATTTGCATATCTGTCGAGTTGAGCTCGTTATAATATCGAGAAACATATGTATACACATATATACATATATATATATATATATATACATATTATGCACGCTGTGGTGCATACACCCGGGTGAAAGTAGATGGCAACCCACTCCCCGGCAAGTAAAGGGGATGACTAAACCCAAATAGGGGTAGTGTGCCATCTACAGGGATCCTTACATTACACACCTGATCATTGCCTTGTTTTCTGGTGGTTTCCCTTTACTTTGGTGTTGACAAAGCAACATGTTTCAACTGGTTGCAAAATGGAGATCTTTTAAGGAGCCCTACTTTCAGTCAAATGTAATGATTCGCGTGGTGCCCCGCATGGGCGGCTTGGGCCAACTGAGTACGTGGCATTCAGGCAAGCTGCTCATGGAGGGGTGTTCTCACTTTGACCTGGGCGCCCTGAAAATATGTTGCTACTCACAATGAGAAGCTTGGGGAGTGCTTTTAGTGGGACATTTAGTGAGCCCCCATGTCCGCCCCAAATGGATCCTTGACCGAGTCCCACTTGTGGTACATAGTGGGCATGTAAGAAAACATGTTTTGGGTACTCGCCCCAGGCGCACGTACTTCCAGTAACCAACATGAATTTGGGCCTCCCTTTCTGCATGTGCCTACTCAAATGGCATTGGGATAAAATCGGAGGTGTGTTTTTGTTGAGCTGGTTGGCGCAGCCGACACTCAAGCACCTCACGGCAGGAAACCTTTAGTTGGTCAGGCTGGTGATTCAGCGGTTCAATGGCCACCTTTCGTTCTCCTCTTCCAACAAGTTGAAGGAATGTTTTACTTGTTCGCTTGAAAAATAAATCGTCCTTTTTGGGGCGCCTTCAACTTAAGCATCGGGTAACCAGGTGGGTCGCTGGTTCTGTCACCCTGCCGAATTCATCCGAATTCACGCGAGGCAAGGAGAATCCAAATTGCTCCCTCATAACTCTCGTCTTTTTTCCCATTCGTTCATTTTCCATGTTAATCGACGGAAGGGCGGAGGTTTGTATACCCTACTTTCCCTTAGCGGCTTGGGCCATACTTTGACGCCCCCAGACCCCGCCCCAGGCACAACTTCGACACTGGCCGCTGGGAAACCCGCCCGGCGCCCCGATTTTGAGATGGGGCCGAAGGAAACAGAAGGAAACCCATAAGGAAAAAGGCCCGGTGCTCATCAGCCATGACCCTCTTTCATTAGCTCACTTGCCCAAAGGACCCAGAAATAAAAGGTTCACCTTTTGGGGCCATGACTCAAACTAGACCAAAAGGAGAAACCAAAAGGTCAAAAGATCGGCTTTGGGCAACTGAGTTAGCTAATTTCAAGAACCCCCAAAGTCAACTTGCTCAGTCCCAACTGTTGAAATAATAACATGTCCATGACATCACGTACAGCTTGGTCGCTTCAGTCCCGCATGGGTGAGCCGGCTATGACATAGGTAAAGGGTTCCCAGAAACTTACCTAGTGAGCCACTCAAAATGGTGGACCTTCTTTCTCGTCGGTATAAAAAAGAAAACCCAAGGACCCTTCACCCAAGTGACTCCGTTTCGGTTTTTCAAAAAACAATAACAAGCCATGTTTCACACCTCCCCATTTTAGGAGGATTCCTTTTGTTCCCGGCTTCCGTGACCCGAGCCCCCCCCAAACGTCCATCTTTCTCCGTCCCCGTCCCCCGTCCCCGAGCTATGCCAGCTGCCGCGCCTTGCGCTGGTCCCAGGGCGGCAGCATACTCAGCTCCTCCAGCGCCAATCGCATCTCCTCCCTGGAGCGCACGTGCCCCGCCTGGTCAAAGCTCGCCCTGGAGTCTCCATGACCCAGTTGCCCAGTGGAACCCTTTTTCCATTTTTTTGGGGGAAGGGTTCCCAGTTAAGGTCAAGCATGTCTCCATGACCCTTTAAAAATGGGTCCATGACCCCTTTATTTTTGGTAATGACCCCATTTTTTAAGGGTCATGGAGACTCCAGGCGCAGGGCTGCGGCCGGCCCCGGCTCGCGAGTCGACGCGAGCCGGCTCTGATTGGACGAGGAAACCGGGGCGCTGGAAAGAGGAAACGCGGTTTTTTCGAAAGACGGTTTGAAGGGGTTGCCGAAAGAAAACCGGAGAGTTTGCCCCCAGCAAAATTATTTCGTTGCCAGCTTTGTGAACTTTGTTTGACCTGAAAGGCCTAAGATTGAATCCCGAAAGAATTCAGGAAAGGTAATTAGCCGGCACGACTCCCTTGTGGGCTTCTCCTCAAGGGAAAACTCCAACGGTTGGCTTCTTGGAGTCCCTGTAAAATCCAAAAAAGGACACGCTCAAAATTCGACTTGGCTGTGGCAACCAAAAAAAAAAGGAATCCCCCCAAAATGGCACCCCACATGGAAACAATAACCCATACGATAGACCGCGGTTTGCCCCAGGTCTTGACTTTTGAGCCACCTGTGGGTAGCTCCGGGGAAAACAGGGGCCCTAAGGGCCCGAAGGAAGCGCGACACGTCTGACACGTCAGGGTTTTGGCCTCCAAAGGCGCGAAGGGGAAAGGCATGTCGCAGCTCACCTTAGGTGTGGGTCGGAGGGTTGATGCCACATTCTTCATCCCTACCATAAGGGTGAGGGGGGTGGGGGATCCCCCAATTCCCTTGATCTAGTCTTCCCCATAAAACGGACAATGGTGCCATGAATAGATTAGCTTCCGTGCTAGTCTGAGGGGGTGCAAGGCTTGATTCCCCATTCTTCTCAACCATCCTTCTTTCCAAGAACCAAACGCTTTCGTTTTCCCTGGGTTTCCGGAGGTTTTCTGGAAATAAGGATCCCTGGAAGGGGGAAGCTACCAATAGAGCTCGAACCAAACTTGCTCAAAGGACCCGGAAATACAAGGCGATCACTTCTTGGAACCTTAACTAAAGATGAACCAAATCAGAGAAACCAAAAGGTCAAAAGGTCAGCTTTGGGCAAGTGAGGTAAAGGATATGCTACATCCAAAAAACCCCAGTTTCAACCGGAGTACCATTTTTCGGATTCTCTCTAATTGGTGGTTTGGAAGTTAGGGCTGGTTTCCAAATCACCACTTCAAACCGTGATCCGGGCCATGAAACAATATGGAAAGTCCACTACCACGACTATCCCCACACTTTCTGAGATTCGCCCCAAAAGCAACCAGACAAAACCAAACTTGTTTGCCACTGTCAAAGGTTCATTGCATAGGTTCTTATGTGAACCCACGGCCATGTTTGACCCTCTGGAGCCTGACTTCGCATAACCCATACACTACATACCAGGGCTTCATACATGGACATATACATTTCAGCCCTTCATTTGACACTAAAATGGTCCCTGCTATGTGGACGGGGATGAGTTGTCCAGTTCTTGTTCCGCGGATTTGAGCTTCGGACTCGGTCGAACTCTCGAGCGGCCGGGCAGTACGGAGTGAGGTCGTGCCTCGCGATGCGCGGAATTTCGAGCATCGACCCACGCTCAGGCATGAAACCCCGAGGATACTGCAACGAACCACCAAGTGATGCCGGATGTTTGTGTGTGGTTATATGTTCATTTTGTGGTTGGCTGTGGATCGGTCGTCAATTGTTGGCTCATAAAAGGCATCCGAGATGAGCATTCGATTGTTGAGTCAGCTCGGCTCTGGATCAAGTTTCATGTGCTGAGACAAGGGTTTGGATCAGTAACTTCATGTTTGGAGCATGGTTGTGAGTTGTTGTTGTTCAAGTTGGGGTCTTGGCTTGAAGCAGGGGTGCTTCTTTGCACCGAAGTGTGAAGGCATCTCGCCTCAAGTTGGACTCGAACATGTTTTAAACCTGGGATGATCAACCCACTCAGCAGGTTTGAACTAGAACCATGTCTGAAGGAAAACAAACCCCGGATACCCCTGTGACAACCATTGCAGTAACCTCCTGACTAAGCGGATTAAGCATCCAAAGGTCATGGTGACCCCTCCCCCCACTTATAAATTGCTTCTTCCTACCCGCCAAGGAAATGCAGGGAACAGAAAAGAACCCCCTTGATGTCTAGACCGGGACCTCTCTCCATATGTCGGAAATGGGATGAGTGTGACCAAGGAAAACGTCACATAGAGCCTGTGTTCCCCAAACACATCTCAAGACCGATCCCGGCTTCCTGAATCAGCCATTTGTAAGTTGCAGGGGTGTGGGAAATGACCACTTCTGCAAAACAACAGAAAGGGCTTCCCAAAGACTAACCCCCCATGTCAAGGAAGAGATTCCCTTGTATCACAGAAGTGGGGGATAAACCCCTTGATCCCACAACCCTGTTTGTAAGTGACCCGTTGGGGATGTTCTGCGACACAGAACTTGAGTATTGCGGGTTTGGCGTGGGGTCGCAGGACCAGTTTTCTGATAATGGGTCCCATTGTATATTTCGGGGGCGAGTGACCCAACCCCCCAAACAACTTGGGGAAAAAAAAACAGGCACTCTTGGTCTTGGCACTTGTTTTGGAAGGGCTTGACTTCTCAAGCCCCTCCCCCAAAAAAATCCGTCGACGAAGTTGGAATTGATCAACCACCCTCTTCTGGCAGAATGCGGGGGTCGCCAAGGCCCGCCCAAAAAAATATGTCGACGAAGTTGGAATTGATCAACCGCCCTCTTGTGGCAGAATGTGGGGGGGTCGCCATTCTCAAGCCCCTCCCCCCCCAAAAAAAAACACGTCGACAAAGTTGGAATTGACGCCAAGGCACACATAGATCTGCGCCTTTGGCACCCCCAGCAAAAAGTGAAGCAATTCCGCAAAGCGCCCGATGGATGGGTGCAGATCCACCCCCCAGAAGCGCAGCGAAGCAGCCATCGCTCCCGCCAAAAAAAAGAAGCTTGCGACCAACGATGTCGGCGGAGGCGGCGACTGGCGCCGATGTTTTTGTTGTTGATTGTGTTTACACTTTATACATATATGTATATATATATATATATACGTATAGATATACATCACATAACATGCACTGATTCTGCGGCACATGTTGTCTACCCTAGAATCTAAACTGGTTCTGGAAGAAACCCCAGTTAAGGGGAGTACGCAGTTGCTTGAAACTTGCGCGCGCATTGGTGATCAACAATTGCAAACATGTGTCGCTGGGGTGCGCTTTTGGCAGGCAACCCAAGTTGCAGCTCTCGAAGCTTGTTTTTACCTGGGCATCTGGGAAATGTTGACTGTCGACTAATACACCGCCAAGCCAACAAGGGGAGGCCCCCCCCTTCAAAAGGACCCAACTTCTCCCAGGTGTTGCTGCTTCTGTTTTGGCTCTCAACTGCTGCGCAAAAAAAAAGGTCGTAGCATCTGCCACGGGAACGGCACCACTGAACAGCTGCCTATCGGTTCCAACTACGATGCCGGGGGTGTGTTCTACGGCTCAGGTTCTCTTTCCAGGGCTGTGCCGAGTAGCTCTGCGGCACCATCTGCATCGAATTGTCGTCTGCGGCACACAAAAAATTGTCACGCTGCGGCCAACCAGAATTTGAAAACAGCCCTTGAGCCACATGGAAATGGTCACCCCTTAGGCATCCCAGCCAATTGGTTGGGGTCCCTCTGCCACCTGGAACCGAACTCGAGCCAGTTCAACTCCCGACAGGGAAGAGGGGCTCCGGAACCGGAGCCATGGTTTTGGTAAGGCAAAGGCTCGCAGAACCCGCGCTTTTGGGAGGGAGGAGCGCCCCCCCAAAAAGCAAAACGCAGGACATGCCCCCAAAAAAAGAAGCGCGCCGTTGGGACCGTGATGAGCACACAGAGAGTCTCAACCACACAAGCGGTTTGACACACCCTTGTGGTTTGTTTGACCGTGAGGCTCGAAGAAGCCCTATGAATCTCAATGGCAACCAACAACTTAGGATTCAATCCACCATGGGTGTTTCTCTCCAGATACCCCAAAATGAGTTTCTTTTGGTGTCTTTGACGAACAAACCAAAGGGTACCCTTAACAAAGACGTTCACTGACCGTCCACAACATTCCAACACATCCCCAATAGGGAGACCTGACGGAAGTGAAGGACCTTGTAACGGTCCCAACCATAGACAGAAATCAAAGGTGATCACCGTTTGGGGCCACGACTAAAATGGGGAACCCAAAAGAGGAAGCCAAAAGGACAAAAGGTCGGTTTTGGCAAGTGCGCTTTACACTGCTTTGGGTGGAGGTTTTCATTGTGTCTCAGCTGGTCAGAAAGGCGCGGAACAGAAGCGCTTCTCTTTCTTGCTCGCCTTCGGCGTCGAAATCACGGAATTGTCAAGGGCTGTCATGTACCGAGCGTACCCAGGGCCTCTAAAAGTTGATACTCGACTGTGAGCAGAAAGCCAAAAATCAACCCTTGTCATCTTTTGGAGACTCAGAGCAACCCTGCAGTGGCACGAAAAGGTATGGCTTCCCAGTTAGGGTACGCCCCCAAGGAGAGCCCTCGAAGTTGTGCGCTTGCCGCGTGCTCAGGCACCACACGAATTCCCAAAGCTGCCAAGGCAGGTGTCGGGGTTGTCCAAATAGAGACCGATTGGAGAACAAATCAACCACCCAGGTCCTCCAGTAGAGAGGTTGGAATAAGGCTACCGACTTTCTCTGTAGGCCACTTTCGTAGGGGAACCCTCCACAAAAAAAGTTGATAAAAGGGCGCCACTGGGGGACCTAGCCACACAGACCACTTTAATGGTTGACCATCCCGCTGGCCGACCAGCGGGTAGCGCCAGTGAAACTGCAGGTCACCGAGCCACGGTCCGGCTCCGCGCGTCCTGCGGATCGATCGGAAAAAGGCAGGGGACAATGACTACTTTACCCAGAGGGTCCAAGTACCTTATATTTGCGGATTTGAGGAATCTGTACATGATAAAGCCCCTTGAGCCAAACCCAAGACCTCAAATATGGGGTACTTGGAACCTCCGGGTTATCGATCACAGCTGGCCCGAAAACAACATGTTCCACAGCCCTGTTGCCCCTTGAACGAAACAAATTGGCCGTTCCACAGCCCTTGAACTCACCCTGTCACCAGTCTAAATTAAGGAAGTCAAGAAGGGGGCCAGTGAAAAGCTATGATTACCTTGTCACTCAAGCGGACTCTCTTGGTAGATGTGCCGGCCACGGAACAACTGCTGTGCACTTCCATCACTCTTGGAAAGAGAGCAGTTCTTTCGTGTCGTGTCCTATCGCCCGTGGCCATGTCCAGCCATGCGTCCAATTAAAAGTCGGGCTTTCGCAGAAGCCCGTATTTGGTGATAGAAGCACCCCTCTTGGTTCACATGTGCTTACCTAACCACAAAGCAAACCACTCTGCAACAAGAACCCCCCACCCCCAAAAAGAAACAAACAAAAAACACACACGTATCAAAACAAGGGGCCCGGGAATGATGTGTGGTTCGAACAGTTCAGGGCTGACAAGGCCGACTTAACGATCTGGGAACATTACAAGAGTTTACTCAGAGATGGTTCCCCATGCTCTTTCACCCATCTCCCTGTTCAGAAACCGCCCCTTCCCGTTGCGTTTGTGGCTCTACTGTGAGCAGAATGGAGAGGATAGCAAGGACATACACAAACCAGAACCTCATTTTGATTGGCCCAAAAGGTAATGCTGAGAACAGTTATAAGGAAACACAGGGACCTTTGTGATTTGGCCGGCCGGCCAATGGTGGGGTGAAGCACACCTTAACGCATCCGGGATTCTATGTTGACCAAACCTCTGCGCGCGTCAAGGGGGCACCAAGCCCCGGCGTGGCTTTTCTTTGCAAGTCCGCGCGCTGTGAAACCAACTTGCCCCAACTCGGCCCGGCTTGCAAAGAACTTACTCAGCCAAAGTGGCAAGGAACCAACCCATACATTGATTTGCTTCACCTGAAGCTCTTTCTTTGCCACGGCGATCTTCTCAAAAAGTAGATGGCAAAACAGATCTTGGAAAAAGGCAGCGACCAAAGTTTGGCAAACGCAAGTTCGCCTCCAGCGAGCCAAAGGACGTTGTGAAGTCCAGAGACTTACTTTGGACGAGGATTGGCCACAAAAAGTCCACGCTTGTCACTAAGAAGGTTCTTTGATCTGTTGATCTTTTATCCATCCAAGGATGCAGACCAGGAACTGCAGAGTGAGATGTTCAACCAAAGTGACCGGTGCAGTTTGGACACCCGAACCTCCGTCCGGGGATAGAATCGGGCACGCGGATTTTGGGGCCCGATTTTGGAGGAGAGGCACCTTGGGAAGTGACAAGCAGGAGCAGGGTTCCTGATAAATACCAAACCACCTGCTTTACAAGGTTGACCCCATATGAATCAACCCCAGTTCTTTGAACAGGGGGGTGTCCGACTGGGTTTAGTGGGGAATCCGACTACTTTTGGAGGACCCCCCGAATTTAGTCAACCGTGGTTGAGAAATATGGGATCAACATTATGTGATTGTAATCTTTGATGCCAGGGTGACCCATTTTGGGGCTACCAGCTATTTTTGACCGCCACAGTATGGGTGATTAAATAACAAACACACACACACACACACACACACACACACACACACACACACACACGCAAACAAAAACCAAAAAAGAGGATATGGATCGCAGGGTTTGGTCCTTGGGGGGTTCTCTACTTTTGGACCACAGCTTCACATGGGCATCCGCGCCGAACAAACCCGCTGGGGTGATGTGTTCTGTGCCCAAGGCTGCCTGAGCTGCTAAGCCCCAAACCGAGTCGCCTCGAGAGCGAGAAGTCAGAAGTCGCCTCAGGCGATGGCTGTGGCTCTTTATGTTGACCCCATACTGTGGATGGCGACGCGAAATTCAGAGATCGCACCACCGTTCAGAAACCCTGGAGTGCTTGCTGATTCCCCTGTAAATACCAACGAACAATGACTTTTTCATGGCTTCTTGGGTGGTGCAGGATTTCGTCCATCCACAGTACTCCTCGAAAGTGGTCTGATTCCCCAAACCCAGTTGCACACACCCCAATATGAGCAAATGAGGGAAAGTTGGTGAAGGGTGGGTGGAAAAGTGGAAAAGGCGGGAAACAACATCAGGGCCCTCTGTTTTTTAAGCAAACCAACCAAAAAGGTCACCTATGATAGGGAGCCCTGTGCATCCCCTGCAGTTTCAACTCTAACGAGCTGTGAGGCCTATGGGTGCAGAGCCGTGCCAAGACCCTTAGCAAGTTGGTCAGCTTTCCACATGCTGGCTGGAAGCCCTTTCCATTTGCCAACCCGGGTCTTCAGGGCTCCCTATATCTTAAAACATCACCCCCACCAAGGGTGGACCAAAAGGTGATGCTTAAAACCACCAAAAGGGAAATATAGGGACCCCTGGTCTTTGAAATTGGATCCCTGAGAAAGGTGGCTTTCCTGGTTTCCCATGAGCATCCGGGTATCCCCTCCCGTTGATTCGGCAGCCCAAGTTTGGGCCTTTTCAACTTGGCTGGATGGACTGGCTTGGATGTGCAACCAGGGTCATGTTCTGACCCGAAATCGTCGATGACGGTGAAAAGGAAAGGAAGTGCGGAGCCCCTCTTAGATTCTGTTGGGCTGCACCCCTCTCAATCAACAACCCAGCGTGGGTCGAACATCCAAGTGGTAAAACGGTAAAACACGTGAGGTGTTGGCCGTTCCTTCTTCTTACCTGTGGCAGCAGCCATGAATCAACCCACGTATGGGCCTACAACCGAAGCGAAAACACTACAAAGCCGGTGTAGGTGAAACACCGTCATGCACATAGGTGTCCTCTTTGGAAACATAGATGGCCCTGGTAGTTGGTTGAACCACCAGGTAAACCAGGGCCCTCTATTTTACACTAAAGCAACCAACAAGGACACCTATGGTCTTGCACTGTGCATGCGACTTCCCGAAAGGCCCGGAGCTACGCGTGAGCCACGCGAGCTCGCATGCAGGGTCCCATGGATCGTTCCCCGACAAGCTACCCCCCAGAAAAAGCAAGTGGAAACAGGGATCCTGACATGAAAGACACCAGCACATTGCAACTTGTTTTCTGGTGGTGTCCATTTCTTTATTTTTGTGTTGAAAAAGAAACATGTTTCAAATGGTTGCAAAATGGAGATCTTTGAAGGAGCCCTACTTTCAACCTGCTGTTGTTGTTGTTTTTTTTTTGGGGGGGGGGGCTTCAAACACCACAGGTGCTTCGCACACGGGAAAAAGCTCTCCACAAACTCCGCAGTTTGAACCTGCAACCACCCGAGTTCTCTTGTCGAGTGGTCCTAAGCAAACCTGACTTCCTGACGAAATTGGCCAAAAGCAGCAAAACTGTTGGTGTGCCACTTAAATCAAAACTTGGTAAGTGAGAGGAGCACACATCCATAACCTAATTTGGTCAGGCGATGTTTTAACTGAGTTTCCCTTTGGGCGGGATTCCCCTTTCGATTTCCGTGGGGGAAAAAGGGAACCACCCCACAAAATAAAACTGAGCTGTCCTCAGATGCCCTGCTAAAAGCTTAACTTTTAATGGGTTAAAATGGACAATCCCACTAAATGCTAAAAAGCTAAAAAGCTAAGGGGCTGGCTGGGAGCCACCAAGATTTTTTGTTCCTCCCAGCCAAATTCTTCATCCCCGCGGTTTGGTCTAACGAGGTTCGGAGCAACCCCACGCTGTACAAAATGCAAGGCGTTCTCGTGTCGCAACAGAACGGGGCGGTCTTGTTTGAGGCTACTCTTTTTTTTTTGGGGGGGGGAGGTTGGTGTGAAAGGAAATAACAAGAAACACACCAGATTGGATCCCCTATAAGACACACCCATATGAAGACTCTCTGCAATCCTCCTCCAAAAGGACAAGGGGCACCACTGGCAGTCTTAAAGCCTCAAGGACTCGGGTAGCTGAGGAAAACTGGCAGCATACACTGCCACAAGTGCGGAATGCGGAAGCGGAGCCTAGGTCCATCCGGGTTAAAGCAACATACGCTCGTCCAAAGTATCAATTGGCCGGAGGATTGCCGGGACTCAGAATGTGCTTCTCCCCCGAAAAAAAACAAAAAAAAGAGAAGAGGAAGCCTGGACAGCCGCCCCAATTTGTCTTGGGCAAGCAAAAAACAGTTTGAGGAAAAATCCGTCGGTTTTTTTTGGCCCGCACGTGGGCAAAAACGTCTCTTGCAGCCTAAAGACCTGGGAGCGTCTCCCCCAACTGGTTGAAACGGAACCCACCTGGGGCCAAGAGCCATCCAGCAACCGTTGGTGCCAAGCGGGCATGTCTTAAAGCAAAGCGAGGTTCTCCCTTTGTCTGCAAAGCAGAACCTAAAAGGGGAACCCGAAGAAAACGACGCAAATGTGCTCGGCAAAGGAAACCAAAGGCAATTCCAGGTCCATCTGCTTTGGACAGAGCGAAGACCCTCAAAAGGTCCATATCATGCTGAACAAATCCGAATCGGACAGTCGGGCGTAAGCTGCAAGCTGCCTGATCCCAGCAACCTTGGGTACGAGATTTCTTACATTTGGGAAGCTAAGAACTTCTGGATGTTCTGACCCTGCTTCAGATGAGCTACTGTGCCTCTAAAACCATTGTTTTACAGGAACCCCGACCTTTCTTGCAAAGAGCCAAAAGGGGAAACAAGTGCATCAAGTGGCACTAAACGTGATGTCTCGTCTGTTTGAGGGATGGGATGCGCATCCATCCACCTCAGTTTTGCCCAACTCAAAGTTGCACAAATCCTGGGAGTTTGGTATATGTACAAACCTTGACATAATTGCCTACCTCAGGTTTGGCACTCAAAGTTAAACAAATCCATGGAGTTTTGTACATATCCAGCTCAACCTTGATATAATCACAATCATAATATATAGGGAAAGCAACATGGTGTCATTTGAGACGGTCCCAGGCCTGATGAAAACAACAACTGCGCTGTTTGTTGCGAAAACGGAAAAAAACAACTGCGGTTCTTGTGAAATAATTAGTGTGAAGCTGCAGCTCTGATCAAACCAATTCAAATCCCTGGCTACGTTGGGATCCTTCCTTGCACTGGCAGCTCACATTGAAGAAGGGTAGCCTGGACCTACTGACAAGCACAGGCTGGTGGGAATTGTCCTTCCACTCCCGTGACGCCAGTTGGATCAAAGGCTGACCCTCAAAGAGGCCCTGTTGGACCTCTTTGGAGGCTAGCTTTCGACAACTAAGCAACAACTAACACTTAACCAAACAAGAATCATAAATAATTTATATTGACAATGGGCGCATACCTTCAGTCGATGAGAAGACCGGCCTTCCTGATGAATATGACATCCTTCAAAGGGGCATGTAATGGTTGCCTGGTATCACAGGAGGAAACGCCAACCTCGTTCCCACAGCTCAAAAGGTATCGAGCGCACCGCATCAAACATCCGGACTATGCGCCACGCCTTTTTCAAAAGCACCTAGCCAGAAAGAATTGCCACGCCGTTACAGCCCCTGACGGATGGAGTCCTTTTCATTTCTCCGACTTAAACATAGCTGCATCACCTGGGATTAAGAAACCCCTGGCCGGTTGACGTTGGATGTGCCCGACTTAGAGGAAAATCCGTGTGGCCCGTGCTGCCAACACCATTAGTCCGGCATGTTTTTGAATGCGGGATTGACTCTACGTTTGTGTCAGCAGGATCCGAAATAACCCGGCCTTGTCCGCAACAACCCGATCGGGAAATTCTGTAGTACCCAAACATTACATCCAGTGGACTTCCAGGCTGAGGTAAGGAGGGGGGCAGCAAATCGGTGCTGGTTGGAACTTCGCGGCGTATTCCCTTGCCTCCCCGTACTGGCCTGATCCTAGTTTAGCATTGGGAGGATTTGCATTTGGGAAATCACAGTGATCTCGGACCGGACCCTTTGGTGGACATCAGAATTTGGTGGGGATTCATGCCTAAGCATCAAATCACCACAGGGTTCTTTTTGGGGATCCGATCCACCAACGAAGCCCCGAAGAAACATTCGAAGCCGGGTCACCCTGAAGCCCAGATTATTGGTCTTTTTGGAGTTGGTACCCGATTTAAAGAGAAACCAAAAGGAAACCGAAAACCACCATGTATCTCTATTTATCTATCTAATTCTTGATCGCCCGAAAATATTGTTTTTAATAATAATAAAAAAAAAAACGGCAAGATACAAGGACCCGTTACAGGCAAAACAAAATCCGCTTTTGGCCAGTGAGTGAAAAAACACGCTCAAAGCAATCTCCACATCGACTTTGAGTGATCTCTGAAGAACATTGGTCAACAAAAAGGGACTGGATCTTGCTGTACACTTGGTTGCTGTTGACCCCTCTGAGGTGAACCACTTTGTGTGGGTTCCAATCAAGCGCATGACTCTCAAGCAACCCGGGTACCAAGATTGAAGCCCGAGGCCTTTTGCAAAGCTTTCGGCGTGTATCGGTGGGACTTAGCTTTCGCTGAGCTTCAAAAGCGATACTTCTGCTCTGGTTGCCCGGGAGACTCTGGGGAGGTGACCATGCCGACGTTTGCCGAGCACAGATTCACAAAGGCGTTGGAATGCGATGGTACTTTTCCGGTCCGCCCCATTTGACTTGTTCAAATCTCCAACTTCCCAATTCCATTTTCCTCGAGGAGCCATCAAAAGCACGCCACCAACATGAACATGGAGGCTTACCGGCTTGCATGTGGGAACAAAGTTCCAAGTATGCATCCAACAACACACACTAGGATTCGGATCCTCGCAGGTCAACAGGTAAAGGGGATACCTATCAACTGGCCCCAGCGGCTGGTATGATTCCATTCGCTTAAGCCGCATGAAAAAGCCAACTTATATTTCCAGCAGTAAGATGATTCCCAAATCAAAACCAACAAGGGGACAAATCGAGAAAAAAACAAAAAAGCGTCGGCCACTGGCAGTATCCTTCAAGGGGCCCCTGTGGGCCCTCGGGTCCGGACACCAGTTCGCATTCCCACGCGCGAAAGAACTCGCCGCGCGAGTGGCCATGGCACCTACCCCCGCGGCTTGGCACTTCCTCGGGAATGGGAAAACCGAGCAGGGAAGGAGGTCCTACTCAGTTCAGTGACCCTGGAAAAAAAGGGAACCCTTTTTTGGGGAAAACAATTTTTAGTGGGGCAGTCACTGGCAGTCACCGAAAAAATGGAAAAAGGGTGCCACTGAACAACTGAGCTTAACTTCTCTAGCTGTACCCTCCCCATTCTCTTCAGGCATCATTATCTTCAAAGAATGGGCCAAAACCCTGGAACATGGGTGGTTACCAAAGAGAACCATGGGTGAAGAGAATGGGGGATCAAACCTTCGAACTTCACAACCCTTGGCATGGTCAATGGTAGCAAGCAACTTTAGCCCCCTAAAAACAATGAACTGAACCCAAAAGACTGCAAAAACAAACAACTTGCCAAGAACAGTGAGGTACAGAACCGCAAACAAAAGAAGCACTTGGTAATGGAGAGTGAGTTGTTCGAAAACACGCAACCATACAACAAACAGAAACAGTTAATCATTGCATATATGCGATATATGCATATGTAGCTACATATATATTTTTGTATATGTATGTAGGTGTGTTTGAAAGAATCCGTGCTTGTTCCTCCCGTCAGCACATGTTGCCTTTCGACTCCCCGGGACGTCAGGTTCCACCAGGCCTTTTCGTTTCTCGAAGGGCTCCCATGTTGGGAGGTTTCAAGAAACAACACGAAAACACACTCCCGAAGCTTCATTTTGAGGAACTCCCATTTAGCGTGCTGCGTAGGGAATGACCCATGGTGGGAGCAGGTTTTATGGTGGTTATGTACCCGGCACGTACCCGGCGGTGGTTTGGGTGTGTGTTCCCCCGACCCAGGACGCGCCTGGTTATACCCGGGCAACTGAGTTCGCCCCAACCATGGCTACAACCTACTTGCTAGGTTGCTTGAAGATCCAAGTTGGAAACTGCAAGCATGTTGAAAAAGCCAAACCGGCAAAGTTTCAGAGCCTGGCATGGAACCAGTGCAGGCCTTTCACCTAGGACTGAGCTGGGCTTTGACAGCGCGACTCACTGCCCATCAAGTGGATGGCCCAACAAATATACACTGTTTGTATTGCCGCTAAAATGGTCCAGACCCAAAAGTGACTCAAGTCCATGAACTCAGGAAGTGAGGTTCCGCTCATGAGTTTGCGGAATTCCTGCAAAAAAGCGTATTGCAGCAAAGGATCTCTCCTTGATGTTGGCAAAGTCGCTGTCCAGCAAACGCTTCCTTGGGTGGCAACAAGGGAAAGCCAGGAAGAAGTAGATGGCACAACTCCTTCACGCTGGTTTGCTCATGCCTTTGCTCACCCATCTACTTGTTCATATCAGAGGAAGGGGGGTCCTGAAGAATCAAACTTGCAATCGGAGAAACTCAGAGAGTCAATTGACAGATGCAAAATGTTGATTCGTATTTGGATAACTGCGCAAATCCTGGCAAAGGACACACCTAAAATCACCTGGTACACGCAGAAGCCTTTTCAAACAGCTCGTAAAGGTGGCTTCTAAGTTGTATCCATCTCTACTCTTGGTATGGTAGCGAAAAACCTTGTTTTTTGCAGACCCCCAGTAAACATGTACGGAACAAAATAATAATAATAATAATAATAATAATAAAAAAAAAAAAAAACATGCCAAGAACAGTGAAGTATCGTAAGGGGCTCCTAAAAAATAAGTATGTGAGTGTGGTAGTCATCGATATCATTTCTGTCTTCCGCCATGGAGGGAGAGCGACGTCCGTTGCTATGCCCCTGAATCGGTGAGCTCGCGATCAAATTGGGCAGACACATACGCCATCAGTAACATGGCTAAAGGTGTCAGACTGAAGGCGATACTTCCCCGGGGCCAATACTGTGGATGGTTGCGCAATCCTGCACCACCACCCAAGAAGCCATGAAAAACCCATAACGTTTGTTGGTATTTACCGGGGGCTCGAATCATTCCCTTGAGATTTTAGTGGGTTTCTGAACGGTGGTGCGATCTCTGGATTTCGCAACCATCCGCAGTAGCACAATTCCTTCAGTTTCCCTTTAAAGACACCAAAAGGGGATTGAGCCATTAGGTTGCAGCAGAAATGCAGGGTAAAAGGGCGCTGGGGGACCTAGATAGCTAAAGGTGTCAGACTGAAGGCGATACTTCCCCGGGGCCAATACTGTGGATGGTTGCGCAATCCTGCACCACCACCCAAGAAGCCATGAAAAACCCATAACGTTTGTTGGTATTTACCGGGGGCTCGAATCATTCCCTTGAGATTTTATTGGGTTTCTGAACGGTGGTGCGATCTCTGGATTTCGCAACCATCCGCAGTAGCACAATTCCTTCAGTTTCCCTTTAAAGACACCAAAAGGGGATTGAGCCATTAGGTTTCAGCAGAAATGCAGGGTAAAAGGGCGCTGGGGGACCTAGATAGCTAAAGGTGTCAGACTGAAGGCGATACTTCCCCGGGGCCAATACTGTGGATGGTTGCGCAATCCTGCACCACCACCCAAGAAGCCATGAAAAACCCACAACGTTTGTTGGTATTTACCGGGGAGTTGAATCATTCCGTTGAGTTTCCCAGGTGCCTGTATTGTTGATGTTTTTTTCCCCAGGCGTCATCAGCAACAGGAAGTCCGGGAAGTCCGCCTCCTTCTTGCACTGGGCCAAGAAGATCTCTCGCAGCTGCGCCGTCAAGACATCCCCTGACCCATGGGAAAGCTCCGAAACCCATGGTCAGTGCGAAAAGGAACAAGGAAACCAAAACACCCACGGAGTTGCCGCGGTGGCGAACTCCGCTCCCCTGCTAAAAGTGAATAACTTGTGGTTGAATACGGAAAATCCATTAGTTGGCAAAAAGTGCATGGATGGTTTGCTTGCAATAGTCGGATGAGATGTTTGGTTGGGAACGCTTGGGCATCATTTCGGGCAGACATGCCCACCAACCACTTGTGAGCTGGTTCCCTATGAAAAACCCCTTCCCGTTGTCAACACAGCCTTTCGCTCGCAGCAGCAGAAGCGCAGCTGCAGCAGAAACAGCAACAGCAAACGCAACAGCACCAACCACCTTCAGACATGGATTCCCGACCCAATGAACTCATCAAAGGCTGGTCGTCCTGTGCCATATCTACCTCCAGGCAGGTTTCTGGAGGGAGACCTATTCCAGGATGTCAGATCCACAAGTAAAGCTGGGTGGATCAAGATCAAGGGGAAGGAAACAAATATGAGGAAACTGGGATTCTTGCCGCACCGATTTGTGGATGGGATTGTCCCCTAATGAACTTTGTCTAGGTGTTGATTGTGCGAACCTGCTCAAACAGCAAAAGTCTGAAAACTATTTGTGAGTCAATATCTTTAAACAACGGAAGGTGCCAAGACCTGTGATTCAGCAAGCCGCCCCGAAAACAACAAAAACACACACACACACACACAGAAACAAAAAAACAAAAACGCTTGACCAATGCCGCGCGCCCCGGGCAACAAGCAATCGAGGCGCCCAAGGGAGTGATGCCGTGGATCATCTGTCGGAAGTCATCAAAGGACAAGTCCGGGGAGTCCTTGCGCGGGCGAAAGGCTTCGCAGAAATCCAGCCCGGTGGTGTTCACTCGCCCTCCTCAGTTGTTCAGTGACCCTGGAAAAAAAGAACACCCTTTTTGGGAAGACCATTTTTTGTGAGCAGCCACCAAAGAAAAAGGAAAAAGGGTGTCACTGAACAACTGAGCCTCACTTCCTGGAGTTCCCCCCCAAACAAAAATCAAACGTGGTTTTGCGAATACGTCCCCTGGAACACATATTTAGATACATATGTCAAGCTAGACTCCATTTGAAGCCAGCAGGGGAAATAATGCACATTCTCCAAACAAATGGAAGGTGTGATGTCTTTGCAGCCGAAGGCTGAGTCTATGAGGGTCTGGGGGGTTCCTTCCAATTCCGAGTTTTGGCTCTAGAGGATAGCCAAGCAGGTCATAGCCATGCTTGGAATGGGGCCCAAGTCATCCCAGTCCAAATTGTGGTACTCACCTACGGTTGAACATGAACATCCAAATAGGGAGCCACAGTTCTGAACGAGTGGAAAGAGAAGTGCATGGGCATTGTTGTGTCAGGTGTGCTTTTTCAAGAGAGGCAAGTCAGAACGACAGAGCCATGTGTGGTTTGACTTTGAAGCGATGCATTGACGCGATGTGGAGGGTATGCATTTGAGGAATCTGTGGACAAAATGAACTCATCGTGTTCGGCAATCAAATGCCGACAGCTGTTTGGAAAGGTTTGCTTTTGAAGGGACGAGCCTGCCCTGCCAAACAGCCTGTGTGGGTCATGGGTTGTTTTTGAATGCAAAATAAGCTGACAAAATCAGCAAACATCAACACAAATACAACACACGGACACGACTGATACAAAGTCAAAAACAACAACCAGCAAACAAACAAGGAATCACCAAACCAAGAAACCAACCACACAAGCCAGCCAGCCAGCCAGCAAGCCAGCAAGCCAGCAAGCCAGCCAGCCAGCAAGCCAGCAAGCCAGCAAGCCAGCAAGCCAGCAAGCCAGCAAGCAAGCCAGCCAGCAAGCCAGCAAGCCAGCAAGCCAGCATGCAAAACAAAACAACAATACATGACTTAACCAAAACACATAATTTTAAAGAAATATGCAAAAACAAATTAATCACATATATCATGTAAACAAAATGTTTAAATTAGCTAACACAAAAACAATAAATAAACAAATAACTTCATAAATGACCAACTACCAACGAAGCAAATACATGAACAACATAACACACGTAAACAACTAAACAGAACAAAACAAACAAATCAATACATAAACCAATAACACATCACACCACAGCACCGCACAACATCAGACGCCACACCAGAACACAACCAGCACACGACCGCCTCAATCATCCGCGGCTTCAGGCAAGGAACCCGCCTCGAGGAATCCGAATCCGCATGGGAACCCTGATCAAACTCAATCGGATTATGAGTCCTATCAAAACCAACAGGTTTTGGTGGGCGCTTTTGTTCAACATCCCGGATGTCTCGAAGTTAGCCTTTGGGGCGCCCCTGGCCCTCAAAGTGAGGGATCAAATATGGGTCTTTTGGTTCGGGCTTCTCCGGATTTGAAGTTGTTTCTCTTTATTTTTTGTCACGACTTTTGGCCCTGGCAAATCTCCTCCAGGCGACTCGAGGGAACTTGAGGAAGCTCCCAATCCGAGGCCACCTGAGGGACCTACGCCTGGGCCCAAAATCTAGGGGTACCTTCCAATTCCATTCTTTCCAGGGATCCTTCTTTCCAGCAAACCTCCAGGAACCCAGGTTGAAAACGGCCGGTCTTTGGAAAGTAGGATGGTTGAAGAGAATCGGAAAAGGAGTCCACCCCTGGACCAAACTCGTCCTCCAGGGAGTTCAGAAACAGCTCCCGGAAGTCCGCGACCTCCGCGTGGCTGAAGCCTCGCCCGCCGCGTTTTTCCTTTTTTTTTGCCGGGGAAAAAGCGCGGGGAAAAAAGGCGCGGGGGTTCGAGTCCGAAACGGGTTTGTCGCGCTTTTTTGGTGTGTTTTTGTTTTTCATCAGATGTTCGGGTGTTTCGGGGGGGGGGGTGGTGGTGGACACGACAGATTTTGGGCTGGCTACACGTATACTTTGGTGCCTGTGACCTGTGGGTTCATCTGAATGAACTTGTCTATTGAGTTGCCCAATCTCTACGGAACAATGTGAACCCAATTTGCAGCTCTACACCAAAATGCAGGGGATACAAGGACGAGCCGGTAGCTCAGGAAGACTTCCCAGCACAGTTCACTCATGGGATATGTCCGGATGTCCCGAAACGCAAGACGTTACATCCCAGACAACATGAGAACGAGAATGGGAAGCAGCAAACCATTTGAACAAAACAAAAAGGTCAAAATCTGCTTCTGGCTTCAGCAAGACCCTCTTTAAGGTTGGTCTTTCCATTTCCTCCGGTCATCCAAAAAACAAGAAACATAGAAATCAGCCCCCTGCCCCCAACCCGCCACCCTCCAAAACACCCCCCCCCCCCCCCGTCTTTGGTGTTGCCCTCTGGTGCGGCCAAAGGTGCCGCAATCCTTGATGGCCTGCTGCTCTTTCCGCAGCCGCTGCTTGTCCTCAAGATCTCGAAATGGCCTTCAGAGAAAAACTAACAGCCCTAGGTGCTGAGAACACTTACCATCACGCTCCCTCTTCAGAAGGAAAGAAGGATACCGCCAGCTCCTTGGCTCCCTTTCCAACCACCAACAACATCACTTGGAATTAGGACCCCAGCAAAAATGTTATGTTTTTGCCTGGTTAGTGGACAACAAAGGGGCCCCAAAAAAGCAAAAATCAAAAAGGGGAACTAATTCTGGGGAAGATTCCTCATCCCCTTTCGGTTTCGATCTGAGCAAACAAAAAGTTACGGGCTACTAGCACCCAGAACGTTTTTAGCTACGCTGCTATGGCGCCCTGTTCAAGCAGCTTAAATTGTTGCCTCACTTGCCCAAAGGACCCAGAAATAAAAGGTTAACTTGTTGGGTCCATGACTAAAAACATACCAAATCAGGGAAGCCAAAAGGTCGGCTTTGGGCAAGTGAGTTACTGGTTATTGGGAAAGCAACACATGTGTATAAAACACGGCCGTTTAAAATTGTGATTTGTCCAATCCAAATCAATCACTTCAAAGGTGCCCCCTTACGTAACCCAAGGGAAGGATCTTGCAGAATGCCTTTGAACAAACAGGACATGTCAAGTAGCAATAAATTGGCTAATGAAACTATCACATCCTTTTAGAACTCTTGGTAGCTACTTAGCTCCCTCTTTAAAGGTAAACTTGGATCCCCCCCCATAAGCCCCGACCAACTGAGGTGTCCATCTCTCCCTAAAGGAAGGTCGTCCAGAGCCCGATCGTCCGAACCAAGATTCAGCTCTGAGCGGTGATTTGTCGATGGGTGTCCCATTCACCATCTACCACGGGTTTCATTCGAGCCGCGAAAGCACCAACGAATTGGCGAAGCTGATTTTCCGATAGGATGCGACGCCAAAATCACTTCGCGGAGTCCGAGTCCTTGAAGGCACGGAAGAGCGCCATGAGCCGCAGGAAGTCTTGAAAGTTCAGGCCCACCATGTCCTACAGGACCCCAGGAAGTCGGGTGTAGATCCCCCAGCCAAAGGTTAAAACCCAGCAAAAAGTGTCTAGCTTTGTTGCGGAAAGGAAGTATGTGGGGAATCCAAAAAGTTAAAGTCGAAAGATGCGTTACCCAAGAGCAGTGCAGTAGAAAGTAGGCAAGCATCTCCGGAAGGCCCCCTTTGCACAAAGACCGTGTTTTCCGGTGTTCGCCAGAGGTCACGAGCAGGGTGCACCAGGGAAAAACCCCGACTTCGAGGGAGAAACAAAAAGCTTGGGCAGGACCCCAACGGGATCTGGAACCATAGGGGTCAGGAACCATCGGTCCGGGAGGGATAGGGGAACAGCTTGGGGGGGCATAGCAACCAACCAACGATGGGCCACAAGAATGGGTCTGTCTTAAAATAGAGGACTCAAACAACATGTGGTTTTCAGCTTTGGTTCCCTTTAAAAACCACAAACAGGGGGGGCCCCCCACAAGAACACAGACTCTAAATGGAAGCAAATCCGCCGTGTTTTTCCATGGTCATACTGTGGATGTAACAAATTCTCCAAGCATGGCACGAAATGATTTTTGCCCAGCCACAGTATTGCCCTAGGGCTCTGCATTGATTGTTGGGCCGAAATTGAGTCTGGGGTGGGTGCGTGTCACGGGAAACCCCCAAAATGGCTACGGTTTTCTGTTGGTTCCCTTCAACTCCAAAAAACGAAAAGCTCGACCACTATTTCCTTCTACGCATCAGCGGTTTCCCGGAAACCAAGGGAAACCACCAATGACGTGAGTCTCCCGAAAGGGTGAAGGGGAGGGGAAGCGGGGGATCATGGGAAAACTGAAGTAAACAAGTCGATTCGCTTTGGGCAACTCCTAGGGGTTGATTCCAACCATGCTGTTCACCCATGGTTCTTTTCAAAGACCGATCGCTGTTTCCCAAGGGCAAGACTGGGGATTTGGAAGCTAAAGTGGTCTTGGGGACCCAGCACCCCAAGAAACGCCCAATTTGCCCAATTGGCATGTCAGGTGCCATGTCGGGAGGGTGGGACACAAGAGCTAGCTCCTCCAGTAGAGGTCAGAACAAGGGTTCCAACTTTTTTTTTCTGTAGTCTATTTTGAAAGGGGAACAGGTTAGAATAAGGGTTCCCTTTTTTTTGTAGTTTATTTTGAAAGGGGAACCCTCCCCCAAAACAAACAAAAGGGCACCTAGCTGGGGGACCAAGAAGAGTCTCCTCCCCCCCCCTCACATCCGTCCCCGTCCGCTTCCTGATCCACCTCCCGGACCAAAGCCAGCAGCTGGGGCCGCATGGACCGCTCATGGGCCAGCTCCGGCACAATGTCCTCCACCAGTTGGATCATCTCTTTGTTGCAAATGCGGCCTGGCGCCCATGTTGTGGGGACGTGGGGTGGGAGGGGGGGGGGGAGGCAGGGTTTGCGGGGAGATGTTGCAAATGCGGCCTGGCGCCCCACATGTTGTGGGGGGGGGGGGGGGTGGGAGGGTGGGGGGGTGGGAGGAGGGGGTGGGAGGCAGGGTTTGCGGGGAGATGCAAATGCGGCCTGGCGCCCCACATGTCGTGGGGTGGGGTGGGGTGGGAGGGGGGAGGCAGGGTTTGCGGGGAGATGTTGCAAATGCGGCCTGGCGCTCCAAGAATTCGTTTTGGTTTCCCTTTGCCACCAACCAAAAAGAGCACCCTCAAAAAAGGAGAACACGTCCTGTGGACATTGCCCAGAAACCACAAGGGACCAGGGAGTTACGACCCGCCGTCTCCATGACCCTTGCATCATGGGGTTGTGACCTCTTCTTTTGCGCAAGAACCTGCAGTTCTAAGTATCACAGACCCCCCCGCCCGCCAAAGATCATGTCAGATTTCATTTCGCATCGCCTTGCCGAACCAACAAACGCATCATGTCCCGTCCCCAGTTTCCCCCCCCCCTAGGGCTCCATGAAAAGATTCCTACTGTTGATGGACGAACTTTGAAACCATGTGAAACCATTGTTTGTTGGTATCTACACGGGAGTCATCCATTTCAGGGTTTCCGAAGTGGTGCCTGAATTGGGATTTCGCAACCATCCACATGGCCTGACTTGCCGAACCAACAAACACATCATGTCCCGTCCCCAGTTTCCCCTTTTCCAGGGCTCCATGAGAGAAGATTCCTATGGCCTGACTTGCTGAGGTCGTACTTCTGGAAGAGGACCTTCAAATTCTCCACCTCCGGATCCGTCCAGCCCCCGTTCTTGATGATGGCCTCACGCGATCGGAAGCCCGGAAGATCGCTGGAGGCAGCGATCGCAAAAAAAACAATGGGGCTGGGGGCCGGGGGGGGGGGGGGGGGAAAAAACGTAGCTACGGTGGTGGCTAGTTCATCTATCATAGGAATGGTGCAAGTATTTCGTAAAATACATATCTTCATAGGATTTGTTGTTAGTAGTTTTTGTTCGGACTTTTGGTAATTGGTAGTATGGCTAGCTATCATAGGAAAACATGTTAGAAATTAACCAGCTCCTTATATCATGTTGGGGCGGCCTACCGATTCAAAGCCGAAGGGCTACCCGGTCCGATCACCTGATGGTCCTTGGCCCCTTGGAGGTCGTAGCATCACCCGGCCAGAGGGAAACTCGCTTTGGGGTGGCACCCGGAATCCTATGATTGTCAGGGACCCTTCAAGGAGGGACTGGGTATGGTGCCCAAAAGAAGTCCTATTGGCCCCCAATATTAGCCCCTATTTGGGTTGGCCCTTGACAACCATGGGACAAATGGTATTCAAATCATCCCTCTGGGGAAATTTAGACTCGACTCCTCACTTCCTATTCGATTGAGAGGACCGGCCAGAAAAGTTGCCCAAACTAGTTGTTTGCCACGAAATGGTCTTCCCATGAAATTTTGAAGGTTCACGAACCCAGGGACTGAGACTCCCTAGTCACGACTGGTCACGTGGCAAGGCTGTTGCCTAGGTATTTTCTCAGATGCCCAGTTGCCATGGGAAAAAAAGACCCGGCATCCTTTATTTGTGAGTTGAGGTTAAAGGCATCTGAACCCTTCCCCAAAACAAGTCGAAAAAAAAGGGGCACCACTGGGCAACACAGTCTTTGAAAAAATGGTGCTTATTCTGAGTGGGGTCTTGGCCCGAAGCCAAGACCAAACTTCTGCGAGTTCAATGGACAGTCACGACCAGCTGTGTTAGTTTGTGGCTTTACGACGTTCCTCCTGAGCGGATTGCCCGTCGATGGCCGAACTATTTGTTTACCACTGAAATGCCAAATGGAAAGTCGTGAGTGCAGAAAGTGAGAACCCATAAGCCACCGCCCCCAACGAGCACAGGGTCTGGCTTGCCGCCTCTACACGAGAACGATCATCTGATTTTGTACCTTTTATTCCAAGCGTGGCCTTCCTTGCGGAATCTCGAAAGTCGACCTGACCTCTGGACGGGAAACATGATGGTCGAATTGGTTCACTCTCACAGCAAAGCAAGAAACGGATCTCAAGAATCTTGGTACCCGCCAAGTACCTGTTAGCAAGCGTAGGCCTTTTCACAACCCATGTTTACCAGGACGCCGACTTCGCCCTGGAAAAATGGCCCAAAATCAGCTTCCCTCGCGGCATGGTGGCTGCGGAAGGTTTCCCACTTACCCGCAAGAAGCAGTCCAGTTCCCGCCAATCCAAACCACCAATTGAGGCTTGCCTGACAAAAGATGAAGCTTAGGCACACGCGACGGGACATATCTACGGCTTCAACAAGTGACGGGAACTTGAGTTCAACCCTGAAACGGAGTGCCGACTCCTTGTTCCAACTTGTTCACCCCTTACCCTTGTTTAACCAACTCCTTGGTTGGGTTGTTTCTTTGCTTGCTGGTGCGATCGGGGTTGGGAATGAACTGTCTGGGGATTCCCTTCAAGGAAACCAGAGGGGATGGTTTATAGGGGTCATTCTAGCTCATTCCCTGCCGATCGAACCAGCAAGCTTGTTAAATAAAGGGCTTGGCTGGAATTAGGACCCCAGCCAAACAACTGCATTGTTTGCCTGGTTAGTGGAAAACAAAGGGGCCCCAAATCAAGCAAACAATCAGAAAGGGGAGCGAATTCTGGGGAAAGGTCCAGGTGTTGCAATGCTGCGCCCGCCTGGCGAAGCATTCGGACATGCTTCAGGCAGGCCCGCACGAAGCCGTCCCGCGTCACGATGCCCACGAGACTCATCTCCGTACTCGTCCAGTCCTTGGGTTCATGGGATAAAATCCGCAAACTCGTCTCAACAACCAGCTGGGTGTGTTGCTTTGCAGCGGACCCCCAAAAATGATGGCTCTCCTTTTTGCCCCCCCCCCCCCCGAAAAAAAAAAATGACTCGCCCACTTGGTTGGACTCGCCGAGGGCGCCGGCTGCGCGCACTTGGCAAAGCCCGCGTTGGCGAAAGCCCGGGAGGCCGCTGGGATGCTCAGCACTTGCCTGGGGCTTGCGGCGTCCCGGGGATCAGCTGAACTTCTCGTCACGGGACCAAGGAAGTATGTTTTTGTCGCGTTCAATCCTGGGGCGGCCTCTTTTGAGGCTACCCCTTTCTTGTGGCTTTGAAGGGAAAAAGACGGGAAAAACCTGGGGAAGCCTCTCTCTTTTTGAGGCTGCCCAAATTACTGTCTGGTGGCTTTCAGAAAGGAAACCAGGAAAGCCGTGGCGCAGACAACATAAGCACGGGTGGAACATATGGATGGACGACATCCACAATAGGTGGTTTATTGCCAGTTGTCATACCCTCCCTCCAACAATCATGGAAGATGACAGGATGGTGTTGAGAGACGACTTTTCTTTTGAGGAACCACTCTGTCCACTTCCATGATTGCTGAACCTGGCGCAGGATTCAGCCGTTTAGCCTCCAAGTAACGTGGAACCTGACATTTGGAGGGGTCCTGGTTTGGACCATTGTCCATCTAAACTCACTTGCTGAGTGGATGGCCCAAAAAAAGTCCAAATTTTATATTTACCACTAAAATGGTCTTCCCAAAAAGTTTTTAAAGTTCATGAAGTGAGTAAAGGGAACATGACCCTGTCAGGTTGCCAGGTGAAAAGGGTGGGGTGGCCAGTGACAGAGGCCCCCAAAGCCCCAGGGCGCCTGCCCTGGGGGCCGCGTGGCGATCAGCGGGGCATCCAATAGACTTGGGTGTGAAGTATTTTTTTGGGGTTCTTTGGTGGACATCGTTTAGCTGGGGATTCATGTCCAATCACTTTTGAGGTGGTTCCCTATTAAAAATTCAGGGCAACTTCTAGAAACCTTAGCCAGTCACGCAACAATAAAGGAGCACATGGGCATGTATATAATCCCCCCAATCCTTTCCCTACCACTGTTTTGACGTTATCGGAATGTTATCCTTATCGTTTTACCATGCGTCGAACATCTCATGTTGAAAGGGCGAAGTCAAACATAAGCTTGCTGCACCCTCACGTTCAGCCTCTTGAAACACTACTTTCATCCACCGATGTTCAGCAAACAGATCTGCAACAGGTCTGACTGTCACCCCGAAACGGCCCTAAACCCAGCATCTTGGTTGGTGATTCAAGGGGAAACCAGAAGGAGCACCCACCATTTGTTGAGCTCCACATCCAAAGAAGACGCACCCAAAACGTTGATTGCTCCTTTTGGTTTCCCTTTAAACCGACCCAAAGAATGGGCACCCCTCCAAAAAAAGTCACACACATCCACTTCCCTCCCCCCCAATGGCCCCGCATCCCGCAAAAACAAAAACGGAAAACAAAAAAAGAAGAAAAAAAAACCGCCCCTCCCGCCTGGCGTCGACATCCTCGTCATCGAAGGCCTGCTGGAAGAGCGCCATGTCCCGCTCCTGGAGCATCCGCACCACCTGAAGAAGCCACGGGGCGAGCAAATGGCAAAGAATCGCAGCCACCCGGGTCGCGGTGGTAAAATGGCCTACCGGTCTGCCCAGAACCATGTACGGACATACACAAAAAAACCTGAGTCATACTCAAAACCCAGTAATCCCAGAACCATGTGAGGAAATACAAAGGCGGCTGTCCGAAGGTGTTTCTGGCTGGGACTGTCCCTAGCCTTCATCTACCCGGGTTTTGATTTTGTGGCTCACCTGAGGTCTGGGTCGAACTCGGTGAGATACGCTTTGGGGTGCCAAGTTTACGGGGAACTGGTAAAGAACCGCATTTTCGCAGGAAGGTTATTGGACCCCCTAGGTTCGGCGCGGTGGTCCGGACCCAGAAAAGCGGCAGAGGTTGTACCTTTTCGAAGAAGCTTGTTTCCAACACGCAGCAAAGTGAGCAGAGGGTTCACTTTAGGGCTGGCTTAGGGTTGGTATAGGGCTGGTGTAGGGCTGGTTTGGGGTGGGTTTAGGTGTTGTGGGTCTTGTTTAGCGTTGATGTAGGGTTGGTTTAGGGTTGGTTTAGGGTTGGTTTAGGGCTGGTTTAGGGGTGGTTTGAGGTTGGTTTAGGGTGGTTTAGGGCTGGTTTTGGGCTGGTTTAGTGGAGGGTTTGGGGTTGGTTAAGGGTTGGTTTAGGGCTGGTTTAGGGTTGATTTAGGTTGGTTTAGGGTTGGTTTAGGGAGGGTTTAGGTCTCGTTCACGGTTGATTTAGGGTTGGTTTAGCGTTGGTGTAGAGTTTAGGGCGGCTTAGGGGTTTAGAGTTGATTTGGCTTGGTTTAGGGTTGGCTTAGGGTTGCTTTAGGGTTTGGGGTTGGTGTAGGGTTGGTTTAGGGCTGGTCTAGGTTGGATTAGGGTTGGTTTAGGGTTGGCTAGTTTAGGGTGGTTTAGGGTTTGGTTTAGGTTGGTTTAGGGTTCGTTTAGGGTGGTTTGGGTTTGGTTTAGGGCTGGGCTGGTCTGGGGCTGGTGTAGGGTTGGCTTGGGGTTGGCTTAGGGTGGTTTAGGGTTGGTTTAGGGTTGGTTTAGGGTTGGTTTAGGGCTGGTTTAGGGCTGGCTTGGGATGCTTTGGGGCTGGTTTATGGTTGATTTAGGTTGGTTAAGCTTTGGCTTAGGTTGGCTTAGGGTTGGGGTTGGTTCAGGGGTTGGTCCCGCGCTCTCTTCTCTTTTCGCTGTTCTGTTTTCTCGCTGCCTGCTGTTCCAGCTGCTCCCGCTGTCCTCTCTGTCTGTTTTCCTCGGTGTTCCTGCTGTTCCCATTGTTTTGTCTGTCTAGCTGTTCCCGCTGTTGTTTCCTCGCTGTTCCTGCTACAGCCAGACAGAGAGGACTGCGGGAACAGCAGGAACAGGAGGAAACAGCACAGCGGGCATCCGCGTCCGTGACACGTCGCACGAAACGATCGCCAGGTCATGGAATCAAGACCATGTGAACCCCCGATTCAACCTGAGGACGGGCCCCGAGTATGGTTTCTTCCTAGGTTTGGCGCGGCCTTTTTGCTGCGTGGTGCTGGGGTTTGGCTCGGCCTGGTCAGTCGGTCGCCCCGGTCGGTCGGCCGCCCCGGTTGGTCGGTCGGTCCGTCTAGTCTGTTGGTCGGTCGGTGGATTGGTCGATGGATTGTTTGGTCGGTCAGTCGGTCCAACCCTAAAACAACCTTAACCAACCCGAAACCAACCTAAACCAGCCCTAAAAGCAAGCCCTAAAGCCAGTCCTCTCTGTCTGTTCAAAGGTGTCGGCCCTCTTGGTCGAAACCCTGAGTCATTGACAGGGGGTAGTTAAGCTTCACTTGGGGATTGCCCGCCTCGATTTCGATCCTGGGTCAACCTGGAGCTGGGGGAGCACGTTCCTAGTGCCCTTCCAGGCCAATCCTTTGGCCGGGCGAAACCAAACCTAAACAAAAGTTCGCGGCCATACCTTTCTTTCTGAAATACCAAATCTACCAGTTCGACCAGTTCGAACTCCGGAATTGAGGGAGAGTCAGCTTGAGCCTTGATTTTCCTTTCTTCATTCTTTGTTCATGTGGGAAGGTAGCCGGTCCGACTTGCCTCTTCCTCCGCAACCGGTTCGGAACCGATGGGACTCAAAGTTGGTCATGGCATGTCCCCAACTTTGCGAAGCCCTTCCGATGAAGCATCTCCATGGCAACATGAAAGTGCTGCAATGACATAATCATATTGATGTGCTTTGTTCTGACAACATTCAGAAATTCATGCAGTCAAGCTTACGTATCTCAGATATCTCTCCACTTGAGCTCGGTACAACATTTTGATCGCCGCGCAGCTTTTATGGCTCAGTGCCCTACCGTAAGTCCTCGCCCTAGGGCCTACCTACATGTCGAGCGATCCCTTGATCCAGCCAACAAAGATGCATACATGCGTGGCACCGGACATGGCAGTTTCCACATCCATCAAAATATCTTTTAAGTGCCACGCTCACCTACTCAGTGCTTTCAGCACTCATGCACGCCCGGGGCTATACACATCTCTGGCATAGCCGGCCTTGGCCTTCGACTTTGGCTTTGCAGCCACTTCGCACTCATCGACCCACTCACCGCTCTCATCGTCGGTGGCCAGATTGAACTTCTCCGTGAGGTCCGCCATCGCCACAACCTGGCCCGCGTCCGCATCGAACTCCTCCATGAGATACTTCAAAAGCTTATCCCTCCATCCAGGGAAATTGTGCAACTTCAGCCCCGCCACATTCGTGAGGTCGGCCACTGCCGCCCGAAACTCTTCCGAGTTGGGAACAGCGGGTCTAGCGCTTGAAGCGCCCAGGGTCTCCTTCTCCTTGACCTGCGCCTGCGCGTCCAGGTACGCCGAAACAGCGCCACCCTCCGCCATGACCGCACGGACCGCGGTGCTCCACCATCGCATCCCATCAGGAAGCGGTTCCACTTCCTCGTTGCTTAGCATCTTCTTGTAGACACCGAGCACCATCTCCAGGATCTTGGTCACCTGGTCTATGTACGCCGCTCCGGTCTGAATCTGAATGGCCGCGGTGTTCTTCGTGAATGTGAACGTCACCTCGCTGGACAGCCCCTTATAGGTCTTCTCTTGCACCCGCCCGAGTGCCATCTTCATCCTGCATTGCGATGCACTTTGCGTCAGCATCCGCCGGAACTCACCCTCGTTGCCCGCAATGGCCTCCGCGAGCTTCTCAAAGAAGGCCCTGATCTCCACCTCGGCGAAGCCGTGGGTCGTCACCTTCACCATGTCGGGCCCGCCTATCGCGGTCACTGCGAGAACTGCCTGGGGGGGCCGAGCCAAGTATGCCTTCCGGGCCGCTTGCTTTTGACCCTCTGTTCTAGCTTGACGCTTAGCTCGCTCTGCTGCTGCTGCTTCCATCATGCTGCTTTCCTTGCTGAGCTGATACCGCCCACTTCTCATAGCCGCTCTCAACAGATCCATGGCCTCAGGGTTTTCCTTAGTCAAAGCATCTGCGAGTTGCAACCACGTGGGGGCCCATCTGACGCGTCCTCCTATCCGTCTGATGGATTCACGTATGATAACCAAGTCGATCGCCACCCGTTTGTCCCCAACTGAATTCGGTGATGAAAAAGTCTGAAGGTGGTCGTATACTGATTTACAGTCAACCACCGCCTGGATACTGAATCTGTGCAGTACCTCATGCCTCTTCCCCAGATTGATCACCCCATCAATCATCTCAACCAAATGACATGCTAACCGTTCTGCATGTCCCAAACCGTCCGCCAACACTTGCGTCTCCCCAGCAAACGTTGACCCAACCACACGCTTCAGCCTGTAGGATTTCCATGCCGCCGGAGTCCACGGTGCTGTCCGCCCGTCTTCGAGCGCGTCAGTTGTGATACCAACCAAATATCCTGCTTGTGTTCCTCCCTTCTTGGCATTTGCAAATGCAGCATCTGTGTGTAAACAAATTCTCAACTTGCTGATCGGCACTGCCTGAATCACCCACTGCAAATCTGCATGCTGTTTTGCTCGTTTCACAGTGTGAGCAACAGTCCGTGCCTGTTCCAAAGTTGGTGTCGGAAACATTTGTTGTCCCATGCTCACTTGCACTGCCAAGTCCGGGCGGGTCTCTTTGGCGACCCACAACGCTGCACCTAAGACGGAACGTAGCGATTTGATCTCTGCGGCATTCGCTTGCACTGTACCCGGATCCTTGCTGCGCAGCTGCGGCTTCTTCATTTCTGCAATGAACTCAGCTTGACTGACAGTGATGTCTTTGGTTTTGGGGTCCTGCTTCAGGGATGATCCGCAAAAGGTACCCTCATCGTACTTCCATTTTCGAAACGGGAAGGTTTCTCTCAAAAGCCGAATTGCTTCTTCATAGGACTTGCCCTTTCCCCCTGTGAGCACATCATCCACATGTACCCCCAACACACCTCCGATACCATGCGGTTGCAAATGGTCACGCCAATAGAGAACACAAGGATCCAATACTGACTGCCGCCAGTTCTGCTTCCGAAGCGTCTGCACGAATTTGCAAAACCAGAGCTGTGGCGAGTCGTTGAACCCATATAACGGCTTGACGACTTCGAACAGTACTTCTGGATGAACACCCGTAAACTCGGCATTTCTCGGCTGCCTCAGATACAAGGGTCCCCGTTTTCGTTCAATCTGGTCACCCTCCAGGAAAGCACCCGTCACGTCTCCCAGCTGTAGCTGAAACTGGCAGCTCGCAATACACTGCAATACTGCGAAACGTCCGTTGGAAGAAATGGTTGGAGACTGTGTCTTTCCTTCACGAACCAGCTCAAACAAGTCAGGGTCCTTGTCTCCCCTAGCTGTCCACCGGCCCTTGACTATGGTCTCTCCAGTCTCCTCGACCTTCTCCGTGAGGACGTATCGAGACTCCACCAGTCTCTCCGGAGATTCCCGCATCACCCGCCGCGATTCTTCGAGGCTAAGAGGCCGGAGTGCTTGCTTCTCATGCACGACATTGGAATACTCCTTCATTACCCCCGCTTGCATTTTCTTCTTCCCTTCCGCCTCTTGCCACT